GGGGGGGCTCAGAAGACGGGAATCCCGATGTGTACTACCGCTATGCCGGCATCGTCAACGGCCGACGATTGCGTTCGACATGAGCAGTTGTCTTCACAGCTGCTATAGAGTCGTGGCCCGAGGCGCGTCAAAGGACAGTGCAGCTCCAACTGGGTGAACGGTGAATCCCGGCAGATAGGCTCTACATCTCTCCGGATCGTCGCGACGCACGAGAATCAAAGTGTACTGGGTGCGCCACGTCAAAAGCAATCCGGGTTGGTTTGGCCCAAGTTGGAGCAGCTTGAGTGGGCTCCGCCCCACCACTTCGACAGCCATATTGCGCTCCCCGCGCTTGACAGCTTCAGGCCATTTGCGTGAGCCTTTCCAAGCTGATGGCCAATATCACCTTTCCGGGTTTCGACTATTGCACACAAGGTTCAATGCCCGGGGAAGCTCAACGTCAACCGCCTTCTGTAAGTGCCTCTCACCAGCCAGCTCGCACCATCGCGCTCAACGGGGACTAATCCGTCAGCAGGGGCCCAGGAAGGGCAAGTCGCAACCCTTATGGATGCCAGGCACATGAACTCAAGTGTCCACGCCGGGCCCGGTACTCGTCGCTCTATTGGGCTATACTGGCGGGGCCCCACCTGAGTTGCCCATGTACTGGTTGCGTACTGGCTGCCAGTCCACGAATCGACTTGTCTGAGGTGGGATGCACAAAGCTGTCCGCCGGGCTCCCATACGCCCGCGAATCCTGCTACCTGCAGGACGACAAGTAAGGTACGACGTGCCACTTCTATCCTCCGGGATAGTCGGCAAGATTCGAAGACGCAAGCACAGTTCTATCTAGCCGTGGGACTCGACGTGACAACGATGCATCTGGTTGGCAACCATAGCACCGTCGTATGTAGGTTAGTAAGATTTGGTACGACGGGTACATAATCAATCGCCATGCATGGCCCACTCCCAGATCGGACGAGAGGCTTGCTCGCTTGGCTTGATAGCCAAAATGGAAAGACGACCCGGATTCATATCGCATACTAGTGTCACCTGCAGCCCAAGTGTTCAGAGTTGCATCGCAATCGAGAAAACGAGTCAGGTCCTTCCCGGGTTCCGTCTCGAGCACGTCAAGACCCTTCCACTGCCTCCCGACGAGACGGCGGAAAGGGACTGTGGTCTCCGTTCAATGTAGGCAGAATAGCGTGTCATTTCAGTTCGGTCGTGAACGGGACGGAGTCTCCTGCCCGATCTGCACGCATGGGGGATGGCGGGTAGATTAAAGGTTATTATTGGCAACGGTCAATGACGGGACGACGTGCGGAAATGCGTAATGATCTTTGCAGCGGGCATAGACGAGTCGCCTGGGGCCTGCAATGCAGATTTGCCATGCTGAAGATCCACGACGGTTGTAGCCGACCAGGTGTAACATTGCACACGCAATGAGCAGCCAGCGCCGAGTATGGGGTGCGAAAGTGTCTCCATGGCTGCAACAACACACCCTCCCCGCTGGCCGCCCCCGGCTTGGCAAGTTGTAAGTCCTTCCAAAACACCGACCGGCAGCCGGGGAGATGAACGAGGCATGAAGAACCATCATAATCCCCGATGGACATTGCAATGTTCTCTTCACAATGCTAGGGGCTTACAAAGAACCATTGCAGCTGAGTGTCCGGCCATCCAATATGAGCGCACGAACACCGCTCCCATTGCTGACCTGCAGCCATATGCAGGGCTTACTATTCACTCAGTTGGGATCCAATAGCCACTTGGCCGTTGCGTGCCTCACAGGAAAGGCCTTACAGCCAAGACCGAACTCTCAGGAGGATGCCTATGCCTCCTCATTGGCAGCTGAGGCAATGGTCCGAAGGCATACATACTGCCTTACATTAGCCGGCTTTCTAGAATTTCTTGAGCCGTGGGCTACCAGAAAAACTATCCGAGTTAGGCTTCGTCCCTGGCTGTCACACTTCTGATTCCTAGTCGATAGTCTGCATTGGCGCGCAGGAAGGGGGGGGGGGGGGGGGGGGGGGGGGGGGGTGTGGGGAGGGCGGGGGGTGCGAGGTGGTGGTTGGGCTGTTAGTGGATTTGACTGATGGGCGCTGGGATTCGCAGCGATGCTGGCCTACGATCTCGGGCGGGGCCAGGTCCGGGTCCAGGTCGGCCGAGGACCTGGGCTGACTTTTGGGCACGGCGGGGCAAGTCATGTAGGATTCAACTGAAGATGCAGGGACGTTGTCGAACGGCCAAAGGTAGAGAAAATCGATGTCTGATGCTCTCGTGTTTACATGAGTTTGGTCTGATGTCTATCCTATCGGACACCAAGTGGGAAGACGCGCGAAGCGGCTTGTACTGTCGTCTCTATTCAATAGTTGTAATGGTTGCTTGCTTGGCGGGGCAACAGAACGGCCTTGCGACCCGTTCGTCTCTTCTCCAAAAGCGGCAAACAGCGGGGCTGCATTCCCGTCCACAGGCCAGGCCACAAGGGTCGCCGGGTGGTAGAGGGAGGCTGGTAGGCTGGCGTTTCGGGTGCGGGTGCCACGTGCTGAGATAAAATACAACATCGTTGTGATGCTGCCGCAGATACATACTATACATGCTTGGCTGCAATACTCGTCAGAGACTATATAATCCACAGCAGCACCACTTATGGATCTATATAGACGCATGTTCCGGACTCCAGTTGTACTAATCTAACTAATTTTCCAAGCGCACGGCGCTCCCTCACTTCTATACATCACTGTTGCAGTTTTGGCGGACGCCCACGACAGCGGCCAAGCTAGCTGCCGGCAAAAGTCTACGTAATATATCCCACTATAACCCAATGTAACCAGATACAGCTGTGCTCTTCCTCTCTGTACAAGTTTTCGTTTATGGACCAATTTCCGTTAGGGAGAGAGCGTCTCGACGTTCAGTCGTTAGTGCAGTTTCAGCAGTTTCAGCACGCCATCTCATCGACAAGGTTTTCCCGCCATCTCAGATGAATTGTTAAGCAGTGTGCCAGAGTCAAAACCCAAGACATGTTTTCTCTAAAGAAGCGAATCAATGAGACAAAAAGGCGGGGAGCCCGAGGGATTTATTTGGTGGTATTGTCTCTCTTCGACGTGTCGTTATCGAGTGACCATTTCAAGTACTCCCACGAGAAAACCCCCTGAAAAAGTTACTCCCAACCGACAGAGATCCACACTGCCAGACGGAACGGACGCACGACAGAGAGGGAAACATCTTCTCTAATTTCCTAGGCGAAGGCCCTTTTAATGACTTCCGATACCTTAATAACGCCGTCATCCCGTGACCCGGCACACCTGATCCTTTTGTCGGAGTCATGGTCCATCCTTCCATTAATGCGCACACTGTGTGCCGCGGTGCTTCCGAGAAATATTCTGACAAAGCATGTCTCTATGCGTACCAATATGGCCAAGGTATTGCAGAGGTCTCGCTCTCCTCGCGCGCCGCTCCCGGCAGACCGACCCTATGGACCTACTGAGTCTTGAACAGCAGAATAGCACAGTGGCCAAGGTAGAAGTAGATGAAGTGCTTCGTCTCTGCAGCGGATATCAGCCCGTGGCCTCGGGTTCCGAGTTTGGGTTGAACTTGTACTCACCGTGAGTTACGTAACTTCCAAAGTTTCTGCCAACGATACAGTGCCATGTAGGGCCCTTTCGGTCATCGAACTGCGGCGAACAATGTCAGTCACCGGAAGGGTATCAGAGAGACACTCAGGGGGTGTCATCTTACGGTCCTCTTGATGTGCTGGGCGATGTCCTTCTCGATCGAGAACTTTTGCATGGCCTCCTGAGCTAAGAGTGGAAAACGTCAGCCCCGACCGCATACCAGTCACCGGTCCCATGTGTAGTGGTGGTGTGACGTACCAACTTCGATAGCTTCCTGCTGCATATCATCCGTCTGTTCACCATCAGCAATCCGTCCGCACACCAGAGCCTGCTGCTCCTGCTGCTGCTGTATGTCGGCCGGGACATACCATGTCGGCGGACTTGATCTGAGCTGTTGGTCTCGGTCAGTATGGGATGCGATGCGATGCGATGCGACGCGACGAGCGGGTCCAGGTATAGGACGGCAACGAACCTTCCAACTTGTCGCGGCTTGCAACCTCCCGGGTGGCCGGGGGCGGGGACTTGCTTTCGTCGGCCATGGCGTCGATCGGGGAGTGTCGACTGCTGTGAACAACGGGGTTCGGGTTCGCGGGCTTTCGTTCTGCGTTGTCCAAGGTATCTAATACTGGAGTGAGCCTCTTTGTTCATCGGAGGGCGGAGGGCGGATCAAGGGCGAGCAGCCCCGTCAGACGCGGTCGAACCTACCCAATGCCAAAGGGGCCGAGTGAGTCCTGGCGCTCCAAGTGTATGCGCGGCGCAAACGATGCAAATGACGGGAAAGACGGTCGGTGCTGCCCAACAAAGAATCTCTGAATCGTTTGTTTTGGTGACGGAATCCAAGGCGGTCGGCGGCTCAGCCAGTTGGGGGCCGGCGATTCGGGCTGCCCAGTATCACTGGACCAGACTGGGCAGACGGCTACAGGGTCGACAAGGGGGCTTACAGCGAGGGCAGAGGGGGCAGACGGTGGTAGAGGGTGCCCAGGTGGCTGGGCACGGGCCTTTTCCCCTGTGAAAAGCGCCCATGGTGCAACGCACTTGCCACTGCCAGACCCCCAGAGAAGCCGCTGAGGCGCCCAAGGAGAGAGACGGTGGGGAAAGGTGCCCCCCCCCCCCCCCCTGGTGGATATTCTTTCCCTCCGATTAGATAACGCGAAGAAAAAAAAAAATAGAAAATACAATAAACTTGCTGGAATATTTACAACTACAAGCTCTGCCATCTCCTCCATCACTATATCGCAACCACACAACACTCAACCCCTCTCCTCCCCTCCCCTCCCCTCTTCCCTCCGTGTGTAGCAATCACAGCCATATCTGTGCACTAGCTGCACCACACACAAGAAGACGGAATGGAGCAACCACAGGCCTCGCAGGAGGAGTCCTCCCGTATCTTTGTCAGGAATCTCCCCCCGACCATAACCGAGCCAGAATTCCGCAAGCACTTCTCCCACGGCTCCATCACCGACATCAAGCTCATCCCCCAGCGGAGAATTGGCTATGTCGGCTTCAAGACCCCCGACGAGGCAAAGAAGGCCGTCAAGCTCTTCCACCGCTCCTTCATCCGCATGTCCAAGATCGCGGTAGAGCTGGCACGACCTGTAAGCCCACACTCCCTTCCCCACTGGTCCCAGTGGCCTTGCTGACATGACCTGCTCTTAGATCTTAGATCCTGCACTCTACAAGGCAAGGCAGGCCCATAACACCTCTCACGCCCCGCCTCTGCCGACTTCAAAGGCACCCCAAGCGACGGGCGACTCTTCTGCCGACCCGGCGCAGAAGAAACGGAAGCGCGACGATCTCGACGAGGCAGACCCCAAGCTTCAGGAGTTCCTCGAGGTCATGCATCCCGGGAACTACCCTGCCAAGAAGGTCCGGGAGGAAGAGAGTCTGGACGCCGTGAAACCCCTGGTCGTTACCGACGGGGATTCTGATGGAGAATATGAAGAAGTTCCCAGCCGCAAACTGAAAGGGGCAGAGCGTGAGCCCATGGCGAGGAATGAGGAATTATCAACCCAAATAAAGGCTCCCACGGGTCGTGTTGGCTCAGACCCCGACGCCTCAGATTCTGCTGGTCTTCGGCCTGAATCGGGTGCTATGGATCTGGACGTGCCCTCCAACAACGACGACGTGCCTGGCCCTGCTACCGACGATGATTGGCTTCGTTCGAGGACAAATCGACTCCTAGACTTGGTTGAAGACGATGAAGGCTTGGCTGCCCTAAGCCGTGGCGCCGAGTCTGCCCCGGCTCCTGCGCAGGATATCAAGGCATCAGAACCTGTCCCAGTATCAGAAGTCGAGACACGGCCAGAAGCCGCCGCCGGAGAGGATGCTGCCGCTGAACACCCCAGGCCCCGGCGACAGGAGCCAAAGGAAGATTCGGTCCTTGAATCCATTCGCAACACGTCAAGGATATACGTCAGGAATCTGCCCTACTCGGCAACTTCGACAGAGCTGCGCGAGTTTTTTGCCAAGTTCGGCGATATCGAAGAGGTCAGTACGATTTTTTTTCTGCCATTTGGTTGCTATTCAATTTCGCCTATTCTGTGATGAACCCCTGATAGGGACAGCATATGCCTCATGGCGTTGATGACTATCCCAGGGCCGGTATTTTAGTAGATGCTCCGAGTCTGAGAATCACCCCACTCCTTCATTAGACACTTTGTAGTTAGTTTCTCTGCATTCCTGCTAACTGAAGACAGATTCACGTGCCGTCGCCTCGCGGCTCCACCAACAACAACCAAGGATTCGCCTTCATTTCGTACGTCGAGCCCGACCACGCAGTTGAGGCATTCCAGCGCGCAGATGGAGCAACTTTCCAGGGGCGGATGATCCATATCATCCCGGGATCCGCCAAGCGAGTCCAACAGCTGGATGAGTACACACTGTCTAAACTTCCTTTGAAGGAGCAAAATCGGCTCCGGAAAAAGGCAAAGGCTGGGTCGGCATTCAACTGGAACTCCCTATACATGAACCAGGATGCCGTGCTCAACTCCACGGCTGACCGCCTTGGCGTCTCCAAGTCGGAGCTGCTGGACCCTACCAATGCCGATGCGGCCGTCAAGCAAGCACTTGCAGAGACGTCGACGATCCAAGATACCAAGGCTTATTTTATTGCAAACGGCGTGGATCTGGACAGTTTCAAATCCGCTCAGCGATCTGACACTATAATCCTGGTCAAGAACTTCCCGTACGGAACCTCTATTGAGGAGCTGAGAACGGAGTTTCAGGAACACGGACAGGTCTTGCGAGTTTTGATGCCACCAACTGGAACTATTGCTATAGTTCATTTCGCCAATGCGGCCGAAGCCAAGACGGCCTTTGGGAAACTTGCTTATCGTCGCTTCAAGAACAGTATCTTGTTTCTTGAAAAGGGGCCCAAAACATTATTTGTTGAAGGGGCACCACAGGAAACGTCTTCTACCAAGACTGATGGCAAACAGAAACTGTCTGCGGAAGAACTCATGGGACGTGGCGTTAACGAAGAGCCTGAAGAGTCGAGCTCCTTGTTTGTCAAGAACTTGAGCTTCAATACTAACACTGCGCAACTGCATGAGGCTTTCAAGCATCTCGACGGCTATCGATCTGCGTCGGTCAAGACAAAGACCGACCCAAAGAAGCCTGGTCAGGTACTCAGCATGGGTTTTGGCTTTGTCGCCTTCTCCAACAAGGCTTCTGCTGAAGCGGCAGCACAGTCAATGGATGGCCAGGTGCTCCATGGCCACAAGCTGCTCGTCCGGACTAGCCATGGTGGCCAGGATGCGGCCGAGCAGCGGCGCAAGGAAGATGCCGCCAAGAAGGCCGCGAACCGAAGCACAAAGATCATTCTGAAGAACTTGCCCTTTGAGGCGACAAAGAAGGACATCCGAACTTTGATGGGTACCTACGGGCAATTGCGCACTGTGAGGTTACCAAAGAATGTTCAAAACCGGTCAAAGGGTTACGCCTTCTGCGAATTTGTGACAAGTCGCGAGGCTGAAAATGCAATGGCAGCGCTGAAGGATACTCACTTACTCGGTAGAAAGCTGGTGCTTGAGTTTGCAGAGGCTGAAGCAGTCGATGCCGAAGAGGTCATCGCAAAGATGACCAAGAAGACGGGCTCCCAGAACGCCAAGGTCTCCCTGCACCAGCTTATAGGAGGGGATCGGAAAAAGATCACTTTAGGGGACGAGGAGGAAGGCGAGGGAGACTTTTAGCCCAATTTAGTCTATGGTGCTAATTATGTTCAATTTGCAGGGAGCATGGCCACGTTCCAAGACGTTCGCAGGCGCTCATGCAACCTCCCTTGCTAGGAACCATTCTCCCGGGCCCAGGTCCCCGGCACGGGTGCATCACGCTTTGGGAGTAAGACTAACAACCCTTCCATCGACACCCCTCCCCCTCAATACATGGCTACATGTCTACAAGTCCTAGACATCCGATCGTCTGTATGTGTACGGTAATCAAAGTCGCATTCCGACCGCTACAGTCTTTGTCCCCTCGAGTCCCCGGCCCGAGATACTTGGGACACAATGAAGTAGTACGGTAAATTGAGCATTCTTTGGGTAAGTCCTTGTCATTGTTTCTGTATTTACCCTCTCCTCTCTGCGTCCTCGCACCCTTGCTTGCCATTTGCGTCGATGCTACCAGGTCTCGAAACATCGGGGCACTGGCCTAGTCTCTCGATGGTGGCGTTTGTCCAGCTCGGGTCTATTCTTCAAGGACGCCCTCGAGGAGTCTCCAGGGTGGGGCTCAAGGGTGTTTGTCCGTTAGTACGACAACTATTGCTATTTTTCGTACCTAGATAGGCCAGATCGGTACGGGCGGTCGTAGTGTATTTGAATCCTTATAAGGCATGTGATCTTCTTCCTTCATGCCGGCGGTTGTACCCGGGGAACCACTCTCGCTCATAGTATTCGTGACTTCTTTTGCCACTGCCATTCCTTTCTACATATCTGAGTCTACCTCCCAGCGTTCTTGACTTCCCTCGAGGCATTCACTAGGATTCTCCATCTCTTCCTGAGGCATTCTTGTCGCGGTTTCCGGTTTCTTGAACATATTCTTCTTCCATAATGCTCACGCGAAGTGGGATAGCAGCCCACCGATATTCACCTGACGGTGACTACGTGTACGATCACCACCATGAGATGACACAGAACCTACGAAGACCACTTGGTGAATCAACTGGCAACTCACAGCAGCACAACTTCGGCTCTCTCGCATTGTGTCAACAGAGTCATCTCTCTCTATCACCCCCATTGCACTCAATCCCGACACCACCTATACTTCCAACTCAAGCCATAACGTCGACATATGGTACTAGCTTTCGAAACCAACGGTCATTTCACCGAAATGTATCACTGCGGGACTCACCAATGGCACATTCAAGAGGCGGCCGGAACCCTATATACTCATGGAAACACTTTGCCGATTACCGCTCCAAAGTCACACAGAAGGAATCGGAAAACGAGGACCCAACATGGCCCCTTTACCTCGAAGATGCTTTCCTTGATGGTGAGTGGCCTCAGTATCCTTGAACAGACAATAACAAAGTCAATTAACACATGCTTCAGCTCTACTTCTCATCCCACTCATGGGAAGACAGAAGTTCAGCTCCAAAGGTGTACTATATGGCCGTAACATGCTGCTGACCGAATATCTGTGGATATGTCACTGGCTCTTACATCCTCCGCATCCAGGCGAGATTGTGCCTGTAGGCAAGGCACGGGAGAAGCACCCCATGTACAGAGGTAGAAAGCAAGTGTCTAGTCACATCCAAGTCCTGAAGGGGTTCTTTCTCACCCATCCGATTTGTAAGTGCTACGCTAGGACGATCTGTCCACATCTGAAAACTTACACTCGTATAGTCCACTTCCTCTTTCCGGCCAAGAAAGACGAAAAGGAGGAGGACAGGAGACGCGTCAAAGAAGATGAGGGCGAGATCAAGTCCTTTAAGAACAACCGCGTGCTCATCGCTCTAGCCGATGGTCGTCTCCCTGATGAAAGACCTAACTACGACTACTTCGCCCGCCTGCTGGCTGGCGACTCGGAAGTTTTCGTGCGACCAAAGACTTGTTGGATCTACGTTTCCTCGTCAGAGGTTACGTTAAGCGAAGATAGCAAACGAGCCTTCGCGGCTGACGGTACCTGCCTGGAAGCGGATATCGTCACACCTGACGGTACCCGCCTCGAATGCAAAGGGGACTATCCGCATTTGTTGTTGAATAGTAACAAGGAGACCAGGAGGGACCTAGACAGGAGCAGGACCGAGGGGGAGCCGCCAAAGCATCTGCTCCATGAGTACACCAGAACCCTCACTCAGAAGGAGTCGAGCTCGGTGAAGGAGATCTCCGCCAGGTGGGACGACCGCTTCCCTGACCTGCGGGACAAGCTAGTGGCCGCCCTCGATGATACGCATCCCTCGCATGAGCGCACGTCCCGTTGCGTTATCGGCCCCTGCGACACGGTTCACCTAGACGTCGTCCTCGACCTACACGCGACCAGCCAGTTCCCCTCGGGCACGCACCTTGAGGGCGCTGTCGAGCTGCAGATATGCCGCCCTGAGCTGGCGAACCACCGCTGGCGCTCTTTCACCAGCATCGTGAAGCCCAGGGAGCTGGAACTGGGCGATAGCGAGCCGCCGTTCTGGAACTGTGCCACGCCGTGTGAGATCACCGGCCGCCAGAGGGACGTCATCGTCGTCCCCTTCCCGGCCACGAGCTGGGCCAACACCTTCATTCGGCTAGCGAGCTACGTGACTGCGGAGCGAGAAAGGCGAGAGCGTCGCTCAGGCCGGGATTCGAGCAGGCCCAAGAGAGATGATGGGGACGACGACAAGCACAAGCCTTCCGGCAAGGTGTACACTCCCCTGGAACTGCTGAGCCAGGTCGCCATGTACCAGGAAATCTGGTCGGCACCCAACGACGGGTCGAAGAAGCCCAATTGGACGCGGCGCTCCATCATACTCTGGACCTTCTCCAACGTCCACAGCAAGACGGACGAGAAGGGCAAGACCTCGACGGTCCCGCCTGGGACCAACTGGCGGTTCTTGACTAAGATCGACCCGACGTCACAGTACCACCAACAGCGCGCCTACGTTACCGGATCGCCTAGTCTCTGCCGGGATCATGTCATGTCGCCCAACCCTGGCTACACGCATCACATCAACGCCACCATGCACGAGAACTTTAGTTCAGCCTACGATGCACCTACTATCACATTACAAGGGCAGCAGCAACAACATACATCCCACCTGGCCGGTCTCAACCTGCTGGATACTTTCTCTCCCGGCGGGCTGGCCACGCCGCCGCCCACGGCCTCCCTATCGTCGAGCTACGCCCACAGCTTCGACAGCGCGACCATCGCCAGCAGCACCGACAGCCTGCACAATAACAGCAACAGCAACAATCACCATCACCACGTGAGCTTCCTGTCGGACACATCGGGGACTGACAGCAGCCACGGCACCGTGCTGGCCGACCACCACGCGGACCCCTTCCTGGCAGGCCTGGGAGCCCCCGGTTACGACGATGCCGACTGCGATCCCAGCCTCCAGGCATGGGCTAGCGCCGCTACAGGCGGTCTACATGGCCTGGACCCCGTCGCGCAGTGGGCGACGACGTATGTCGACAGCCAACAGGGCAGTCTCGCCTGGGCAGACACGAGCGGCATCGGCGCGGGCAGCGGCGGCGGCGCTGGTGCTGACTTGACAGAGAGCAGTCACTGGCATGACGCGAGTCGCGACCACACGCCGTGGACAGACGGCAAGGACAGCTTCTGGGCTACAGGGGCTGCGGGCTCGAGCTCCAACGAGGCCACGGGCGAGCTCCCAGGGGAGCAGCAGCAGAGCCATGATCCCTGGGCCACGAGCACCTCGTCGGCCTGGCTGCAGTCCATAGCAGCGGTGGCGGACGCAAATAGCAACATGCGGGACGCATGGGACGACGCACACGTGCACCACATCCTGGCATCGTCGACCTCGTCCGTGGGGTCCGCAACATCCTCGGCGCTGCACCTGCATCCGAGCCACGCTACGGACGCCGATCACCATCTTCACCACCACCAACAACAACTCCGACATGATGACATCCACAACCACCAGCAGGGGCACGACCAGGACTGTGTCACCTCGATGCTGCAGCATGGCGGCGGAGGCGGCGAGGACTTCTCCGCCTCCATCGACGGCGGCGCCGCCCCCACGGCCACCACAGCCACCAACATGTCCCCGATGCGGCAAGCCGGCCAGAAGCGGGCGCGGGCCGAGGAAGAGGACGGCGATGACGCTGGCGACGGAGGCGCGGCATACCCATGCCACTCGATCCGCAAGCTCACGCACTCGAGCAGCACCCGCGCGCCCGCTGCCGTCATGCTGGAGTCGCCCCAGCACGAGGACGAGGCACAGCCGCCTTTCCTGTAGGCCGACGCGATGGGGTCTGTCTGTAGGACGCCAGAGGTCTGGTGCTAAGCCGGCGCAGTTCAAGATTTGCGCCGCCGCATACCGCATACAGCAGAGATCGCACCCACCTAGCGCGGGTTTGGCTCCGGGGCTATCATGGTCAGTCAGTCAGTCACTCACTCACTCATCCAGTTGGGGGCAAAATGACAAGCTACGATGAGCATGCCCACCCCAAAACCGCTGTTGGCTTTGTCTGAGTGTGTTTCGGGCTGTTATTACTCCTATTATTACTATGTCACCTGCATATTTGGGCGGGAAGGTTGGCCCATAAAAATTGGCCTCGAGATGGACCAGAGGATTGCAGGTCTTGGGATGGGGGGAGGGGTGGATGGGACGAACGCCGTGCCCCATTTCGTGTGTGGCATGTATGTCATACACTGGGGGTCTGAGGTCTCGTGAAGGAGAATCCCCCCCTTTCTTCCCTGCCAGGTGGTTCGAGTGTGCCTTGCCCTGGAAATATTGATGGGGGCCCAGGGCTCTCGCTACCCCGTTCTGGCCGGAACCTGTGAGGCGTGTTGGGAGTGTTGGTTGGCGAGTATAGCATCGGGCATTGGAGGATCCTAGCTTGCGGGCGCCTGGTGCCGGACTCTCGGGTCACGCCGAAATCGGCAGGAACGTTGTACAGTAGCTTTCACTTCTCAGGGCCACGGATATTAGGGAAATGGCGTTGGTGGGTTCCGGATTCACATCACATCACATTGTGAGTATTTTAGAGTTTGGGGTTGGTTTGGTCGGGGTTACAAGGTCTGCATTTGTGGTCAGTGTTCATCTAATACCGATTTTCTTCACTCGAGGCCAGACGACTCGGCCGCTTGGCCGTGCCACAATGTGCGCCTTTTTAATCTATAGCATGCTTTGGTTGTTACATAGACTCAACCTCGCCCAAAGCAAGTTTAGCTCTTTTTTTCCCTCTCAGCGGTTAGCTGTGTTAGATTTGGGTTGCTAATTTGGGCCGAGCTAGCGTTAGATTTGGTATAGAGTTGATATTCAAGCATGGTTCCACTAAAACCCCTGCACCAATACGTGCAGCTCTAAGTTAGTTGGTCTGAGCAAAAAAGCAACAGAATCCTGCGGGAATGCGCAAAACGACAGGAAATGGCCCGATAAAGAAGTGTTGGTTCGTCCGAGGAGGTAGCGAATTCGTCTCATCGTCAATCTGCACAGTAGCAAACCGTCTTCCGCGGGGGCTTATGGCGGTTTCCGCCGTCCAAGTGTTTGCTAATTGCACGGCGTTTATGCATGTCAAGATGGAGCAGGCTAACCGGGATCCAATGCTCGGCGGGCAGCCAGGCGTCTATCTCGAACCGCTCTCCCTCGCATCGAGTGACCATGGCAAGCATCGCGAGACAATCCCATTGTCCATCCGCAGGTGACGAGTCGCCTTGTAATACCTTTGGACGATCTGCGAAACAACGAGACCAAGCATTGAAGATCGACGGCGACATAGAAGGCGAATCATGAGATACTCCACTATTCTCACGCATCCCAGCGTGCGAACGAACCATCATTGCCTGTTATGGCGGATGCGGAACAGTAGCCATACTCTATTGTGGACTAGAATGGCATCCAAAAGTTAGTGGTCGCTGGAAATCCTCCGGGGCACGTGTTCTCACAGCTTGGCCCGGGGCATATGGTTTCATGTTTCACGACGGACGAGAACCTGCGCACACAAGGGGCAGAGACCGGAGGACCAATCACGGGATCGGGGTGGTCAAAGTCTTGGCATCTGTGACAGTCGCCAAACTTTTCTCATTTGTAATCCTGACCTCGGATCACCGTGGTGGAGCTGTGTGAGATGTTGCTCAATCTGGGGGATGCGATGGTGGATGGTAGCAAGGGCCAAGGCGCATGCCTGCTTCTGCTGACAGGGGAGGGTTGCGATCTGAGGCTGTGAAACCCAAAGTGTCACGAACAATAGCCAGAACCACGATGGACCTTCCAAGTCAAGCTCACCCGACGAACGCGCAACGGGAACAGGCACGACACATGGTCCCTTTCTCCGTTACTAGCACGACTCCGTGAGGCATTTAGCAATGCTGGAAAACTGACGTGAGCTGGTGAGATGTGAGGTCATCCACATTCTCCCAGCGATTCGGCACCCAGAGATGGTGTGGCTGTTGGCCCGTTGCGTGATACACGACGGATGAAATGTTGATCGGTCAGCGTCTGGTCATCAGCCAGTGCCTGCATTTCCCCCGCCGAATAGACTACGGAGATCAAGAATTGCGGACGAGGGCAAGATGGAGTGAAGATGGGATGAGATGAGACGAGCTCGGGAAGATCACCAGTGATATCCACTTTCGCGTGCTCCTCTTCAGCAGCTGCAATAAAGTGCTTGCAGCGAGGTAAGGCGAGCCGCCCGGCAGACTGATGCTGGACATTGGTCCGATATCTCGATGCTGGATCCTGGACGGGGGCTCGAGCTTTTGCTCCTGGTCGGGAAGGTTGGATTGTATCAGATTGTCCGAACAAGAGCAGAAATACACGGGTATCGGGGAGAGGAGCTTGGAGATTGCAGATTCTGCGGAACTGTAACCTTGCCATCCTACCCGACCTGGACTACCGACATGGCAGACTCTCGGAGCGCGCTTGCGTATGAAACCTTGGACAGAGTCTTGCCAGGTCCACAGAGCACCGGGGCGCTTCGACGATGGGCAAAGCGACAGGAACAGGTGGGCGGCGAGGATTGCGAAGATTGCGATGCCAAGGCGGCGGCAAAGTGGCCAACCACCAAGGCAGAGCGAGGACGTCCCCGTGGGCAAGACCCAGTCTGTTGCAGTGCGCCAACCCCGGCTCATCTCACAATGGCGTCGTCATGTGTAATCCGTAGGCACACGAGCGATTAGGAATGCAGTGTGGCCGCGTAGCTCTCCGACAGCATGGGAAGGATGTGGAATGAAGCGGGTGGTCAAGGGTCGCAGGTTGGTTAGCCGCCACAAGGACGGCGATGTGGCAGCCAGTCATGGCCGGCACGGCTGCTGGGTGCGTTACGGACGGCGCCCGCCAGCGGCGCATTGACTGGCTGAGGCGCATCGAGGGGCACGAGGGGTCAAGCGGGAGCGTGGGACAGGGCACGACAGGGCACGACAGGGCACGACAGGGCCTGACAGGGCTCCCAGGGCTGCCCCCGGCTCTCCTCGCGGTGGGGAAGAGCCTCCTTGTTCCAGAAATCTTGGGTCCAGATCTCGCCAACGAAGGTGCTGAAGTACCCTTTTGCAGGCCGCCCTGCGCCGAGGTACCTGCTGCACGTCCTCGCTTAGGCCGGTTCCTGAGTTTGTCGGGCCTGCCAGCGCCCCGTGCGCCCCTCGGCCCCTTGCAGCTCTGGCACACTTGAGCTAATTAGCCTCCCGTCAAACGTCTCCACCGAAAAGAGTATCGCACGCCGTTCGCTCTACTCCAATCCAAATATCCAAATGCACCGTAGTATGCCCATGAGCCCATGAGCCCATATGCCCATGTACACACGACGACTCCACCCGAGCAACGACGACGTCCGATGGCCAGTCCAGGTCGCAACAGTCGCAGAGAGTCGCAACGGCCCAGCATACTGCTCTGGCGCGCACTCCTGCACTCACACACAGCAAGTCACTCGCTCGCGCGACCGGGCCTCAGGTTCGGTCGGCCTCTATCCCTGCCATGCCTCGCGCGCACCGCGGGACTGCGAACGACTGGACGGCCGTGGGCTCCCAGTCAAACGGGCCCACTAGCTCGACGAAACGATCTTGCCCAGTCCGGCCCAGTCGACTCTATATCGTCTGAAGTGCTATTGCAGCCAGGTCCCACACCATCACATCTCTGACAAGCTCCCGATAGCTTACATGTCGGCTTGACCCCCGAGCACTCGTAGATTCGACCATGATCCTGCTCGGGGCCCAGCCTTTTTCGCGCCTGCGTGTTTCCAAAATCTAATGTGAGAGCTTCGAGCTCCGCTGCCCAGGCCCGGTATTTCTTCGCGTTTCGTGAGCTTCTCCAGCCCAGTGAGATAGAGTCATATACATGTCCATGCCGTGCCAAGCCCCGACGCATATTTTCCTCTTCATTCAACCGCACCCCCAGTGAAGATCGTCTGGGAGACCACATCGCTTGCTTGTCTTCAGTCTTCTGTTCCAGGCCCTCCAGATCTACAAACGTCCTTTTGTGACGCTCAGAGTCTAGATCCCTCTCACAAGTTACTCACCTTGGTGTCGCCTTTTGTCACCATCGTCGAGTGGGTCCCCGCCTCATTGTTGTCGTTGAACACTCTTCATTGTTCGTCTTCGTCGTCCCAGAATCATGATTTAGTCGACAAAGAAAGGTCACTCTCTATTTCTATTCTTGACTCGGCCGGTCCTGACCTTTCCCTTGCGCTGGGCGCCTATTACTTCGCGAATTTTTCCACACCAACCGTCGCGAACACCTAGGTACCATCTCTTTTCCACCCCAGCACACAACGCAAACGCGCGGCAAAAAAGTTACCCTCAAACAACAACACACGAGAAGCTACCCGCTCCTTTTGGGTTTTCCATTTGGTTCCCCAATCTACACTCATTCTCATCCGGGTCTCGCAGCCCGATCTGTTTCTTCCGCAGTCTCTCGCCGGCGAGAGCTTACGCACCTTCCTTCACCTTCCCACCAAGTCAACTTCAGACACACCACTCTTACCCATCGCCATCGTCCAACACCCTCGAAAATGTCTCTCACTCGGGTCATCAAGGCTCTCGCGGTTCTTTCCGCCACCCAGAGTGTCAACGCTCACTCCTGGGTTGAGTACGTGCGCCGCGTATCGTCCACTGGTTCCTTTGTTGGAGATATTGGCTACCCTATGGGTCACGTCAACCGGACTGATCCTAGCTTTGCCGACACCGCCGTCCAGAACAAGATTCTCGATGTCACGAGCAACCCAGCCGTGTGCCGGGAATTCTCGGGCGGCGGCTACTCCAACCCTGCGTACCCTCCCCTCACAGCAGCTGCCGGCGAGTTCGTCTCCTTGCAGTATGCCGAGAATGGCCACACTAGCTTTCCGGACCAGACACCGCGAGGATTCAGAGGCGGCAACGTGATGATCTACGGAACTTCGGAGGACACAACGGGTATGGGCATCAACGACGTCTTGTACCAGTGGGACACTGAGGGCTCGGGCGGCAACCAGAAGGGCAAACTTCTGGCCAGCCATTTCTTTGATGACGGACAGTGCTATGAGAACCCCAACGCCTCGCCCATTCGAGCTCAACGTGCCGCTAAGTACGGAGCAGAGAGCCTTCTCTGCCAGTCCAACTTGCAGCTCCCTTCAGATCTGCCGGCATCAGGCAAGTACACTGTCATGTGGGTTTGGGACTGGCCTCAGAACCCCAACGAGAAGGGCAACACCACCGAGATTTACACCAGCTGTGCTACAATCAACCTTGACGCCCCTTCGTCCGGCTCCAGCATCAAGGGTGTCGTTCAGTTCAAGCAGAACAAGAACATTCTGCTGGCTGCCATCGAATCACAGATGAAGACTCTCGTCGAGGTAACCGCACGCGGCACTGGCACAGCAGCTCCCGCTGCCGTCACCGATGCCCCTGCTGCCACAAACACTGCTTCTGCATCCGCATCCAAGACTCAGGCCTCGAGCTCTTCCAAGAAGCACGGCGGCGGCGGCGTGAAGACGGTTACCGTCACTGCCGAAGCCGCGACCGTCACCCAGTACGAGACTGTTACCGTCAGTGCTGGTGCAGGTGGTAGCGGCCAGAAGACAAGCTCCGCCGCGCAAGCAAGCGTGACCTCGGGCCTGAAGACCTCTGTTAGAAGCAGCTCGACCCGGCCCGCCATCACCGGAGCCGTATCTGTCACCAGCGTCGCCCCCTTCCTCAAGGCTCGCGCCACTGGCCAGGCACGCCGCATGAGATAAGAGTCACCGCCATCTCGTTCGGCAGGGCGGCCAGCCATCATCCGGCCCTCCCAACCTATCGCGACAGTATATACCTCCCACTCCCTACCCCTCTGTAAATAACCCTCACGACGACCTGGTCTTTGCAAGGAAGAAGGCCTGGTGCTCAAGGGAGGCTGGACACCAAACGGTACATAAAAGCGGCATGACATACATGGACATGAGTGAATGGTTGCATGGACAAGGCGTTTTTCAGAGAAAGTGGTTGATACCCGGATTGCATTTTTTTCAGGTCTGCTTTGGTTTTATTTTATTTTCCGGCTTCCAAGGGGACTGCATCCATAGGCATAGGCATCAGCATTAGGCATGTCGCATAGGGGTACCGCGCTATGCATTGCGCTCATTTTTACGTACGTACACTGCCGGCTGAGCTAGTCTCGGGCATGAAATACAGTTCACTTCACACAAAATTGTTGCAATAATCTGCCTTTCCACTGCCGAATTTCATATCACTCAGAAGCGTAGGCTACGTTTCTGCAGCACTGGCTCCAAGTTGAACCGCGTCCGCTTCCCGCCTCCTACACTCCTCCACCAGCGGCAGCAGCTTCGGTGCATACTGCGCCGCCAGCTCCAGCGCTGTCTCCCCCCTCGACGCCAAGTTCAAAGTCTTGCTATCTGTACGTGCGCCCCGGCGGAGAAGCTCCTCGGCCATACGCTCCCTGCGGCTGGCCAGGGCGATGTTGAGCCCAGAGCCCCAGTCGAAGTCGCTCGCGTAGCCGCGGCTGTTGTGCGCCCATTTGCGCGCCTCCGGGTCGGCGCCCGCGTCGAGGAGGAAGCGCAGCACGGCCACGTTGCGGCCCCCCGGCCCCCCGCCGCCGGCGAAGTCATCCGCGGAACTCGTCCCGGACTCGAGATCGTCGGCAGCCGAGCAGACGAAGGGGACTGCGTTGGCGGCGTTGCCTCCCGATGCGTGTAGCAGCTGAACCGTGCTCAGGGGTGTGTCGGCGTCGCTGACGGCTTTGAGGAACGGGGTCAGGCCCCAGCGGGCCTCGGCGTTGGGGTCTGCGCCGTGGGCGAGGAACCAGCGTGTGAGGTTCTCGTCGTGCAGAACGAACCTAGCGATCATGTCAGGAGACTCATACGTGGTAAGGAAGACCTGGATGTGAAAAGTACGCGAGAGGGGGTGGATCGGAGGAGTTGTTTAGAGGAGCGTTGATGTCGAGTCCATGGTCGAGGAGAGCCTGCCACGTTCCTGGTGATGACTTGCTTGACACGGCCTCCCACACGGCGAGACGACACATTTTGATGCCTTGGGTGAGAAGATAGGCCACTACGTCTGCACGGTCCAGTCGTATAGCTTGATACAGGATGGGCTCGAGGGTGCCTAGGGGATAGTGATCCGGGCCGCGCGGCGGGGAAGGCTGCGGCATGTTTTGCCATGCTGATACTATTCTCTCAACCTCCCCGAGTGCTGTGTCGCCCTTAGTACAAGCATTTTCCAACTCTCTCATCAAGGGGTGGTCGGGATAGTACCGGATGCCGGCAACGGGGAGTTCGGGCTGGTCGCCATGTCGATACGGTCGACGGTTCTGTTCGTGTGAGCTAGACATGTTGAGGTGTCTTGGACACTCGATAGAGGTTCTAGCTGCCCAAAGGTTACTGCACGTATTGATCAGAGGTACGCCGGCTGAAATTCAGGTGTAAATTGCACCTTCAGGTAGGAGAAATCCTCAGCCAATGCTCTTCAGTTGAGTGACGTCACAGTATGATGCGTTCCAGTGCGACACGTGAGACTAGCTGAATGCCGTATCCTTCTGCCTGGGTTAAATCCCATATCTCACTTGGTGAATGAACCTCACATCTGACTTGGTGGGTCACAGGCTAGATTGTATACACGTAGAGGCAAGATCTCCAGGACCAGAATGGCAATTTCCAAAGTCCACTGCGAATTTACGCAATTCCTGTCTATTAGCACACGGGAAGTGTTAGATAATGTTGATATAGCAGCAATGATCAGCATATAGCTCAAGATCCTGCGGCTGACTGATTTGTCACAGAATCCTATCCTCTGCCAGATTGTAAGCAGTCAGCTCGGAGCCTTTGGACCGCTGACTGCCCGAGTAACCACAGCCCAGTAGCAGTGCTTCATGATTGGCTCACTGAATTTGAAGGAGCTAAGAACTCAATGTCCGCCTGTTTCACTTCAGGAGAAATTGGGATCAATGATATAATCTATCAGGCTGAGTAGCCCGGGTGGGCAGCCATGTCAGATCACGGACAAGAAAGCAACTCCAGTTGAATGTCATCGAGACCGAAGGATTACTCACGGGCGAGGCGAACCGTAAGTATAAACAGATTTCATTTCACCATTGATATCTATTAGTCTGTTTCTCATCATCGACAATCTCAAGACAGTTATACTTGCAACTCTGGCGTCAACGCCAGCAGACACGCCATAACAACTATGCAGTTCTTGAAGACTTTTTTCCTCTTAGGGCTGGCCGCCGTCCAGTCATTGGGAGAACCTATCCCAAGGCAAGAGTCTCTCGCAGACTACCTCTTGAACCCCGTATTAACACAGCAGATAGACCCAATGGCTTGGTCTCAGCTCGGGACGACCTTCCTCCTGTGCATGTCTCAAAGCGCGCTGATCCGCCTCCGCCCGACCAGCGCACCCCCGTAAGTATCGGCGAGGTCGTGCGCGAGAAAGTCGACGAGACGCTGTACACCGAGGGCCTCAAGACATGCATCGCCGTGGTCGTCATCGGCGAGAAGAACGTCGACAAGGCGTCATGGGACAAGATCATGGCGCACATCTCGTCCAACCTCTGCCAGGATGGCGACATCCCCGATCTGGACACTCAGCTCAACGACCTCTTCGAGTTGGACACCGATACCAAGTACATCGTCAACCGCAAGGCGTATGTCCTTACGGCCCCAGATGGCAACAATGCCGCGCAGGCGGCTTTCAACAATTATGTCCTGCAGAAGGCACAGGCCCATTGGGGCAATGACCGGGTACAGAGAATCGATCGCGACCAGACTCACGTCGACGAGCCGGGCGGCTCGCGCTTATGGACGGATGGTAGTAGAAATACCTACTGGGGTAAAAACGGGGATTTGATTGCACCAGCGATCTGAAGCTCATCTAGAAACACGGGTTCTGCAAAGCGTTTGATCAAGCGCTGCGAGTTTCCAATTGAAATGAGCTTCATACGAAATTTAGGTTCTTCTGCCGCCTCTCTACCGTGCTCCTAACCCTGGCGAAAGCTCTCAGTTCAGTGAAATATAATGAAGAAGCGTACCGCTATGACTTTCAGTAAGTGTGTTATTAACCAATTCATTCATCGAATCGAATATGCGTCACCAGATATAAGTATGTGTCCACGACGAGTAATTGTTTATCCCGCAGTCAGCGCCTGCACTTGATGCTTTCATAATTGGGGTTTCCTAATTTGATTTCAAGGGGCTGCCGTCCTCTATCCACGATGAGCATCTGTCTCGTTGCGTGGTTGTTGAATTCATTGGGCTCATCGTAATTTGTTCATCAGATTGTTCACTCTTCCAATCAAGGAAGGCAACGTCAAGGCCTCAACTGTTTCGAAGCCGCCTTGTGGCTGCTTCACACACTTTCCGGAGACCTATAGGGATGGCACTGATATCATAGTGGTACTAAGTTGGAATGTGTTAGAAATACCCAGGTAATGCGGGGCCACGCTAGCGACGAGTTGGAGATTCCAGAAGAGACAGCTTATGTTGATAGAAACTGAGAAAGAAAGACTTGTCGCATTGCTGGTGCAGTGCATTTGCACATATGTTGATTATTTACGTACATGAATGAGTGGCACTTTGCCGGTGTCTGGGAGGATGAGGGGCCGAGTAGTCTTACACAGCTAAAGCATCTCCTGCTACTTGTGGAACTTGAGGAAGCATATTCCCCAGAGTTTGCTAACGTGTAAATATAGTGAGCCATTCATCACATGTGTGGTTCAGTTACCATGACGCCATATCAAAGTCCATGTTTAGACACTGCATGAGAGCACCCAACGGCTAATGATTCATCCAACGCAGATCGAGTGGACAACAGGTATGCCATTGGACAGGTAGCGAACGCAGCCCCTGTAAGGTGCTCCAGTACGCCCACTGCGCAAAAATAGAATCACCGTACCTCCTGCATCAAGCAAAAGATAAGGCACTTGGGAGCAGGCTGCAGCCAATAGTCGACGCTGGCGAGACCCCTCGGCTGCAGAGAACCAGCCTTGCTATAGGCAGTACCGAGAAACTGCGAGTTGGTGCCAGTCCTAGACCGGGGGGGTTTGCAGCACGCACAGGCCAGCCGTCGGGCACCCTGGTTTGGCGGGTGGTCCCTCTGCCGAACCCGCCTGCCCGTCTCCCCACACATATTGCAGGGCCTCTGCTCCTCAATCAAAGACTCGCATCAGGCGGTCGCGCTTTACGAACACTACATGAGTGACTAGCCAACCTCCTACAGCCATGGCGGACGGTGGATCTCAGACTGCCTTCGCCTCGGCAGCGGCCTGGGACAGTCACCGGGCCATCATCACAGACCTGTACCAAGCCAGGAACATGCCCTTGACCCAGGTGATGCAGTACATGGAATCTCGGCACGGTTTCAAAGCCACGTTAGTGCATATACATCGCTTCACCGTGGACACAAGGAATAACCACTAAAGAAACAGCATGAAAATGTATAAATACCGCATCAAACAGTGGAACCTCCGCAAGAACCTTCGAGCTCAGGACGTCGAAGAGTTTGTCCGCTCCAAGAAGACGCCCGAGATTCGGGGAGCCAAGGCCAGTCAGGAGCGGATTGAAAAATACCTCCGCCAGCGGGACAGGTTGACCAAAAAGCATGACCATGTGGCACAGCATACGAGGAGCCCCCTGCACGACGGCCGGAATCCAGGCGTCGCCTCATCTACAGCACTGGCCGTTGCCGCCCATAACAACACAGTCCGGATCCTTAAGCCCCCCCTTTTTTCTCCACGTTCCCCAGATGTCCTCAGGGCATTGGAGGGAAGCATCCATGCAATGCGATCTTATACTTCGGCACACTTTGATACCAAAGCATGGGTGCTTGACTCCCGGGGGGACCTGGATGTGTCAAAGGATCCCGCTTTAGAATGGCACGGTACTTGGTACACAGTAAGACACCTCATGGACGCCGGCAAGGCGAAGGAAGCTTTCCGTGTTGTGCAAAAGTCCAACCAAGTTTTCGAAAAAGTCCTGGCCAGCGACTCGCCTACCTTTTTTAGCTCTGCCTTCATCGTGTTCCTGGGCCTCAGCGGAAGCTGGCCGGACCTAGCAGCCTCTGTATTGCGATACATGCACTCACTTTCGCGAATCATCCTCAAGGACTCCGACCATCCTATGATAGAGTTACTGTCCAATATCCGCAAAATAGGTATGTTGTTCGAGGCTCATAGTAGTTCGTGCATTGAGCAGTTGTTAAGAACAAGTCAATTCAGAAATCGGGGAGCTTCCAAAATATGGGCGTACACTCACAAATGGCTCTGTTGCTGTTATTCAGGACTTCTTTCCATTTCACAGCAAAATTCATGTCGAAGCAATCATCGACGCAGCACGGGACCTATTTCAGCTTGGTATCGTTGACGGTGACTCGGCAGTATCGCAAATCTTAGCAATCATTCGACAATTAGAGGCCTCGGACGGCGTGGACCCCTACAGGATTTTGTCAGCCAAAAGAGAACTTACCTATGTTTATCTATGGAAGAAGGACTATACCAGCGCATTAAAAACGGTATCGGAAATCTTGTTGCCGAGTAATAGGTACGTCAAGTTCCGACTCCCGATGGCCACCAGCCATCGCTGCGTGAAGAGCGTCTACTGCCTGGTGTTGACGCAGGTGCCAATGTCACAAGAGACCCTTGCTAAAACTCATACTGTTAGGGAGGTGATCAAGGGAATGTTCACCGAACCGGTTTCCTATAGGCTGTTGTTCCAAATTCATAAGGAGCTTGGAAACCGCCAAGAGGCGATCACCGCTTGTAGGAAGGTAGTCGAGTTCTGCGTCGACCGGTATGGCCTCGCGGACGACTTCACGATTGATAATTTGTCTGCATTCGAGAGCTATTTGCGAGAGTGTGGAAATATCGAGGAGGCAGACCAAGTGAAGGAGACCCTTAAAGGCGCCATGGATGAACTATGCAGTGGCATAGAGGAGCTCGGGGTCGACTCACTAGACGAGGCTGCCTAGAGAACTACAGGGTGCATCATTAGAGACTGACGCCCACTCATCAAAATTTGGCCACTAATACTCCTTGGATATGCAGACAGGGAGACCGAACTGCTCTTCACGGAAGATGATGGATTCCATTGCTAAGAAAATCAACAACTCTCAGTGGAACGACTACAGCTCTGGTTTCAGACGCTGCTGCGCGAGTCCTAACCAAACTGGTGGCTATGAAATCAGGTGTTACCGAAGAGCACGCAGGATGGAAGAGATGGTGGTCGAGCTTGTCGGCGGCCCGGTAGCATCGTTTCGCCCAGGATTCTGAAATCTCGAAGACAAGCGACGGCCGGTAAGCTAAGGGTTTGTCAGGCAAATGAAAAATCCTACGGAAGGATGGACTGTAGCCACGATGGCTAGGGGGCTCGGCGAAGTTCCCAGAAGCACTACTCCTCCACCTCAACAACCAACTTTGTACAACTCACTCCCTGGAGCAGCATATCCAACCCGGCATTGATAGATCCCAATCCCTTCCCCACGACCATCGGCTCCGGGCTCGGCCTGATAACCCCCTTGGCCAGGTTCTTCCTTAGCCAAGTGCCCATCCAATACCGGAATTCCTCCAACCTCACCCCTTCCTCCAACGACGGCATTATGAAAATGGTCTCCATTCCATCGATCACGTCAGCATCCGGGGGCACGATAGGCGCGGACGCAATCTTCCCCTTTCTCTTCTTCTCAATCTCGTTAGCATCTCCAACGAAGGCCTTGAGCACGTCCTGGCACGGCGCCAATTGCCCCACGGCAAGAAAGCAGTGCCAGATCACCAACCCGTCCTCCCTGGCGGCAGAAACTATCGCATCCACCACTCCTGGGTCTTTGTAGTCGAAGACGCGGTCCGCGCCCAAAGATGCCACATACTCCTTATTCGCCGAGCCGGCCGTGGCGTACACAGCACCGAAGGGGTTTTCTGGGTCTTCGCGCATCAGCCGTGCGCTCTGTACACCCATGGTGCCGACGCTGGAGGAGGCGCCCCAGATCAGAAGGGCTTCTGATTTCCGGACTTTATCTGCTCCTCTATTGCTGCCAGGGCGAGGGAACCCAAAAACATCCCACGCCCTCAGAGGCACCTCGGCTGCCACAGGCAAGGTTGCTGCGTGGTTCCAAGAGAGGCTCGCGTCGGGAATGGGCACGGCGTGTTGCCAGGGGACAAGGCACCGCTCCTGGAAGGCGCCGTAGTCCGGGTCGCATGATTTCCAGTACGAGGCCGCGTAGGCGGCTACGCGGGTGATCCCTGGCAGAAAGGAGAGACCGCTATCGCCATCCGTAATGTCGGTGGGCACATCGTCGCCGACTTCGAGGACCAAGCCCGAGATGTCGAAGCCGATGACCGTGGGGTAAGTGGGTATGAACAGGCCGTGGTTGCGCATGTGGTTATCTGCCGGGTTGAGGGCTACGGACTTGACGGCTATGAGGAGCTCGCCTGGACCTGGCTTTGGAGTTGGACGGGCTTGAACCTCAAAGGGTTGGCCTTTGGCGAGGGAGACGGCAGCAAGGTGGGAGGACATTTTGGAGGTTACGTGTAGCTTGAGGTTGTGTGGATGTGGAAGATAATGTGTAGTAAGCCATAATGTTTTCTTCCCAGGAAAAAGAAGGATAGCCCTCTTCTTATACAATCAAGCTGTCACCGACACTGCTGACTCTTTTTCAAGACCCGTCTCATACTGTCCTGTCTTAATTACAGGCCAGCAGCGGCTTCAATACCGGCCATGAACGATCAGCCAATCAGAGGCTTCTGTATCCGAGCAATGGCTAGTGCAAAGCTTCACTATGCGAAACGGGGTTAGTCAAGAGTATGTAAGAACTGCTCCAGTAAACTTGCTAACCTAGTGGGGCCACCGTCTGGCCGAGCCTCCGCCTTGCCAACCCGATGGCTCGTAGCCCAGCCGCGTTCCTCTCTCTGATGACCTCACATTTTCCGGGTCTCCTGAGTTCAAGGTTGCGTTTAAATTGAACCTCATTGGCCTTCTCTCCGCGGCAACAGCAAACGAATATGGCTTCCACTTGTCCAAGAGTGGATCGGGGGCGCAGACCTACGCGGAGGTCGAGATTTGGCTGCCGAAACTGCAAGCTCAGAAAACTCAAAGTGGGTGACTCTCTGCTTCCCACAGGACGGCCTTCAGCTGAATGGATTTTCCTTGGTCTTCTAGTGCGATGAGGGCAAACCGCAGTGCAAGAGATGTTGTTCGTTCGGGGTGTTATGTAACTTCATGCCCAACACCCCTGACCTGCAGCCCGTCGCCGATGATACGACAAGGTCATTGGTCGCTCCAACAAGACCAGGGCTTCAACGGTCCCTCACCAATGCCATCTGGACTTCGGACGTATCAACGTCCTATCATTATCAGCTGAACGCAAAATGTCAGGAATTCGTGACTCGGTACTTAGGACGAAGTCTCATTTCTCCAGATGATCCTAGAGTAGTGGAAATGAACCACAAGCTCTTAGTACTAGCCTTCACGGTAAGTTCTATATACTTGGTCTTGTCCTGTTAGGCAGGATTAAGCTATATTATCCCATCCAAGGCCTTTGCTTTACTGAGATATTCTTGACAGCACCCTTTCTTGATGCACGCCTCCATAGCGGTGGCGTTTGCGTATGACCGCCATCTGAACAGCTCGTTAGGTCCTCGTCGCAGTCTAGAGGAGTGCTATCACTGGTCTCAAGGCACAGCTCTCTTCAACAAGCGGTTAAGGCAGCCTATTAGGACGGAAGATAAGGACGCGATCTGGGGCACTGCGGCTGCTCTGGCCATCCTGGCCTTCTGTTCCCCCGATGCCTGCACTCCGGAGGAATCGTGGCCTCTTAAACCCTCCGACTCCTCCGGATTGGAGTGGTTGCGTATGAACAGAGGCAAAATGTCATTATGGGGTTTAACGAATCCGTTGCGACCGGACAGTCTTTTCCGCATCATGGCGGCGACCTACGCCGATATGTTTTCGCCCCTGCCAGAGGGAGGCGTGGATGGTATACCCAGGGCCTTGGCTGCTGTGTGTCATCTTGAAGACTCCTCGACGGCAGAAAGCAACCCATATTTCCATGCTGCCCACGCGCTTTCCCAGCTCCAGGGCCTTCCGGATAGTCAGGTCACGATAGGTCAATCTGAACTCTTCAGGCGCAGCATCCATGGGCCCTTTGAATCCCTGCTGCGGGCAAAAGACCCCGTCGCACTTTTGCTGCTGTTTCTATGGTACCGCAAAGGGGGACGCAGTATATGGTGGATGGAACTCAGAGCAAGGGTTGAATGCCCGTCTATTTGCTCGTACCTACAGCTTTACTATAAGGATTACGGCGCTGTACAAGCATTACTTCCAGAGGGCCGCCTAGCGGATGGATGAAACTAGTTGGGGTTTTGAAACCCGCAACTGATGCTGTCTTTGCGACACGTTAATGAGAGGATATTAGCAGAAGGTGGCTTGTGCCCGGGCCGCAAATAATGGCATGGCGCGCGGCACGACGCTGTCTCCCGGCAAGATGTCGCCATGGAGGCCGACGTGCAAGAACGCCAAGCCGAAATCGTGCCGTTGAGTCCGCCGTTGTGATAACCCTTCACATGACCATATCGTTGATGCCGGCGATGGCGTTGCTGACCGCGTGCGGCGCCGGACCTAAGAACCCAAAGACCTGCTCATTGTCCGGCACCAGTATGCCTCAACCATACCCGTGAACGTCAACCAGCAGGGACCCGGCTTAGAAAGCCGCCAAGCCGAGGGCTAGGGTGTTGTGCCGGTTTTTGCTAAGTTAGCTAAGGCGGCGAGGGCCAACCTGACAGGAGGTGAATACGGGTCAGTTGGATTAGATCTGTGTTGGCAGTCACAACGCGGAGAATGTGTGGAAGCTCTTATATGAGCAGGACAAATCGTGGTCTCTATTTGTCCTGCTCTCTCTACGTGGGAACAACAGTGGCAACGCACTCTAAGCGTTACGGTCCATATCCAGAGGTGACCATGTCTTTCCCCAGGCGAAGCGCCCTTCGCTAACAACCACTCTCATACTGTGTCCGATGCAGATTTATTCAGCCGAAGAAGGGTCCATCATATTCCATAAGTATCCTGGGTAAATAAGTTTGTGTACTGTGTGCAGACTGGCTGAGGAGCGAGTATTAAGTTTGGAGTGGTGGCCCGCTAACTACATGCCTCATCACTAATATCGTGATACGAGCAAAAACGAAATTGTGCACCGCAACGTTATAGTGGGCCCGATATAGATCAATCGCACCACATTGGTACAGCAACTGGTTCCGATCCTAAGCGCATCAATAATATTCTAGACGTCTCAAGCCCATCTGCGCGTCATTCCACATGCCAGCAGAACAAACTCGTGAATGTCAGTCAGTCCGCGACGATTGTATTTCCCAATTGTGAACAACCGCTCCGTTGCCAAGTGACGACTACAGGCAGCGTGGGATCTCGAGACACAGCTCTTTGCGGATGTACCTTCCAGAGCTGTCAGCCGTGCATTTGCAGGAAAAGGAGGCGCTCACAGGTTTCCACCATTCACGCGGGGACCCCAACCCTGGCGAATGCTAACACCCCGGACCATGACCCCTGATCATCCCCCACAAATCACTTCCGCTGCCGATGCCACGGCGGACCCCCCCTCCGTAACTGTAATTGGTCATCGTGCCCGGCCCAGCCCGGAGGCCGGCACCAATCGATCCAACCCCGGTTGGATGGCCCGCTAAGCTATGCTTGCCTGGCGGCACGGCGTGATATCGTGGATTTGGACGAGATTGGCACTTGCCTGGAGATCTCATGATCTAATACGCAGTGAGGATAGGCGAAGCGAAGAGTTTTCCCCATGGATACGGTTTGTTAGGGTCCCTTGATGTCATTTCCGAATCTCACTGGATGCCAAGGGCTAGAGAGCGACCCTAGAACGCTGAGAACGGACGATGCTGAAATCATATAAGATGTCGTATATCGAGCCGGATCTGCAGGCCACTGGACCAGTGTAGGTCCCAGCAATAGCCTCACTTGCTTTGCAACATCGGGCTACTGGGCAACACCGGCACCATGTTGCTGGTCGGTCTTCTGTACGCGGTGCTGCTCTGGCCCGCCGTCGTCCTGGCCGCATTCGGATACAAAGATGATGGCACGAACTATGTCATCGACTCCGGTGCTAAGCTGGTGATCAAGGTCAATAAAGGGTCGGGAGACATAGTATCGATGCTGTACGGCGGCGTCGAGTACAACGGCTACGACCGCAAGAACACCCAAGTCGAGTCTGGCTTGGGCGCTAGCACAGTCACTATCCAACAGTTCTCCTCGCCCTCCGCCATCATAAAAGTGACAGTCACCCATGGGACTCTGAAGCACTACCTCTTCGTGCGCTATGGAAACAACAACGTCTATATCTTCACCAACAAGAAGGACGCGAGCGTAACCGCCTCGAGATACATTGTCCGCTTCCCCCCGGGTATGTGGAATAGCCAGCACTCCAGCCAAGATGCAGATTGGTACGACTCAAGTACGTTCATCGAGTCGCAAGACATCACAGCGGATTCGAATGGCTACACAGAGAGCAAGCACTATACTGGAAACACCTATGGCAGGACCATCGATTGTGAGTCTCTTCCCTGCGAACTTTTCCTTCTGATGGATGCGTCCACTAACGTCAGTTTCTAGACGATTATGTCGGTTATAGCTCTGGATCCGTTGGCGTGTGGATGGTCAGGAGCAACCACGAGAAGGCATCAGGAGGACCATTCTTCAGGTCGTTACTCCGCCGCGGTAGCTCTGGCGGATCCGACATCTACGAAATTTATCATTATAACATGGGTCACACAGACGTAGAGCGGTTTGGGCTGCAGGGTCCTCACGTGCTCTCCTTCACAGATGGTGGTCCGCCGAACAACGCCTTGTTTGCCCGCAAGGCGGATTGGGGCTGGTTCGACACTCTTGGTGTAAGTGGAGCGCTTGCTTTGCATCTATTCCTTATTCATGCTAACTCCACCAAAACAGATCGACGGATGGGTGCCAGCCAGTGGCCGTGGTTATGCCTCGGGTGTTGGTCTGGCAAACATGAAATCTGGGTACACGTACGTCGTCGGGTTGTCAAATAACAATGCACAGTACTGGGGCACGGCTGGCAGCACTGGGGCATGGTCGATCTATGGCGTTTTGCCCGGCACCTATACCCTGACGGTTTACAAATCCGAGCTCGAGGTGTACAAAGGCAGCGTTACAATCAACGCAGGCGCCGGCACCGCTGTGCACACCCTCACATGCGATGATCCCGCAGACGACGTGGCCATTTGGCGCATCGGAGAGTGGGACGGCACGCCCAAGGGCTTCCTAAACTTTGCCGACACGCCTATGAAGCCGACTTATATGCACCCAAGTGACAAGCGCCTCAGTAACTGGGATGCGAGCAACTATATCGTCGGCACCAGCACACCAAGCATCTTCCCCGGATATATTTGGCAGGCCATCAACAACGACCACATCGTCTACTTCAAGCTGACGGCTGACCAGCTGACTAAGGCCCATACGATCCGTATCGGTATCACGGAAGCCTATATTGGTGGTCGACCCATGATCAGCGTGAACGGGTGGAAGAGCTCGGTGACGCCGGCGACCAACCAGGCCAGCACCCGCAGTCTGACTGTTGGCACCTACAGGGGCAACAATGTCATGCTAACCTGGGAGGTTCCGGCCTCTGCCTGGATTCAGAGCACTTCCGAATGGCAGGTGCTAACTATCTCCGTCATCACGGGCAGCTCGGGGACCGGCTACCTCAGCGGCGCCATCAGTGTCGATGCTGTAGATTTCCTCTAGAAGTGTGGAAGCAAAAAGGGGCGCTCACACTAGACTGGGGTTTGATGCGCGGCATAAGAGGCCGCTGTGATCTTGAAGTTCTACCAAAATCGTATAACGAAGAGGGGATCATGAGGTATGAAGATGGCTGATGCGAGAGCTGACGCAACGACTTGACGCTTGAAATGGGTTTCCTTTGTTGGCGCGTTGTTTGCCTACTGTTCCGCTGTACATATTTTGTTGCACTGCTTAGTTGCCACCCTAATCATAGGGAACTCCATTGATTTGAGGTTGCACAAGGTTTCGTTCTTTCTGAGATTCGTGATGCTGAACTTGAAAGATATTGATATGCGTACTAGGCTACCCTGCACATTGAAGATGAAGGTGCTCGATATCGATCATGGGTGTCCGTCTCTTCCTTCCAGGTTCGTAAACTGTGGTTCTTTCAGGAGGGTAAAACCAAGCTCACGATTGCTTGGCTCTGGTGTTTTCCTGCTTCCAAAGAAGTGGTGCGTAATGTGTGGGGGATGAATCTGGGGTAGGTCGTATTCGGCGGGTCTTGTCACCTCCGGGTTTTCCCTTTTCGATGTGATGAGCCAATGGGACGAGGTTTGAGCCCCCCTTTTTGGCACTTCTATAGATAAAGTATCCACACCATCTCACCTGACCAACAGGTCGAAACTCTGTTCGGGGCCGGGTTCCCCGACGTGTCCTCTATGCGATCCGCTCCAGTCGGCACATGTTTGTAGCGTTGCACTTGGGTAGTGACGAGGGTCCTGGTTAGTTTTGGTGTGCTCAAGATATCCTGACCAAGAACTTCGCCCTTTGGTTGAGTTGCTGATTCGAGGGATTTACCAGGGGAAATCTTCGCTGAGAAGTGGACCGATGGTATCTTGGGACACTTCGGCCGGCACCTTCACGGCTCTATGCAAGGGGAAAATGCGTCCTTGGACTATGAGGGGTCAATTGCTGACCCATTGCAGCTGTGAGACCATTGGAGGATGATTTCTGCTAGCGTAACATCATTGACGATACCTTCAACTCAGCCATGTGACCTGCTTTTCCCAGTGTAGCGCTAGAGATTGTTATACATATAACTTGATTCCCACTGGAAGTGTTGCCCAGCGGGGAAAGTAGTCAATCTTGCGCTTCACTGTGGCTTGTTCAGCAAAGATGAGATACCAAAATCATCACCTGCTTGCTGCTTTGCTCAGCTACGGTTCGCTGACCAAGGCAGATACTACCACAACCATCAATACGAAAACCAATTGGGGAACCTGGGAAGGATGGGGCACATCGCTTGCTTGGTGGGCAGCGGCCTTTGGAACACGCGACGACCTCGCCAACATATTCTTTACCACTAATTCGGTGACGTACAATGGTGCAAGTATTCCGGGACTTGGCTTCAATATTGTTCGCTACAATGCTGGCGCCTGCAGCTGGAATAGCGTCAATGGCGAAACAATGGTAGAGTCGCCCAAGATGATAGCCTCGAGGCAGATCGAAGGATACTGGATCAACTGGGACAATACGGATCCCTCGTCATCCAGCTGGGACTGGTCTGTGGATGCGAACCAAAGGACAATGATGCAGAAGGCTGCTTCCAGGGGCGCGGACACTTTCGAGCTCTTCAGTAACAGCCCTATGTGGTGGATGCTGTATAATCACAACCCTGCCGGTTCCGACAGCGGGTCGAGCGACAACCTGCAGAGTTGGAACTACGACCAGTTCGCCATCTACCTTGCCAACGTTGCCCAGCATGCCAAAGCCAACTGGGGCATTACTTTCAACTCGGTAGACCCCTTCAACGAGCCCATGGCAAACTGGTGGAACGGCAACTCGGGCACTCAAGAGGGCTGCCACTTTGACGTCAAAACTCAAGCGACAGTGCTGGGCACCATGCGCACTCAGCTCAACTCGCGCGGCCTTTCGTCAACCATCATCTCCGCCTCCGACGAGAACTCATACGATGTAGCCGTCTCGACCTGGAACTCGCTCAAGAGCGCCGGCGCCACCGGCAACGTGGGCCGCATCAATGTGCACGGGTACCAACAAGCCAGCGGGCGCCGCGACACACTCTACTCGCTTGCGCAGAGCTCGGGAAAGAAGCTCTGGAACAGCGAGTATGGCGAGAGCGATGCGACCGGGTCCTCCCTCGCGAGCAATCTCATCCTCGATTTCCGCTGGCTGCACCCCACGGCCTGGGTGTACTGGCAGGTGATTGACGGAGGCGGCTGGGGCCTCATCGACGGCAGCAACGATGCGCGCACGCTCGGTGCCGTGAGCCAGAAGTACTACGTCCTGGCGCAGTTCACGCGGCACATCAGGAAGGGCATGACGATTCTGGATGGTGGGAGCGACAATACTGTCGCCGCGTACGATGCCGCCAACAAGAAGCTCATCATCGTCGCTGTTAACTGGGGCAGCGCACAATACTTGAACTTTGACCTGTCCAGTTTCACCACGCCGGGTACCAACGGTGCGCTTGTGACGAGATGGAGCACGATGATCGGAAGTGGTGAGCGGTATGTCAAGTATAGTGACACGTATCTCAGTGGGACAAAGTTCTGGTCGAATTTTGCTACGAACCAGATCCAGACATTTGAGGTCAGCGGCGTTACCTTGTAAGTTAAGTATGCATGAGTGACCCAATACGGTACATATACGTAGGTTTTTGTATATAATTTATACTTCAGTTGAACATCCGGTATGATGAACTCAATGGTGAAAATACTTATATGTGGCATGCATTCTGCAGAACAGTATTCCCGGACCAAATGAATCAAAATGAAAAAGGAACTAGTACATGTCTCTGACTTTATTCGATGGATGTACCTTTATGCCGAACCTGAGGTCAGCAGAGCACCGAGGTGGTGAGTTGCCAACTACGTCGACTTCGCAGCCTCCCTCTTGACCTTTTCTACGCCTTTCTCCAGGCTCGCCCCGACAGCTTTCTCAAGCACCAGGACAAAAGCTCGTCTCTTTCGCTGGTCCTCATCCTCGACTCCAAGGTCCCCAATCTCTAGCGCAGCCCATTCGCTTGCTATCAAGTCCCTGAGATCTTCCGCTGTCTTCGGCAACCCCAGCTCCTCCAAAGCATCAGCGGTGCGCTTATCCACGAATGGGTACAACTCCTCCCAGAGCCACTGGACTCGCCGGCAGAAGATATCCAACCCGGTATCACCGAGCCCCTTGACGGATTTCTTCAGCCACTCGCGCTCCTTCTCCACATCATGTCCGGCCTGCTCTCTGCAGGCGTCGAGGCTCCCGTCGTCGTCCGACTCGGCCCACATCTCCGTGACAACCTCGGCCAGCCCGAACGCCTGATCTGCAGTCTTGTCCTTGTGCTGCGTGCGCGCGTCCCACAGCGACTGGAGGACCTTGTCCTTCCCGGCCTTCCTGATGGCGCCCGGCGTGTGGAAGCTGTACGGCTCATTGAGCATGGTCCGAATGGTGCGCTGACCGAGCCTGTGCGAGATGGGCCGCGAGAGCACCACGGCGGCCAGCAGCTCCTCGAAGGCGCTGAGCCGCGCCGAGGCGTAGATGCGGACCTCCTTCGGGGTGGACGCCTCGCTCTCCGGGACTGTGTAGGGTAGGGGTGTGTCAGATAGGAGAAAGTGCAGGACTTGTGAGGCTGTTGGTGATGACCCGGCCTCATCGGCCTCCGCCTTGGGAGAGGGAGACTGCCGCGCCGCCTTTGCTGGTGGAGGCGAAGTTGCCCCTTTATCAGCCTCACTTGTTTTGCGCTTATGTGGTACTGATGGGACGATCTTTACGTCTTTCTCAGTGCTTTCACTCTTTTCCGTGCCCTGGCCGATGGATGCAGGCTCCCCGTTTCCACTGCCATGTTTTCCGTTGTTTGGCTTCTCTTCCGCCTTTGTGTGCACAGTGTCCTGATGGGCCTCCTTCGAGGATTGTGCACGAGTCGAGGGCATTTTGTTACAGGCTTGATCGATAGGACAATTGATGCTTCAGATGCTCGAGGATCTGAAGCGGCATCAGGTTACCGTACTTAGATGTGTCTGTTTTGTGTAGTTCGCAATTTATGACGTCTGCACTTACACGCAGAGTTAGCTCTAGCTAGCCAAGGGTTCTTAATTGCTTTTCGACCCCTGGCTATTGCTGCATAACCTCCACATTTTTGTGTTAGCTCGCGGGAACTACATCTCACCAGAGGACTAATTAAGCATTAGTGGAGAGCCAGCTCTTGTGAAAGATCACTTACTTATTAGTCTCTCAGGGACGACCGACTAGTGAATCGCAATCATATAATACATTCTCATTCCAGTTCTAGAGACTTTATCTATCCGCCGTATCAGTGTCAGACTCATACAAGTCATCCAAGTCGATCGCCTCGTTCAGGGCCCTCCCCTCGTCCCCTTGATGATACCTGTGAGACCGAGACTGCCGCCAGACTATCGCAACGCGACTGCAGAGTCCCATTATTCTGTGTCTGAACAGCACAAGCAAAACCAGCAGGCCCACAAATCCAATGGCTGGGGCTGTCCAGCCGCTCGAATGCGTGGTGCTGCCCTCGAGTGGATCGGGGAACACAACCGTGGCGTCCTCGAGACCCATCAATAGCAGGACAGCCGCCGTCCAGCCCGTGAAGGCCCGGCTCCTCTGCCCCTTTCCCGTGCCGTCGCTGTACTGCTCCCAGGCGAAGCCGGTCTGCTCCCAGCTGCTGTACACAGTGTCGACGACGCGCTTCCTCAGGTGCGCGGCCAGCGACTGGGCCCTGGCCCCCGCGGTCGTGCTGTTGCCCAGGTTCCGGAGGCCGAGGACCGCGAGGACGTTGATGTTCATCCAGACGGCGCCGCGCCAATAGTCCTCGTCTTTGCCGTAGTTCTCGTCCTGGGCGCTTAGACTCCGGAGGCCGTGGGGCGACCAGAGCTTGGCTGGGTCCGATAGGGTGTCAAGAACGGCGGGCAGGTGGGGATGCGATTCGTCCAAGTGCCCGAGCAGCAGCGGCATTAGCGATACATAACCAGTATGGCACACGTGCTTATATTTTCCATCGTGGCCAATCGTCGCATCGCAATAGGTTTCCGTGGCCGGATCCCAGTGGAGGGTATCGAGGTTCTGACGAACCGCCTGCAGTTGTTCCTTATAAATACTGCTATCCTCGCCAATGTACTCGGCCGCCTGCTGCAGGGCTTTTGCTGAAGCCCCAATCCATGCGAGTGCATCGACATGGAGTTCGCCCGGGTGAGGGGGCTCCGCCCGCGGATAGTCATCCAGCCCACTCCCAAGACAGTGGCCGGGGTTGCGGCCTCTCCAGCGATACCCTTCGGCATTGGCGCCACTAGGTCGTGGGTACGCCGTGAAGTTGCCTGCTTGCGTGCGGCGGAACCAATCATGGTGGCGGGAGAGCAGAGGGAAAATCTCTTTTACGAGCGCTTGGCCCTTTTCTGCTGAAGTGATCGAGTCGGATGAGTCGCCGTTGTAAGGCGTTGCATGAGTAAGCTTGGAGATGATTACAGAAACCAACATCAAGAGAGTCGGAGGATTGGCATGGTGTGGATATTGTGTCTGAAACTCTTTGGGCACTTTACTTCGTGCTTCTGGTCCCAGGATTTGCTCGCCTGAGAAAATATAGTCAGTATGTGGCAAGCCATACGAGAGAAGAACGACAGCAATATTGCATGTAACGTCGGTTCCAGATCAGTATATATGTTAGAAGACCTTATACTCACGTGCAATCCAGCCATCATCGTCCATAAGACTAAGCCAACTCTTGAGGACTTCAACAGCTAGGTTGAGGTCCCACTCAATCACAGGGAGCAGATGAAAGCCTTCGTCCCACAGGAAACCACGAGGAAAGAAGGGTCTCGAGGGGACGAAGGAGAGGAGAGACACATTGGGTTTGATGGTGACTGGAGCGTGCGCCATGGCATCTCTAAGCATACCGATTAGTTAGTTAGTGGGCTAACGTTCTAATGAGGGGGGTCATACGCAGCCTTCTCCCAGAATCTGAGGTCCGTCTCCTCGTACTCGGGCGCATGCGAGTAGTCGATCAGTTGATCGCCGTGGAAGTATCCCATGCCGCCTAGGAGGTTCGCCAACAGCGACTGCGTGAGCCCGGCGTACTTTTGGTCCTCGAAGGGCGCTGCCCTGGGAAAGACAGCATCCACACGCGTTGAGAACGCGGCACTTGAGTGCCCGTCCATGAGATCAACCATGTGGTCTTGAGTCCCTGGTTAGCATCGTCTGAGTTCCTCGGGCAAAATCTGCACTCGCCTGTAATGTACATCGTCTCGACTTCACTATATGCAAAGTCTACCTGTTCCGTAACAGGTCAGCCCCAGACCGTTATGCGACGCAAATATAGGCGAAGAAGAATCCATACTGTGAATGGCCCCTGGAACACCATTTGTGAAAAGTGGATATTGCCGATACCAGGGGCATTTACCAACATTGCATCACCAGCCTGTCCTCTAATCGCGTTGGTATAAACAGCTGTAGGAGTTTCGTATTAGAAACCGCCGCAACCCGGGTTAGCATCGGGAGCTGCCTACCTTTAGCCTGCCAGATCTGGTCCTCCGTCACGTTCAAGCTCATCACGGACGGCCCCTCGACCACCTTATTATCCGTGCCCCTCGTTATATAGAGGCCTACGGGGTCCAGCTCCGGCAGCAACGCCATACACCGGATATCATCCCGATGCCGCAAGTGGCGGACGCAGCGCAAGCTCCTCTCGCTCGTGGGGCTCTCGGCGCGCTCCATCGCGGCATGGAAAACCACCGCCGTCTTGAGGTCGGCCGGCGCGCCCGCCCTCGGGGTCCCCGTGACCCGGGCCGTCCAGCTCAAGCCGTCTTGGGACTTGTAAAAGTCGACCTTCAGGTCCACGCGCAGCGCGGCGTCGTGGATCGTCTGGCTCCCGCCCGCGCGCGGGTCGTAGCTGGTCCACCCGTAGCCCTGCATGCCGTCGTCCTGCTCGCATGTGTCGCGCAGGGCTGTTCCCCCAGGCAAAAGCGAGTCTTAGTCAGCGTGACCTGGCCCCCTGGCTGGCGGAATGAAACAAACAGCCGTGCTTGGGGACGGGACGACTTACTGCGTAGCATGCCATCGCGACTATCGCCGCTCGCCCACATCAGCCCGAACAGGAGCGTCTCGGGGAGCTGTGGGCGGACCCCGAAGTATAGATTCGGCCGATAGGGCCCCCATGTCGAGCCTGTCGTCGCTGACTTTGTGGTCCGCAACGAGTGACCACCGGCATCTTGAACGGTCGCGTGCACCGTCACTGTTACAATCAGGATGCCCAATGTCAGCCTCCACCATGCTGTGAAGAAAGTCATGATGAGCTACATCTGCCTGACGAATTAGTATCCGGGGACGTTGGCAGCATGCCTGTTTTTAAAGGGAAACGCCTGATTTGACAGGAATCCGCGATCCTTCTTTATGATTGAGCAATGCCACTTTACGCTAGTCAGCGGGACGCTCCACAATGCACGTCTCGCCTCGAAGGAGTATTAGTTGGCGACCAACGACCGTGTAGTCATCTATTCCCCACCAATCTATCTTCTATTGGAAAACACAAACTGGACATAACATGAAGCATGGCATGATATCATATCATCAAACGCGTTTGGGCTCTTCATATGAATCTACTGACGCTTGTACGTGTGTTCATCACGGGCTGTGCCTCGATCTATTTCTAGAATTGCAGTGTGGCTGCGCAAGGCATCAAGAAGATCCTATGCAACATATTTCGCTTCATAACAATGCGACATGCGCACGCCTACCCGTCGATAGGACATCTATACTCCCGCTCTCTCCCGTAGTCGTCCACTGATCTGTGCGACTCCCCCTTTTGCGCCTGCAGCTGATCCAGGCAGCTTTGGTGGTAAATGTGCCTGCAGGCGAGAACAACAAGTGGTCCCAAGGGCTGGTCTCTCCTGGGACTGTTCTGCCCTCCGTTAGTGGCAGGGTTCTCTGCTGTCCCGATCTTAGTATGTTCAGTAGCGTTGCTACTGTCTTCCTCGGCAGCCATACCCTCTAGGCCATTATCAAGGAGCTTTCGTGGAGTTTCTGCTTTCCCTTTGCCCCTCTCGGCAGGCGCTCCTATGGCAGCTTTGGCCAATTGCCGCTCCTCCCTCTTTTTATCCTCGACGGCCTGTTTCGTCTCCCAGGCCTCAAAGACATTGCCTTGCACGCCTGGACCCCATAGCCTGCGGCCACACGCCTCACAGGTCGAACCCTTGGGGCGCCACCCGCGTTGTCTGAGTTGTACAGCCGATTGTACATTCACAAAGAGCTGTTGCTCTAATAAACGATTCGATAGCTGCAGAATCGATTCCTCGTAGGCGTAGGCGGAGAAGATCGATGTCAGTACTGCTCGAAGATCCGCGAGATTAGGTGAGGTGACAGCGGCGCGGGTCAGGAAGGCCTTCAGGATGCGCAGGAAAGTCAAAGATCCATTAGACGAAGTTGAGAGAAGGCGAGCAGAAGGAGGCTGGGCTGCGTTTTGCGTAGAAGTTGCGGTCAGCAAGGCAGTAAAGGTGTGCTGGACTAGGGTTCTCAGGAGGGTGACCAGCTTCTCTGCGTCTTGACTGTGGTGCGCCGCACCCTTCTCTGCCAACTCCGGCTGTACAAGAACAGACGTCAGTCGGCGGGTGATCTGAACCGTAGTGTCAATCAAGTCAAGCCAGAGCCTCTCATCAAGGGTGAGCTCATTGGTAGCTGGCGAGCTCTGCCTTCGTTGCAGAGAACCGTTTCTTGTTGACTTCATCTGACCCTGGCAAAGCCAGATGCCAACGTGAGTGTACTTCTGCAGCCCCTTCAAGAGGTCTTCCGCCGCTTCTTGGACTTGGAACTCCTCGGTATATCCGTTGGTTCCGGCCAGGAGGCCCCGAAGTGCGGATTCGAGGGTATTGAGGTGCTTAATCAAACGTTCCATGGCATCCACGACTTGGCCCTCGCGAGCCATAAGCATGACAGCGGCATCGATGACGCCGGTCTCCTCCATTGTAGGCAATAGCTTGTCCAACCTCAGGTTGGAAGCCTGGACAAGACCGACATAGTCAGAAACATGGCTAGCGTTATAGCGACACATCAGCTGCACGTAGGGCTCGATAAAGTCGCGACCAAGTGTGCTGGTGCGCTCATTTGACGGCTCGTCATCAGGCTCGAGTAGAGCTTTTAAGTACTCGTGTTGAAGCTCAGGTCTGTCGGATATCGAGTCGAGGGCATACTGATGCAGTTCAGGAGCATTCTCGTTGAGGGTATGGGCGGCTTTGACCGGGTCAATTTCAACAAGGTCTTTGGAGTGCTGCTTGATGACATCGTGTACATCTTGGAGTTGCCTCTTGGTAAGTCCAACCTGCGGTCGCAAACACTCCGCTATGCAGTCGAAGATTTCTTCTTGATCTTCGTAATCCTCGAAATAGGTCTGTAGCAATTTACCGTACTGCTTATCATTCCGATAAATTCGTTTCAAGATTCGAAAGAATCCCGCTTTCTTGAATAGGGGTATCATGGGTGCTAGATCTGGAGGATGATATATGGAAAGGAGATACTCCGCGCTGAGCTGTGCATCGTCGGCCAAGTCTGCACCGGGATAGTTGCAGAGACCAGTGACCACATTATTGAGAGTGGAACCAGGAAGGATGAGATACTGCGGGAATTTGGGAAGGTTGCGAGCAATGAACATGTCCAAATAGATCGTATCCTCGGGCGCGAAATCCGCGGGGCTCATGACTTCCAGCAGAATGGACACAACGTACTGTCGGTCGACAGTCATCCCAAAGAACTGCTCCTCGGGCAGGTCTTTCCCTGTACCGCCGTTCAGGTGCTTCTCTTGAGAATCGTTGAGGAACGAGTCCTCGAATCCTTCGTTTAATGCGCTGAGGAAGCTCGGGGCGTCGAACTTGAGTATCATGCGCAGGTATGGGAAAGATGGCTCGTCGTTCTGCATCGGTCGCGTGCGGAATGTCTTGTTGCTTCCTTTGGGCCATGTGATGGTTTTCCCGGAAAATAGAAACCAGTATATCTCAGCTTTGGCTTGTGATGCCAAGGCGTCGTCCATCATTTCTCCGGTGGGGTATACCCTGCCAGTCAATGTATATGACAGATACGGGAACATCTTGAGAGCATTGACGCCAAATATCTCGTCGTTCATGATGGCATCAGACGCACGCTCGCCATCTTGCATGAGGGGGATCAGAAGGGTGACTAGATCTATCATCGGAGTCACGTAGTCCCGCAATGCCTGGTTCCAGACATAGATCAGGGCATCATAGAGACTGTGCTGCTTGCAAAGCAGGGTGATCTCGTCAATGTCGAGGGTTGCCGTTTCCATGTGGCAAATCATCTCTTCGAGCCGACTTTCCCAGCCTTTGCTCACGAAATGCGTTACCATAGCCTTGACAACAGTAGGAGGTACCATCCTTATCGTCCTCTCAAGGATATATGGCTCTAGTGTCTCGAGGAAGATGCCTTCCACGTCTCCATCCTCGTACCATTCATACATCTCGTCGAAGACAAAGTCGACATCTCCGATATTCTGGCACGCAACGAAGCAGGTCTCTGCCAGCTCCCGAAGATGTTGATCGTCTACTGCAGCGCGGTTTTTGTGTCGTTGGCCAAAGGCGTACTTCAATGACGCGCTCATGATCTCCACCAACTTGTCACGAACCATCTTATGCCTCAGTCCGGTATCCTCTGGCAGTCCGACAGTAAGTTTGTCAGAATCGCCCGTGTAATAAGAAGTTGCCAGCTGGATGGCCCCAACATAGTCGCCGTTCTCCATCAAGGCGATGAGTCGGTCCGCCCAATTTGACAAGGCGCCTATCGATACGTCGTTAAAGCCCAGCAGAAAGATTCGTCCTTTGTAAGCCTTGAGACTCATGTAGAAAGCGTCGGCGACAACGCCATGCATCGACGTGTCTTCCTCGTCTAGCTGTTCCACCAGCGCATGTAGCTGCTTCGAGAAGAGGTCCGCATGATAGATGTGCTTGTGGATGAGATCGAAACCTTCGGTCATCCGCATGGTCCGATCTTCTAGTATAATGAGCCGTTGCGTGATGGTGAGCACGGTAAGAACGGATCGGGTCAGCCACTGGACAGCAACGATGGCCTCTTCGCACTTCCAGCGGTTGCGGGCCTTGAACCTCAAACCAGGGGGCTTATCCTTGTCCTCAGTAGGCACCTCATCCACATCGAGAACGGTCAAGACGTTGGACCAGCAGTACACCAGCTTGACCTTGGACATGGTACTGCCGGTGTTTGGATCTGGCACCTTGAGCTTGACCGCTGGAAACCATGCCAAGCACCCGCTCATAGCGCTGTGCGGCGCCACGTCTTTCGGTCGCGCTGATTTGTGTTGCGTTTGAGCAATTGGGGTCGTTGATACGATGACCAACAGGTACGGTGTCAGCATTGCTGTCAAGCCCATGGAGTCTGTCGCCCGCTCGACATTGCCAAGCGGCAAAGGAGCAAAGGCCAAAACGGTGCTGGGCTTGAGAGTTTTGCCGGCCGGGGTCGGGGCATTCGGATAGCGACCCAGGATCCTGACCGTCTTGACCGTTCTTCCAAGAGCGCCGGTTCCCCTGGTGGCGAGGTGCGAGAATGCCATGCCACGGTCATCAGCGGAAACCAAAGCCGTATGGCGTGTGCCCAGAAAGCCCAGGTGAGTAACAGCGACATTCGGCATGTGTCCGTCCTGGGTCCTGTTTTGTAACTGGGCTTCCTCCAGGTGAGAGATCGTGAGAAATGGCCTCGAAGCCCGGGTAGTGTCCCAGGTGAAGATGTTGCCATTTGCGTGACCACCAGCAAGGGTCGAGTGGTCCGCCGACACGGCCAGAGCAGTGATGGCCCCTGACTCGACAGCTATACCAAGATTAGCATGAGTTTCGGCCAGTTGCGGCTTTTGGGGAGCTGACCTTTCGTGCCCGGCCCAATGATCATTTTCAGATTTTGGCTGTAATCAAACATTAGAATTATGCCCTTGGAGGTGCCCAGGACGATGGATGCGGAAACGACTATGCAGGTTGGGGAGCCGAAGTTGCGCTTCCCGGCCTCCGAGAAGGCTTGGCCGTTCAACTTCTGGAGTCTCGTCCATCGTACGACCTCCCAGGGGGGCGACGGAGTGTCGGTGTCGCCGGAGTCTTGTAGGAAATTGCTGCTCAGCGATACGGATCGACTGTGGTTCGCCAGAAACGCCGGCGACGAGGGCCTGGGCGACAGCACCGAGGGCGAGGAAATGCGCGACTGGAATCGTCTGTCAAACGGTCGAAAGGACGGGGTTGGGCTACTGAGTCCGGGCCGGGAGGCTAGCGAGGGGAGTATACTGCTGCCGGGGGACGACAGCAGCGAGCCCTGAGAGAGGAAGTCAGTCTGGAGCGTAGAGAGCGGATCTGCCGCTGGCGGCTTACTTGTATTGACGGGCTATCATCGGGCACAGACAGGAGGGAGTCAATTGGACTGCCGACCCTCCTGGGCAACCCCTCGGCCGAAGCGGAATCTGAGGTGTCATCCTGCTCGCGCAACAGCTGGCGATAGCGACTCGGGATGGCGCCGTTGCTCTCGGGGGGCGCGGCGGCCTCGTCCTGTCTTTCCTCCTCTAGGATCTCGGCTATATGGCCGTGTTCCTGGTCTCCCTTTATGGTTTCCTCGTCGCTGGAGGCCTGGTCCTCAGACGGCGATAAGTCCAACTGGTCGTCGTCGGCCATGGTGATGTTGCATCGTCCTCCTCCGGCGTGTACACTCTCATTGGATATGTCTCATGGAACTCATGGCCTCTTACGTACGCCCGGTCTTGTGTATGCGCAGTTGATTGATCCCGGTGTCTCCTTGGTGATCTAGTCTCCGTCTGGGGCCTCCCTCGTACAAGCTAGGACAGATGGACGCAGGGTACGACGACTGCGGGTGCAGGAGAGAGAGGAGGTTGTGTTGGCCTTGGAGGAGAGGTCGGTTGGGAGAAGGGCTTCGGGGCGCGAAGCTCGTGTCTCAAGCTCCAGACGACAAGAACCACCAGAGATGCAACAGCACGCAGCACGACAAGCGATGCTAACGTCGATAAGCCCGTGAGCTCTTTTGAGGTTCTGCCTTGTCGACTCCAAGTCTCCAACTCCAACTGCACCGGCGCGCAGCTCAGCCTGGCACAGCACCAATCAGCGGCAGTGAATCCCACTGGAGGATCGCTGGGGGGCACGGGCTCCCAGTGCTGATCGGGCTGTCGGGGCGTTCAAACCCCTGCCAGGCCGCGAGTTGCGCTCACTACATCATTGGCCTGTGCGTCCTAGTTTTGGGGGGACCTTTGCTTCTCATTCATTCAGTCGCGTCGCCCACTTCATCTGACGTGCATAGTATATAGTATATCACTATACTCTATGCACGTACCTAGGCCAGGCTGCCACTCTACTACTGTTCTCTCTTTCCGTCTTTTAGACAAGAAACCCAACACCCCAACGCCGCCAACGCACAAGTCTGTGCAGTGACTCCCTTACCAGCTATGGCGCCCATCGGCCCTACATTACCACCACACCTTTCCAAGCGAAAGCGCACCCCCGACGATGAAGGCGCCGGCGACTCTCCGTCCCCCAAGAGATCTACCACAAACAACGATGAGATCGCATTGGACGACGGCGACGACTCGGATGACGGCTACGGTCCCTCGGCACCAAAGTCCCAAAGCCAAGCTCCCGCCAGACCATCCATAGGCCCGTCACTGCCTCCCCCACCCGAGAGTAACCAAAGGCCAGCCATAGGGCCATCCATAGGACCCTCGATCGGCCCAACCCTTCCGCCCTCAAATACCAACACCAACGAGATCGCTCTCGACGACTCAGACTCGGACTCAGACACCGGGCCCGCGCCCGCCCCAGCACCAGCGCCAAAGCGAGTCCTCGGGCCCGCACCACCGCCAGCACCGCTCTCGGAGCGGCCGACGCACGCACCCGACGCAGGGCCCGGTCGCGGTCCCGGGCCGGACTCGGACTCGGACTCAGACGACGACTACGGCCCCGCGCTGCCGACCTCGACGTCGCACCTGGCGCGGCAGAGCCAGGCCCAGGAGGCCGCCGCCGTGGCCGCCGCGAACCCCCAGGCCCCGCAGCGCGACGACTGGATGCTGGCGCCGCCGTCGGCCGACAGCGCGCGCCGCGCCGACCCGACGCAGATCCGGGCGCGCAAGTTCAACTCCGGGCCGCGGGCGGCCGCGGGCGGCGGCGGTGGCGGCGGCGGCGGAGGAGGAGAGATCAGCAGCATTTGGACCGAGACGCCGGAGCAGAAGCGGCAGCGGCTCGAGAACGCGGTGTTGGGGCGGGCCGGGGCGGATGGGAGCAGCAGCAGCAGCAAAACCGGGGCGGCGGGCGGCGCTGGTGGTGGCGGTGGCCGGCTGACGCGCGAGGAGGAAGAGAAGGCGGCGTGGATCCGGGCGAACCTGGAGGCGGCGCGCGGCCCCAGCCTGTACGCGGAGCACCAGCGGCGCGAGGGCGGGGCGGGCGGGCGCATCGAGGCCGAGGAGGACGACCCCAGCGCGCGCGGCTTCGACTGGGAGAAGGACATGCGGTCCGGCAGCCGCATCGGCACGGCGCAGCGCAAGGAGCTGATGAGCAAGGCCAGCGACTTTGGCGGCCGCTTCAGCAAGGGCAAGTTCCTGTAACCAAGGCGACGCCGGGAGGGCGGGGCATGATGGAACAGACCACGAAACTGCGGCCTGTGTAGAGAAATTCACGAAAGATACCCAATACCTACGAGGCATCCCACGAGGATTGACACCGTTGCCCTTCAGAATTGTCGCCGGTAGCCCTTCATGATCATAGACCCGGGTACTCTGAACCCCTGAGCATCCTCCGAAGTGCTACACCTGCATGCACGAAGTTGAGGAGTTGACAACACTGAAGACCAAATATCAGCTCCTAGCCCTCGGCAGTAGGGGCTTGCAAAAGGAGGCGTTTGCGTTGCTAAATAAGCACTCAATTCCTGCTACGTATGATACTGATTTCGTTCGCCATACTCCGTTGCCCCCGCCCTTTACTTCCTGGGAACTATGTGATGATGGAAATAATCGCCCCTAAACACCTGTGTGTGCCATCGATGCAAATGTTCCCTTGGTGCCCCTTACCCACATACTTCCATTGCGCTGTAGGTCCCATAGATGAACTATCACACCGCGCGAGGCAAGATCCTCGCTTCCATGCCCTTCCCTCTATACATTCGTCATCGTGGCCACCTGGCGCCTAATGGTAGTAGGTCGGCATACACCTTGGTGCTCTGCCCCCTGATATGGATTCGTGGGTGATTTGATCCTGTGAGAAAGCCTCCACTTAGAAGATCCGGTACTTCAGATCGAGGGCCTCTCAGCCATGACGTGGATAAAAAAACGCAAAGCAAGTTGCTTAAAATAATAAACGAGGAAAGACAAGGGCGGTTCGTCATATTCGTCAGGTGGTGTACAAGGCGATGATGTGTGTATATTACGTATCAACCAGTATATCAGCTCGTACTTCGTGTCCCTGCCTCGAGCTGCGAAGGAGTTGCAGTAGTATCTGCGTTGGTCGTCCCAGATGCCGGCTCCGTGGCCTGTGCCTGGGCGCTCTGATTCTGCCTGAACGGCGGGAAACGATTCCTGAACCTACTATACCAGCCTGCTTGCTGACCGTCCTCCTGCGCTGGGGTTGGTCGGGTGACCTGAGCGTTGGTCCTGCTGGTTGCCCGACTGTTCCCTTGGCTTGCCTCTCCGCGCCTCCTTCTATCCCTGTCAGATCGTCTGGCCCGGCCGTTGGAATCAACGTTGGTAGTATTCCCATAACGACCTAGCACGGACCGCGGTGCCTCTCGAAGGCTCCAGCCCATGAGTGTCCTGGGCGGCTGACGGGGCATGTTCGCGCGGCCGTTGTTCCTCGCGGGATCAGCATTCGGCGAAGTGGGAGTGTTCGGGTCACCGTCAGCGGGCGGCGGCCTCGGCTTGGGGGTGTAGTAGTCCGCCTTGCACAGGGGACAGCAGGCCCGGCGGTTTGTCAACCACGGATCCAAGCACACGGCGTGGAAAGCATGGCCGCAAGTCAAGCCACGGACATCGTCGTCATCTTCAAGAGTGTCGATGCAGATAGCACAGGTGTCACCCGAGGCGGCGAGCAGCTCAGGCGGGACGGCAGCGTCAATGTGGTCATCGTCCTCGTCGTCGCTTCCGTGTGCAGCGTCAGGATCCTTGGTGATGATGCTTCCGGCGGTTTGCGTATGAGTGAGAGCGGCGCCGTTCTCCTCGGCGTTACCAGTGGTGCCATCGGCGTTGGTAGTCTTGGACTTGTCCCCTGCAGCGGTCATGGTGGCGTCCTCGGTAGAGTTGCGCTCCTTGGATGGCACTTCGGGCACAATGCCCGTCACGCTCCTCACACTGTTGGCCCGGCTAGGCGGCACAGATACGCCGCCGGCGGTTGGCAAGCCTTCCTTGGCACGGTCGGCAACCCAGGTCTTGTATTTCATCATGGGGAACTTGTCGTTGACCTCGTCCATGGTCATGAGTTTCTTTTCACGGCGCCGGCGATGCGGCCTTGTCGGCATGTTCTCCAAGTTAATTGGCTCCCCATTTTCATCAAGCCCCCGCAGCTGGCGATTCCGGGCATTGTATCGGAAGCAGTACTTAACGCCAACGATAATCCTGAGTAGAAGGTTAGAATCAGGGTCTGGTGGCCAATTTTGAGGCAAATCTAATCTCACCATAGGTTGGTGAACACCACACCAAATCCCAAAGCCACGAAGAACAACAATGGCGAGCTGGTACCGGTGTTATTGTTGTTGTTGTTTTGGTTCCCCGTGTTTCCAGGGTTCGCACTAGTCGTCGGGTCGGGAGTAGGTGTCAAGGTCGAAAGCGGCGTGGGCGAGTCTGTACTCGACAGAAAGGTACTTGCAGGCGACGGAGAAGTCGCACTGCTGCTCAAGGCAGAGGTGACAGCCGTGTTGAGAGCCGACGATGTGGCCTCAGCAGCCTGTCGTGCGACTGCCCTGACGACGGCGTGGGCGCCGTCGACAAAGGCCTGGTTGAGGACAGCCATGGCAGACGTCCTACGTCTACGTCGGCGACGACGACAACGACGACGAGGTCAATGGCTGAGGGAAATTGAGGCGAACAAAGACGCAGTCAATGGTGTCGGCGAGTCGACCCGCTGCCGCTGCAGTGTCGCTCGTAATTACCGGCCCGCCCTCTAGTGCCAGTGCTGCTGCTGCGAGTCCGAGTCCAGGTCGAAGTCCAGGTTCAGCGCTTCCATTTATTTCGAGATGCAGTCGAGCGCGGCTACGGTCGCGGTGGTGGGTGGGCGGACTTGGCGATGCTCCTCTTGCAGCGAAGAAGAAAAGCAGGGCCGAGAGGATGGACGTTGAGAAAGTGGAAAATTGAGACCACTCTAACGTTAGTGTTGTGACGGCAAGAGCCAGCAGGAGTGACGAAACGACCAAGTCCGGAGGAAAGTGAGACGAGGATGCGAGATGGTGAGGTTATTAGGTGCAGTGGAATGGAGACGGCACTGGCATGGTCGGCTCGGCCGGGCTCTGGGGCCTCTGGCCTCTGGCCTCTCTCTCTCTGGGGCGGCTGGGTGCTGCAACTGCTGGGTGCTGGCGCTGGTGCGGGTGCTGGTGCTGGTGCTGGTGCTAGGCTGGGCGCAGGGTGGAGAACAAGAATGATTCCAATGCCACCCACCTCCTCAGAGACAACCCCCCCGGAACACAGGCCACAGGCTCTCTGCTCTCCTCCTCTCACGAGCAGCGCACCAAGGAAAGCGAAGGGAGGGGGGCCAGGGCCCAGGCTGGCAGGGGGGGCCACCGTCCCACGTTCAATGCGTCTGTGTCTGCGTTGCGTCTGCGTCGGGTGTGCGTGACCTTGCAGAGCCAGACGAGGCCAAGCACTCAGCACCAGGGCCGTCAGAACCGTCAGAGCCGTCGCGGGTGGTCGGTCGACTGTCGGCCAGGTCGGGATCCTGGGCAGCCAGAGGCAGGGGGGCAAACGACACGACTCGATACCCTTGACTGGGCGCTGCCACCCTCTCAAGCCCTCTCCCCCCGTGCCTCTCCCTAAGCCGGAGGCGGGCTAGCATATCAATCTGAAATCTATGAACAGGCGTCCAAGTGCCGCTAAGGCATGCGCTTGAGGGCCAGCCAACGATGGGCCGTTTGGTACCTTGGCAGCCAGAAGTTGGCACCGCGATGCTTGTCTGTCTTTCTGTCACGTTTCTTGGCTTCGAAAACCGCGTGCGTGTCCGTGATGCTGGGCGGCTTGGTGTTCCATCATGGCGGACACACAGACAGACAGAGTCTTTTCTCTCTTGCAAGATGCAGAATAATGTCTGACTATAGCCCTGACTCGATGATCACCCGATCCCTTATCATCATATGTAGATCCGAAAGTACCTCACTACGGCAACATTACTCACAGACTTTGCTGGCAAGCCTGGCTACCAACAGCGCCGGCTCCGCGTCAAACACAATCCTCCATCTCATATCCGTGGCCCTTGCTCCCCCCAGATGCGATATGCTTTCGTTCTTTCGGGGCCATCCCCCGTCAATAGCGTCATCTAACGCGGCGCTGTGAATGGTGGCTTTCGGCCGCGGATTGGCTGGGATCAGAAGAAAGAGGCGGTGGTCAGTGCATTGTTCCAGCGTCAACACTAAAAAGAGTTCGGGCTCGCCCTGCTCGTTTGAGACGAGAGTGAAAGGGACTCGAGATCCACCCGGCAGCGCCATATACAGACACCACGGCGCACCGATCGTCAATTGCCAAACGGGGCCCAATGTTAATTACTATTGTACGCAGTAGAGACCACGGGCTGCCCGACCGAATTGGGCCGCGCCTCACCCGGGCGACTCTGCGCATTGTGGTATTGTTGCAAACGCATCGTCGCCAGCAGATTGACCTCTCTGCGACACCCATGCCTGCATGCCCATCTCTTATGCGCGCCCCGAGCTGAGCCTGTGCCTTGCGTCCCGTCCGTTCCACTGGCTAGCAGGGGTCCGTGTCCGTGAAGCAAAAGGACTCGTCAACATTCCTTAGTCGAAAGAGGCTGAGCAACACCATCCCAAGTCTTTTGGACGGTCACCTCAAGTGTTAAACATCGGAGAAACAAGCCGCGGGTTCCAGGTGCTTGTGACGAGCCGTAACGAGATTGAGGATTGATGCCCTCGTCCACAACGAGAATCCCGCCGAGAAGCCCGAAGTATAGCTGCCCTCCGTTCCTTGCGGATTACGAATGTTGGTTCACGACCTGCAGCGAGGAGGCCGCCCCCTAGCGGTTCTCGCGCAGCCGCTCGAAATTGACTTCCCGTGAAACTGGGATTCTGCCGGCGGCGCCAAAGCCCTTGCTCATACTAACTACATAATTAGGTAGTCTAATATTGCATGCAGCCCACGAGGATATCATCAGTCTGTCTTGCACCACGGGCGTTGTATCCTACTGTACCCACGAGGTCCACGCATCGTAATCGCTGCGTTGAATCCACGATCGAGAGTCATATAGGCCATATGATCGTCGGAGGTGCTGTGGACCTCGAATCCTTGGCTCCCACGTCTCACAGAAATGTGGCATGCGTCCACCGCATCACTAGTGAATTCCGGGTTGTGTGCAAGAAAGGTTTGTGATCGGCGCCCGGCTTGCCGGAATGCTGACGGTCGTCACCGTCAATAGAAGGCCGCGCTGCCTGGTTGGGGAACCAGCGACTTACATCGCTGCCCACATAGGGCAATATCGCTCAAACCAGACGCCCAACTAATACGTAGGCGCATTCACATTGTTCACATTGGGGGACAAGCCGGCACTAGCATTACCGGTCTGATTCCAAATCCAGCGCTGAATCAGAGACGAGACTTGAATCAAGTATACACAAGAACCTTAGATCGAACGAGCCGCCGGTATAGGGTAGTCCAAGCCGGCATGTTCTATAATTACCGGGCCTGCCAAACCTGTCCATTGCACAGGCCAACAACACTCAATATCAGACGCCCCCAGAGTTCATAAAGCATAAGGCTGGTAGCGCCGTGTCTCCCGTCAGACGGGTTTGACGTGGGTTGTAAGACGCACGTCACCAGCTATTGCATGTGGCCCCCCTTCGTCGCCGTAATCTTGGCATAGCATGAATTTGTAAACGCCAGAGGGGGTCCAAAGCCCCCAATCAGCACTGACAAACGCTGCGTGCTCTTGTCCAGGTGGCGATCCAAACTCGCAGGTGGTGAGGAAAAAGCTCCGTGCGATTTCAATAGTCCAAACCCAAATTCACCCGGTTGAGCCTAATACTCAAATCATGCCAGCAATAGAGTATGCTCACCTCAGCAAAACAAACCATGAGAACGACTCAGTAAGGGCCGAGCAAGTGTGTGCAACGTCCAGACCGTAGCTTTTTGGACGGATTGGAAATGCCGTTCAGCTGTCAGCCGGTCGTAATTCCGAAGCCAAGCGAAAGACCCGAAACATGTCGGCGCTCCAAGTGGTCCCAAGTCGACAGCCCATATTTCAACATGTGCATTTACGCTTTATCCCTCTGATACCTTAGTAGCAGGGCACTTCTAAACCAATTTGCATATGCATCGTAAGACATAAGCTTTTGTGACAGAGCCCAGATGGGTCGAGGTTTGCGAGCGGCAGGCCACTTCGAGAGGCTCCCCATGTCTGCCTCGACACGCGACTGTGCTCGAGGGCCCATCAAATTCTCCAGTTGTCACTGGAAGAACTGGCTGGGCACATGCCCCGTTGCAGTCTCCAGAACATGAGGTTGCCGGCCCATGGGGACTTCTCTGGGGGTCCCGCACTGCAGGTTGCCCCAGTTAAGTACGTGGGTGATTGGAGTCTAGGGCAAGACTGGCAAGTGGCCCTCTAGAGCTATGAACTCACTGGGACTGTGACGTTATACATAGTAAAGTCTATCTCTTCGAGTCTCCATCGTGCTTGGTGTCCCCAATTAGGATTTTAGAGCCCCTCCACCCATAGCTCACATCTCATATCTCACGAGGCTGTGCACGGCCGGTGTCGCTGTCCTACAAGTCACGGCAAACTCTTGGAAACATCTACGAAACGCTCGGCAGGCTCACTCGCGCGTTGCTAATAGGAAGCTGGGCGAGGCGCCAAGTCGCCTAAGCGAACCAGCTTGCTGGGACTTCAGCGAGGGGGGTTGCAACCGGTGGAGCCACGGTCCAGGACCACTCCGAGGGCAACGGGATGAACTGCTAGGGTTGTGATTGTCTAGATGTCCAGAGATGTTGTGTCTTCACGATGGGAGGCAATAAGCAGAGTATAGGACGTCATACGCCACGGGCAGAGAGATATCTCGCTCACCTGCCCGCAGTTTTGTACTGCAGTATGGTAGGATGCGTATCAGTACGCGCGTGCAGCCAGCCCCGCGCCATTCCCCCCTCCCCGCCGCCCAACGGCCCGCATTAGCACCAGCGCGCTAACGCAAGCTATCAACGAGGAGTGGGGCGCCTCCGGGTGATCAGATTCCCGAGAGTCAGCCTCTCGCCTCGCAAGCCAAACTCCGTCTGGTGACCCGGGACCCTGCGAACGAGACCCGGAAGGCCCCAAAACCCGTTTGCTGAAGATTAGCATTGCCCGTACGACCAAGGCCACAGATCGTTCGTCTTCGTCGTCGGCCGTCCATCCATCTGCCAGCCATGCCCCCCACACAGCTCCCCGCGTCGGGGAACCCCCTGTAAGTTTTCCACCCAAGTCGGCATTCTCTGTCGAAATCTCTTGCCTGGTCTAGGGCTGGATCTGCGCGTGCGCGGGGGACAAGGCAGCGCATGTGAACCTCCATGTGCATTCCTATACCGGCAGCAGACTAATAGTGGTTCTTCTATGTAGGGTCTTCTTCGATATCACCCTCGGAGGTAAAGTCCCCACAGCACTTGTAGATTGGAGGATGTCGGTGTGCTACTATTGGTTATCACGTGACCGTTTTATACTCACCACACCTCACTTTTCCATATACTTTTCTCCAGCCTCCTAGATGTAGAGACCTAACCGAATAATAGGAGAGCCCCTGGGCAGAGTCACCTTTGAGCTCTTCAAAGATGTAGTCCCGCGAACAGCCGAGAACTTCCGCCAGTTCTGCACCGGCGAGTCCAAGAACTCGTCGGGCCGGCCCCAGGGCTACAAGGGCTCCAAGTTCCACAGAATCGTATGTGTATCAACAGACATCTTACTATATGAGACAGACGCTAACTGTATTGCCCCCAAGATACCGAGCTTTATGTGCCAGGGCGGTGACTTCCTCAACGGAGACGGAACGGGCAGCACCTGCATCTACGGCACCAAGTCGTTCGCCGACGAGAACTTCAACATCAAGCACGACCAGCCGGGCTTGCTATCTATGGCGGTAAGATAACATCTGGCTTCGCGGACTAGGTGTCACCTTGTGCTTACATGAACATTCTCAACTCAGAACGCCGGCCCTGGAACCAACGGGTCGCAGTTCTTCATCACGACAGTGCCTACTCCGTTCCTGGACAACAAGCACGTGGTATTCGGCAAGGTCGTCGACGGCATGGACGTGGTCAAGAAGATGGAGGCTACTAAGACAGGTTACCGTGGCAAGGACGTGCCCAATATGGACGTAGCTATCGCTCAGTGCGGAGAGATGTGATTGAATGATATATGTAGTCCGTTAATCACCTGACTTAGTTGTCAGCGATCTCATATGACATGTTTTCTGATCCTCTAGATTGCGCAGGAACGCTATCGTGAGTGACCCCTATAACAGTCTACAGTGTGTATATCCACGTCTTGATCCTCAGTTTAGGAGTTCAGTTTACGACCTAGAACTCCGAAGCCCCCACCTCCTTGGCTCTGGCCCGGACTTTGGCGGCACGCTCGGCCTCATCGGCGCCGTGGACCTCGTGGAGGTATTTCTTGAACTGGAGGGCCATCTCGCAGACCTGCTCGAAGTGGTCGCGCTCGAGGGCGGGGGCCTCGCCGGGCTCGCCCTGCGTCTTGTGCTCGTACTCGCACAGCGCGACGGCTGTCTGGAAGGCGTTGCGGATCTCGCGGCCGTTCCAGCCGACGCCGCGCATGTCGGCGTCCTCGAGCACGTACGTCCGCGCGCTCTTGCGCACCCGGATCCCCCGCTTGTCGCTCTCCAGCTTGTCGAAGAACTGGTTCCAGATCTTGGTCCGGTCGTCGTGCGTCAGGTCCTTGTAGTGGATGACGACCTTTTCATCAGGTTGCCTGCAGTTAGTTTGAATCAACTTGCTATGCAGGTGCTCTACGTGAACTCACATGGATACGGGAGATGAAGGCGTCGTCGAAGGAGCCCACACGATTGGTGGTCAGGAATAGGATACCACGATAGTATTCCATGCATCTCAGAAACACTAAATGAGCCGTGTTAATATACCGTGTCTGGCGCTTCATAAGAATATTTGACCGAGGACGTACCGGAAACCATGCTGTTCCTGTTCAAATCCGCGACCATGCGTTTCTCAGTATAGACATCTGCCTCGTCGAGAAGCATGACAGCACCCCACTTCTCAGCCAATTTGAACCATTTGGAGAGCTGCTTCTCTACGACAGTCTCGTTATTGCCCAAATCGCCACATGTAAGGGAAAGGAGCGGCCTTCCCGTAAACTCGGCAATACACTCGGCAGTCTAGGGTGTTGTTAGTTGGCGGTAACTTCACACAGCGGGGAGGATGGGTGGTGTTATCCATACATAGGTCTTGCCCACGCCCGGCGACCCGTGCAGGAGAAATATCTTGCCCTCTCCCTTGTTCTCGATGAAATCTGCACTCCAAGCCTTTTCCTCGTCGTTGCCCGAGTTAGTACGGAAACGATGAACCAAGGCCTTGATCATCTTCTTTCGCTCTTTAGGCATGACGAGCATGTCAATCGCCCCCTTGTTTATGCCTGGGTCGCCACAATTCTTGACATCGAGGATTTCTGGGAATGGAGTCAGTCCCTTACCTCCAGAGAAGAGTGCGATAAGAACGATGGAGACGTACCCCAACTGCGGGTTTTCAGGACAAATCCCATTAGTCGTTTCGAGCACAGCAGGTAGCGATGCAAAGGGTCATGCTGTCCTTCTAGTAGCTCGAGGGTCTTCTCTTTGAGTGGGTTGATGAGGTCGTACTCTTTCCACCGGAAGTTTTGTGGAGGATGTGGTCGAAGCCCCATGCATTCATCGCAGGGGCACTTCTGGGTACCAACCCCAAGGTCATCTACCAGTTCGGGCTCTGCATCGACTTCCTCGTCGTCGTCGTCGGAATCACTGTCATCATCACTATCGTCTTTCTTGCGGGATCTGGATTTGGACTTCTTCTGTCGCCGTCTCTTCTCGCGTCGTTTGGTCTCATGGTATGAACTGCAATCAACGACGACCCTGCCATCGACCTGTGTGATGGGTAAATAGCTGGCGTAGAAACTAGAGCAGTAATCAATTGGGAACTCACGAATCGTCTAGGGGTCTCCAAGTTGTCCCCAGTATAGCGTACCAAGCCACCACGGAGCAGTTCGAACCAACGTTTCCCCTCCTGATGCAACCTAGCCTTGGTTTCACCTTGGTCCTTGGCATCCTGGAACTTGCTGGGTATGATACTCAATGAAGCGATTGGTTTCTCCCCAGAGAAGGGCATGATTGTGATATTTCTCGAAAACCGTCTGATGTATCTACCGTCAAAATCCAGATACCAGGTGATAACATCGTAAGGCTTCAACTGCTCTGGCGGCAGAGAGAGTGTAGCAGGGTCAGTATATACTTCCTGTACAATGTAGGCAGCTAGACGCCCGTCCGACTCAATGTAAACGGTCGTTCCTGGCTCATATAATAGCCAGAGCATTGCATATGTACACATCGGTTCTGGCTGGTGGTGGCGGGCCATTTCCAGATCAATAGCGTCTTTCCAGATGTTCTCCTTGATGAAGCTGAGGACAGTCTCTATATGATAGTGTGTCACTTTGTTGCATCTGTCTGGGAATGTCTGTTCTGGCAATGAAGCACCCCTTTCATCTTCAGTAATAGCCTTGGATCCATCGTAGGTTGCCTGAAAATTCTCAATTTCCTTGATATGATATGCAACGACGAGATAAGGCTCCTGAATGTGAAGAATTTTCCCCTCAAGGGTAGTTCCTGGGTAATATGGAACTAACCTTCTCAGGAGCTGTATGAACGGAGCCGAACTAATTTCAAGCAGAGTGCTGTGAGTACGTATGCCTACGCTCGGATTATCGAAGATACCATTGTCTAGGATGTAGCGCGACTCGTAAGCCGACCTGTTCTTATCTGGGCGATGAGTCGTCCGCAGTTCCGTCACAACCTTGAGGAATGCTTGATGACCAGCATTGGGTAATCCCCTCCGGGCCTCCTGGAGATCGAATTTGGTGGGCCAGGTTTCCGACCCAAGCCAGTATCCCCCCGAATCCCGAATCTGTACTTCATGTACAATGTCGTCTTTCAAGACAATGTCGCCGTCTGCATTTTCCACCAGTTCGGGCTCCTCTGCAACATGCCGTTTGAACAGATCTTGGAAACAAGCTGGACATCTACGGATCCCAAACTCTTGAGGTAAAGAATGCGGGTATCCATTCTTTGGGCAGTACAACTTTGCATCTGCCTTCCAAATAAGTTTCTTGCCCACTTTGACAGGCTCGACTCGAGTAACATCGCCTTTAGTGAAAGGCGGCTCCTTTGAATTGACGTCGCCACCTGTCTGAGCTTGACTAACTGAGTCATCTTGTGGTTCTTCGGTTTTACTTTGGTCTTCTTCGGTTGATGGAGTCGACTGAAGAGAGTTCGCTTGCGCTGAATCTGTTTCGCCTTCGCTCGGAGCTGGAGGGCGATCGACCTTGATTGATTCGATTTCGGCCATTTTCTAGTTATTTAAAGAGGCTGAACAAATCAACCAGGATAGTTTTCTTTGAGCGTGTACTTATTTCGGCGTTGGAGAATTTTAGAGTTGGATGTAACCGATTATAAGAACAGCGTTCTCGGCTGGATGAAGGGAAAGCCTGACGGAAATACCTGCCCCTTCACTTGACAGGGTCTCATCAGGTTGTTGGCAGTGTAATGCAAAAGATCCATGCAGATTAGGATTGAGATGATACTGGTTGCATGATTGCAATCCAATCAACTTAAAGACAGCTTATGGGCGGAGTTGGGGGCCAGAAAACCGCACCTCTAATTGGTCACAAGACGCCAAGTACCATCATAGTACTGCATCGAACGTGACTTTGGCCGCATTTGAGCATAGGCATCTGCAGCAGGCTATCTTGAGCCTAGGCGCAAGATCCTGGTCGTAAGCTGAAGCCAACAGGCTTATCTCTTACAGAGGCAGCCCAAAATCGCCAGCGGCGTTGCTGATGTTAAGGTCGTCCCTAATGGTGCAGTGCCTCTATACTTGAAGCTGTACAAGATTAGTCACATTCATTGTAGTTGAAGATGGACAAGGACAGATTTGAGCCTGAAATAACCTCTCTGGTACGTCGCTACAGCGAAAAGGTGGCAGAAGAGATGCCACATGATCCACTGGCCCAATCCCTTGGTACATGGGCGAAAGATGAAAGAACAAAGGAGAATGAAGATACAGAATGGCAAGAATGGCTTCGGTTCAAACGACCTGCGAAGTAAGTTTCTGAAACAAGCTTTTGCTCTATCCGCTGTTGATCATGAATAAGCGAGTCCGATTCGGCACTTTTACAAAGACAATGTGAGGAAGTAGCCAAGACATGGGAGCAGTTCAAGAAACACTTTCCCAACCTCAGCCTACTAGAAGGTGTTTCTTCTTTACCGACTATAGAGTCTCTCCAGGAGGAAGTGTGCGAGGCGCAAGCTAAATGGGCCGCGAAGAAGGAGAAGGGCTTCGGTAAAGCCAAGGATCACACAATGTCTTTCCTAGAGACACTGGAAGGGCACAAAGCGCTCTTTAGCGTCATTCCCAGTGGAGATAAATACACCAGTCTATTCACTGGGGTAATATCCTCTGTTGTCAAGGTAAGAACAGGTTGTTAACCTAGCACATGAGTTGTCAGGAACCATAACTGACCACGGAAACAGGCCTCCGTGAACTACGAACACATCGCAGAAGGCTTCTCGCGCGCGCTAGCAGACATGAGCGCTGACCTAAGATTCGTGCAAGAGAGCACCGCCATATCGAGTAGCCCGCAAATGAAGGAGCTTATCGTGGAGCTCTACGTCCAAGTCTTCAAATTTCTGTGCGAGATGATGACGTGGTACTCGAGTCCAGGTATGCGCTTCAGAAAGGCATTCAACAGTAGGTTCTACGACAAGCAAATCGACAGCCGAGTCAAAGACATCAGACTCCTCATCAAACGTGTGGAGAGAGAGACATCTATCCAAACACAGAGACGTGTCAAAGTTCTCAAGCACGATATCAGAGGCGACGTAGAGTATATAGCCGAAAAGAACCGTCGCCAGCTAGAACAGTTTGTTGATAGAAGATTTTCTGAGTTGGCGGAATCTATGATGCAAATAAGCCTTGGCCGGAATGCAGCCGGATTGCTTTCGTCCAACGCACAAAGGATGTTGCCAGGTATGCTTCGCCCCTTTGTGACTCGGACTTTTTGTTGGCGCGGCTAAATCGTAGAACAGAGTTTCGAGACAAATTACTCAGCGATGAAGAGAAGACAATACTTGCAGGTATATACTCACGTATGGAAATCCCTGAGGATGATGGTGGGCAAAGCCCGCCGCCGGGGTTTGCACAGAAAGCTATTCTTTCCCCAAGTTTTGAAGCACCTGAAGCCGCGAAGCAGAACAGGAGTGACATACAGAGTTATTTCGGATCTGCCGAGAGGTATGCGGAAGACGACAAAACCGTGGTCAGGAAAGAACTTCAGAGCTTCAAGGCGAGACAGGCACGGATACCGGAAGAGATCATAGACCGATTACGAACCTGGGTCTTGAGCCCCAAACAGGAGTCAGGGCAAGCGAGCGTCCTCTGGATCGAAGACGCCGGGATTGAGGGCTCCGAGGAGCCTTTGAGAGTTGCCGCATACCATATCTACGAAGCAAGCTCCGGCGTGGATATACCTGCGGTGGCGTTCTTTCACAAGCGAGAGTATTCGTTCCAGGACAAGGGCATTTCGAGACACAGGGCTGGAACCGTGGCCTTGCTCTATTCCTTGATCCAACAGCTCTTACCATTGATGCCAGACGAAGTCGATGAGCAATGGAGCCTTGAAAAGAAGAGTTTCAAGAGGCTAGATATCGATATAAGGGATTTGGAAGAGACGAGCAAAGGCGTCAAGACAGCACTCCAAATCTTAGAGGCTCTATTGGAGCTGGCCCCATCCGCAATCATATTCGTCATTGATGGAGTCGAGAAGATCGAACATCAGAAGAACATCGCTGAGCTGAGGCAGCTAGACCATTTGCTTAGGACCAAGGGAGACGTTTCGAGGCGGAAGATCCTCTACGTTACAAGTGGAGCTTGTGTCTTCTTAGATAGAGTCACACACCCCGTCACGGAGCGGGCAAATACTGTGAGACTAGTACAGGCGAGACGGAGGAGCCCCATGCCGGGGTCAGTGGGTCTTGATGAAGCTCATCTATAATAGCAGATTGACTGATGCAGAGGAGAGAGTAAGTAGCTGGGTGCTAGATCTGTCGTATAGCTCTTGGTACCATCTATGGCTCTGGGGTAACTTAGATACGTGCGTCTAAAACCATCCGCCTTTTATAGAAACCCAACACGCCTCCAAACCCAGCTCGCACCACCAAATAGTGCCGTGACGCCCGTGAACACGATCAGTCCACCGTACCCACTGCCGTACCCAGCACCGGCCTTCCAAGCAGCCGCCGAGCCCAACAGTGACTCGCTCAACGGGCCCGAGACCACGTTGCCAATGCCGCGACCGGCTGCGAGCCAGGCAAATACCATGGTAGGGTCGACGTAACCGAAGCGCCGGCCGCCGACGACGGAAACTTCCTTCACTGTGAGACATTAATGGTTAGCAGTTTACCCCTTAATCCGGCCCCGCCCTGCTAGGGGAGGAGTTCACTTACTGATGCCGGGCCAGCAGCTGGTGAAGGAGCCGGCGAAGAGGCCGTAGAGGACGCAAAAGAAGTAGAGCACGGGCAGTGACGAGGACAGGCCCCAGATGAGGAAGACGCCGAGCGTGGTGCCGAGCGTCGACAGCAGGATGCAGGTCGTCACGTGGAAGCGGTCCGTGAACCAGCCCATGGCCACGCACCCGAACACGGACGACACGTTGACCAGGAGGACGGTCGTGGCCGCGATCAGCGGGCCGGCGCCGAAAGACGTGCGAGCGTACGATGGGAGGTAGATGGCTGTTCGTATTCAATGCTTTAGTAACTCTGTTTTGTTGTATAGTTAAAATGCTTATGAAAGGCGTATCAAGCACATGCATATATATGGTTTACGAAAAGAATGGGAGGTAATCTTTATAGACAAGAGGTGCAGACCGGATGTGGACTTACTGGGCAAGAAGAATCCCATGGCCTCGATAATATTGCAGAGCTGATACACCAGGAAGTGCTGCAGGCCCAGGAACCTCAGATCGAAGGGCCGGGCTCTACTCTCGCCGTGCGAGACCGGCAGCCGGGGCTTGACGAACCACGAGAGCGGCGCCGTGATCACGAAGAGCAGCCCGGCCCACAGCCGCAGCGTCGTCTGGTAGCCGAAGCGCGCCAGGAGGCTCTCCATCATGAGCGGGAGGACGACACCCGCCAGGCCAGTTCCACTGCGATGTCCATCTGCGTCAGCATCGTGCCATCATGATGACCACCCGGTCCGGAGCTGAGGATTGTTTGTTCGTTCCGCCAGAGGGGGCAGGGGGGGCAATATCTGATGCTGCCGGAAAGGAGAAGACTCACCTCCACATAATGCCGTACGCCAGGCCCTTGCGCTTGACGAACCACTCGTCCATGTACAGGATGCAGGGGGTGTAGGCGATGCCGCCGCCGAGGGCGTACAGGACGCCCTGGGTGGCGATGAGCTGGGGCACGGTGGCGGCGAAGCTGGAGCCGGCGAGGGCGGCGCACATGACGAGCAGGCCGAGGATGGGGGTCCAGCGGGCCCAGCGGGCGAAGGCGCGGCACGCGCCGAAGGTCAGCGGCGCCGTCAGGTACATCAGGCCCATGGCGCAGGTGCCGATGACGGCGATGTTGGGCGACCCCGCGAACGGCGGCGTTGTCGCGTAGTAGTCCTGGAAGACGCCGAAGGAGAAGGGGAAGCCTGCGCGGGTGTTGTCAGTGCCATGTTGTTGTTGTACATCTCTAGGCGTGTATATACAAAGTCGAAGCGGTTCAACTTACCCCAGACGAGGGCTTCAACGGCGAAGCATGCTGCCAAGAAGAGCCAGGCGTCCTTGCCGCCGTCTACTGGCGGCAGAGAGAATTCCTGTCTCGATGCCGTGAGGGCAAGATCACCATCCTCGACTTGTGAAGTGTCACTGCCGGTGGTGTTGGCACCTGAAGAGCGTTCTATAGGCTCGAGCTGTATAGACGCTCTCGCCATGACCTCAGTCGCCATTGGTGCAAAGCCTGCAGCCAGTCGTTATGGGAACTAAGCGGATTTTCACAAGAGTCCTGTCGTTGGCACTCTTGACAGCGAGGGTTGCGAGTTGCTGCAATGGGAATGCGGTTATAGGACTGGTTCTTTCTGAAAACTTGCGCAATACATGTCTGCTCAACTTATAAGAATGGCCGGGATCGGCAGTGCGCCCTTCATTTGTCAGACTAACGTTAGTGCCGTGGATACTGTTAGTTTACCAGTAAGTTACTGTGGGTCGTGGTTAGTCGCGGCTCGCCAGTTATACTATAATCAAATGACACATTTCCAGAGCCAATGGGCTGCAACCTGGCTATCAAGAACATTTCGAGGTTACACATCTTCGTGATAAACGAACCCACCAGGTAATCCAGGACTTCGCAGCTCTGAGGCCCGCTGTGGACCTGTACTGAGGAAGATGCAAGAGTACTAGGCTCTTTTGGGACAATATATATACGATCGCATAGAAGAATCCCGCGCTTAACCGAGACTTGCTTCTTGCGGTACCCCCCAATCTACAGATAGCATGCCGGAGGTGGTCCATAGCTATACAAGTTCGGCCCTACACCGCACGTTGAAACCGGAACTCCGAACGCCTTGCTATAATGACATCCCAAATCAACTAGAGCCGCGCCCGTTTGTATTCTGACTGACGTTGCTGGCATGCGCAATCAGAAATTTGCAGCATGTCAGCACAAACTTGCAGGCCTTGGTCCAAGTCTCGTCGTTGGCAATGCCGAGCTTGATGCTGTAGTGCCCGATCCTGTCGTCGCCAATCTTGTCGCCTTCGATCTTGTAAGGCAGAGTGAGCGGTGGGGTAGCATAACCGTCTCTGTCCGCATCCGACTTCGTCTGTTGCTGCACATATGCGCCGAGTTGTCTGACCAGCTCGAGAAAGGCGACCATTGCCGTATCAAACTTCCGGTGCCAAAGCAGATTCAGGGGTAGATCTCCCGAGGAGTACAACTCCAAGACGTGTTTCTTGGGAGCCGGCGGGGGACCACTGCGGTGACCTCCCAGGCGGCTGGACGAGGGCGAGGCGTGGTCGTAGCGAATGATCTTGGATGTCGACCCCATAGGCAAGGGTTCGTAGTTCTCGAATTTGAAGCCCAGCTTATCTGCCACGGTGACGACTAGCAGCAGTGACTGACCCCAAGCGGCATTGATCTCGGGCCAGTCGACGGGTATGTTCGATAGCCTTCCGAGTCGCAAACCGTTGATGGTCGCGAAATGCCCATCGTGATGAATAGAAAAGGTGTCGTTGTAGACGTTGGCCCTCTGCAGCTTGGTGAGCTGCTGTGAATCGTGATCGAACTTTGAGTTGACGCTGTCTCTCTCGTTCTGGAACTCGGACAGCTGGGCGGAGAAGGCATTCCGCTCGCGCCAGAACTGCTCCTCCTCAGCATCGAGAGCGCGCGACTCGGCCTCAAGGGCGGCCATTTCGCCATCCAACTCCTCCTTTTCCTTCTCGAGTTGCAACAGCAACTGAAAGGCCGCCTCCTCGTCCTGCTGAGCCTTCTTCAGGGCCTTTTCCGTGGCGGCGATGTCCTCCTCGCTCGGCACGTCTGCCTGTTGCTGCTTCAGGTACTCGGCGTAGAGGCTCCGCTCCCTAGTCGCCTGCTCCAACCTCTTCTGAAGCTCGTCGACCAGCAAGTCGGTGCACTCGACGCAGACGGGATGATCGATATCGGAGCGCGCGGATAAGATCTCGAAGAGCTTGTTGATGCGCTCGGCCTCGTGGGGCTGGGTGAATCTTGCGTCCTGCGGCGAGGTCGTGTCCCCGGACATGGACTCGCGCCTCCGCTGCCTCGGACTCGGCTGTTCCTTGGGGACGGGCAGTCGCGGGGGGCCAAGTTGCGACTCGGTGAGGAAGACATAGGATTCGCCACCCCTGTGCGTGCTACCCTGCTTCTTGAACATGGCTGCGGGCGAGTTCCTTGCGATCTTGTCGTAGAAGCCTCGGCGTTCCTCGTGCTGGGGGTAGGCGGGTGGAGGGGCGACGGGTTGGCGTTTGGGGTGCTGCTGTTGCTGTGATGAGGCAGCTGAAGAGCCAGACGGAGTCGAGGGTTAGCCCAGATCTGGCCATCCACCTGCTTGTCAAGAGGAGACAGAGACGCAGAGGGAACAAGCATGTGTTGCAGTCTCTTGGGATCACGGCGGGCAAGGTTCGGGGTGACCAACCTACTAACAGGTCGTATGCTGCCGGGTTCAGCTCGGATAACGAGTTATCGAGCTTGAGGGGCGAGCGGCACTTTTGACAATACATGGTGACGAGGGTCGCCGACTTTCCATGCTGCGCTCTCTTTGTGCTGTGCGTATACCGAGACGCTGGAGGCAAGCCAGGCCAGAGAAGATGCTGGGTGGAACAGGTCTTGGTCGAGGCACGCACGAACGAACGCGGTCGGCCTACGTGCAGGTATTAACTAGAAGATAGATGCCTAGGTGGTGCTAGGTGGTGTGAAGGATGCCCGCCCGCCTGCCCGCCTGCCCGCCCCAAGCCCCGACGTCACAAGCTTCATGCCCGCCTGAGCCACCTGATGCGCCGCTAACTCGAACTCGCAGCCGCTAAACCCTGCAGCCTTTCAGGGCCTTGGCCTTCCTCTTCACCCGTTACCCCTGCCAACGGGCCCCAAACGTGGGGTGCGATTCTTAACGTTAGTGCAGGGTCGCAACGACTGCTTTCATTCACGGCCTATCGTCCCCAAAGTTATCGAGGCCGACGACGTCTTCACATTCAAGCAGCAGCTATGGCCCTGTCCACGAACGCACAACATTCGACACCACAAGCGGCCTAGGCGACCACATGTACGGGTCCCTATTCCAGGACTATTATACAACCGTCTCTCCGACATGGAGCCGCCAGCGAAACGGGCCAGAGTTGGCCATGCGCCCTGGGACGATGACGACGAGGAGGCCAACGACGACGAGCTGTCGCTCACCGCAACACAGTTCGAGGCGCGCCAGGACCCCATGTACCAGCTGGACAAGAAGCGCGCCAAGTCGGCCTTCAAGCTGCAGTCCAGGTTCGAGGCCATATTCGCAAAGTACGCCCAGGACTTCGAGGGCGTCGGCGACGAGATTGACCTGCGCACCGGCGAGGTGATCGTGGACAACGGACATCTGAAGTCGCTTCAGGACGACGAGGACAAGCCCGAAGACGAAGATGACCGAGACCAAGACGAGCCGCGGAAGCCACTGGGGAGGCCTGCCAGGCCCAGCTCAAGACCATCCATACCAGCCAGGCCAAGCCTTTACGGCGGCCCCAGTTTGTTACAAGATGGCTGGCAACGATCACAGGCCTTCAACACGGATGCTACATCGGGTCCTGTTGATCCCGCATGGCAGACTCCCGAGCTCTCCACAGCTCCCCTACAAAGCTACCCAGGCTTAGGCAATCGCGGTCCTGGCTATCCGTCTCAGCCTTACCCAGGCCTGAGTTCGCTTTTTGGCGGTCAAAGTCTTGATCCTTTTGACCACTTCAAACATGAGCCTTATCGGAGGTTTGCCACTGCCAAAGACGTGACGCCCAAGTCACTGTTGGTGCATGTCACGGACGAGGAGGACGACGAGAACGAATGGGAGGACCAAGACGAAGAGGAGGATGAAATATTGATGGGCTTGTCAAGTGAGGATAGAGTCCACAATCTCCAAACTCGGACTGCGAAGCAACTCATGGCGAACCCGAGCGCAACCTCACATCCTCCTGTCACCACGAAAACTTTGGACGTCACGGGAAGCCGCGCAGCGGTAGGAGCTACAAGTACACCGAAGAGGGGGCCCGGACGGCCGAGAAAGAAGCCCGATGTTTCCTCGGAAATCCCAGAGCATCCTGTACCGGAGCATTTGGAATCTGATCTGGGCGCTGGGTCATCGACCACCACCGACGAATCTGCTTCAGAAAGCGAGGATCTTCCCGGGGTGATACCATCGGCCGCGAGCGCACGTGGTGACTCCAGGTTAACGCAACAACGGGCAGTCACAGGGGTCCGAATGCAAGAGCAGACCCCCGTCACCGATGACTCCTCCGACTCCAACAACCGGAGATCTGCACGATGGCGAAAGCAAACAGAGTTCTACAGTCAAATCAAGTGGCTAAAGACAAGGCAGAAATGTGACCATGTGGACGATCCGGCTATCACGCCACCTCCAGAACCGAACGCGGTGGTGCCAAAACCGAAGACAGTCAGGTCCCCAGCACGAGAAAACCCGCAACCCGAAGCTGCTGCAGTGCCAGAAGTCCCGGGGCCGAAGCAGGCAGATGCTGGTGTGGACGAGCAGCTTGAAGATACCGAGGCTCGCGTTCTCGTGGTTTCGGGTTTGCTAGACCCAAATTCGGCCTCGGAGGATCGGACTGTCCCGGACTCCCAAGAGCCCAGCTCTTCACTGTCAAGACGAACAGTTGCCGATTCTCAGGCACCGAGCTCCTCCTTGCCTATTCCTCCGGGTTTAGAGACTATCAACACTACCAGTGGCGACGCAGGAGAAGGTGCAACGGATCAGACCTCACAAATAGCACCGAAGACTATCTCCGGAGGCGTTGCCGGCCACGAATTACTTGAGGAAGCCAGGTCACCCGAGGACATAACGGAGCCGGGCATTCCGGAGTTGACGGAGTCCGGTAACCCCGACGATGTTCCCAACACCGAAGTCAATGCCGACGCGGATAATGGGAGTGATCAAGAAGAGGCCGAAGGGGATATCTCCGCAGACCTGTCCGTCGAGCTTGGAGACCCGTCACACTACGAGATAGGATCACCGAGGGAAGTAAGCGAGGTTATCGCTGAGCCGGACTCGGACTTTGCAGAGATCCCAGACTCCGAGCCAAGCAGCCCCGTTGCGAAAACGACGAGACGCCCGACATCACCTGCTTTCAAGCTGGTAGAGGACGTGGAGACTTCACCCAGCGTGCTGCGGGTACGGCCCAGTCACCGAGATCCCTTGCCAGAAGGCGCTACACGATTGAGCACAACAGCCCCCGAGCAGCAGCCAACAGGCCCGTCCCTAGAAAAAACACCATCTTCCTCGGCCCCGAAACCACAGCACGCGCCTCACCCCCGTATCTCCGGACCCCGAAAACCCTTGGCGCCGGCCTCTACAGCGAACCCGCAAACCCCGAGGAAGCAGCGCACTTCCACCACGACCTCCCGGCCATCCTCGGGCCGCAGCGCCGGCCGCCTAACCCCGTCGACCAAGCGCCGCACGCTCACCTCGCTGGTCCCCGACGCGTCGGACGCGTCGGACGACGACGACGAGCTCAGCATCCTGTCGTCCTCGGTCGCCCGCACCCCGACCTCGACGGCCTCGCTGCGCGCCCGCTTCACCCGCGCCGCCTCGCACTTTGCCTTCCTCTCGGGGCCACCTCCCTCCTCGGCCTTCTCCACGCCGCGCCGCACCCACAGGCACGCCCACGGCCTCCTCCAGGCCTCCTCGATCACCACCACCCCGCGGTCGCGGACCGCCGCCAACGCCGTCCACAGCTCGCCCCTGGCGCGCGGCGTGCTGCTGGGGACGCCGTCGGCCGGCCGGTCGGGGAGGAGGACGGGCGATGGCGACGAGAACGCAAACGGAGCCGCCAGCCCCGTCGGCAGCGTGGTCAGCACGCCCGGGGGCGGGACGAGCGCGCGGCGGCGTTGCGGCGTCGATGGGTTCGTGTGCGGGCGGGACTTTTGCTTCACGTGCTCTGCGTGACGTGGGTGTAGGGGCAAGTCAGCGCTGGGTGCGTCAGGATAGGGTAGGGTAGGGTAGGGGGCAGGGGATGGTGGTTGGTAGGGTGTATATATAGATATAGATGCGGATAGCTGGAGGGCGTGCTTGTATATATATCATGTCCCGGGGGGCTTTAGTATATCAGGGAATGGCGCGCAGAGAGTCGATGCTGTGAGGGGATCATGGTCATCGTATGTAGGGAGGTTCGGCGTTGTCTGGACTCCCTCTACCTCTCTACAAAGCCAGGCCCGGTCTCGGTCGTGCACATAGCCACATAGGAAATTTAAATACCAGTCAAATGATTCCCCGAGATGGGCGTTGACCGTGATCGCAGCAGTCGATTGCTAGTTGCTTTTCTCATAGGCGACAATGGATGGCATCACTATCAAGTATACAAGAACAGGAGGAGTGGAACGGGGGAAAAAATCGATTCGCATTAGAGTTGCTGCCTCAAAACAACATATTTGCCAGCCTTTGGTTCAGCCCGCGGAACGCCAAACACGCAAATCCATCTTGTCTATCTACCCATCCGGGGCCCCGCTGGGCCCCTTCCGCGAGTTGAACAAATGCATTCTCGGGGGGCCCACGCAGGATTGTGCTCCTACAAAGTTTTGGATCCGGGAAGGGGGGGCTCGAGACGAGGTGTGCGCGGGGAATTGGTTTGACAGGAGGAAAAAAGGGGGTTAGGAGGAGGATGGGCCTTTGTAGTCGGGCATTTGAATTTTCTCATAAATGTCGGCCAGTGGCCTGAGCCAGTCCCCTAGTCTTTGGCGCAGGGTCCTGTCCATTGATGAGGAACAGCCAAAAGGCATTGCCGGTGTGATTCACAACATCTGAGCCCCCCCTTGCGACGGCGCGACTCTCAGGTACATATTGCGCGCAATGGCTAAATCCAACAACATGGTCATGCCTCAAGTGGTTATGAGTCGGGGGGTATCTCGAGAAAGAGGGGACTAGATGGGAAAGGTAGGCGGAGGACCAGCTAGACCCTCTCTTCAAGATTCTGAGCTGACCTTTGCACCTCCAAGGTAGTTCTTCAGAGTTGCCTCATCTCGGATGGGTGCAAAGTAGGCGTGAGCCATGGCCTCCTTGGCAGTGAGTCGTTCCTGATATGCCGTGTCAGCCTGCGTTCTGTTTCGCATAGAGCGAGGATGGTGGAGAGGGTAATACATACCTGGTGGTCGTAGCGGAGGAGCTTGTCCAAGAAGTCGATAGCCTCGTTGCTGACAAACCTCTGGTTCTCGGCGTTGACGAAGCTGTGCCAGGGCTTCTTGGAGAAGCGGCCCAGAATGTCGTCGTACTGGGGGTCAAGCTCGATCTCGTACTTGTCCAGGTAGTCGAAGAGATCGTCGGTACCGAGCACCTTGGCGATCTTGACGAGCTGGTCCGAGTTGCTCTGGCCGTGGAAGAAGGGCTCCTTTCTGAAGATCATGGAGGCGAACATGGCGCCCAAGCTCCACATGTCCAGGCTGTAGTCGTATTCTTGGAAGTCCACCAACAGCTCTGGTCCCTTGAAGTATCGGGACGCCACGCGCACGTTGTACTCGGTGCCGGGGTGGTAGAACTCGGCGAGACCCCAGTCGATGAGACGTAACTGCGATGGAGGTGAGCTTATTATTGCGATGCAGGGGGAGAGAGTTGGACCGGGATCCAGACTGACCTTTCGGTTCTCATGATCGATCATAACGTTATGAGGCTTGACGTCTCTGTGCATGATGCCCTTGCTGTGGCAGTAGTCGAGCGCCTTGAGCAGCTCGAAGATGTAGTAGCGGACATCGATGTCGTTGAACTTGGGGTACAAGCTTCGGAAGTCGGTGTTGTTGACGTACTCGAAGATGAGCGAGGGCGTCTTGCTCTAGATAGGAGAGAGCAGAGGTCAGCACGATATACACACATGCGCATATGATATGGCCCAAAACAAAAGCACATGCGGAGGACAGGGCATCCCCGTGGGGCCAGCGCGGTGGCTGGACCGACGAGAGATGCAGCAGCCCCCCCTTCGTCAATAACATCCAAAACATACTATGGGGTTGGCGTATACCTGGCTGTCCCGAACAACATCTAGGAGTGCCACAATGTTGGGCCCGCCGGAAAGGTTCTGCAGGATCTTGATCTCGCGCTTGATCTTCTTCTTCTTGACGGGCTTGAGGACCTTGATGACGCATTTCTGGTAGTTGACGATGTTGATGCCCTCGAAAACCTCGGAGTACTTGCCGCGGCCTGTTTTGCGGGAGGGGAGGCGGATTAGTCACGGCTCGTCGCGGGAGGAAGCAGAGACTGCCTTGCCGGCATTGTCTAGGGAGGAGGCAGACATACCGATCTTGCGCACGACCTCGTAGTTCTCCAGAACACCCCAGCCTAGTAATCAGATATCGGTCAGCATCAGGTTGAGGAGCAGGGCCAGCATAAACAGCACAGAAACATGTCCCGACGTGGGGACTCCAGAGAAAGAAGGGCTGGATGCAGCCAGGATAGGCGCGAACCCTGCCCCCCTCTCCTGAGCCGGACGGGCTCTGACAAAACGCGACAGGAGGTGCGACTGACTGATGTTGACGCTATCGTAGTCCCAATAGCTTCTGGGCATGTTCTGGTTGACCTCGGCGTAGACCCGCGACATGATGGTGGTGGGCGTCGCGGGGACGTCGACGGGCACGTGGTTGGGGATGGCTGCGGCTGGCGAAAGAGGTGAGAATAGATATACTGCTGCGGCAGGTCGATTAGATGGGCGTCGCTCGTGGGCGAGTGGAAGTCCAACGTCGGCCTCAACCGCCCGAATCCGCTGGTGATTTTTGGGCGGGACGTCGATAATAGAAATGGCCAAAGTGGGATGTTGACTGGCGATAGCGAGCGAACCCCTCGTCCAGATTGCGGGCTGTCTGTGGATTGCGGACGACGGATTGCCAGGGCGGCCGGCGGGCTGAGCCTTGAGCCTGAGCCTGAGCCTGAGCCAGAGCCAGAGCCTGAGCCTGCCAAAGCCGCCGGGCCTGTCGCTGGGCTGGGCTGGGCTGGGCTGTTTTTCGACTGGGTCCCCCGTAAAAACCGGGCGAGGTGAGGGCGCGAAATCAACATGTCTGGCCCGTGCGCTCCCCGCATTTTGGGTCGAATTTGACAAGCCCGAATGCAAGCCAGCAAAGCACCTCATCCTTTGCTGGTAAGAATGTACATACGGGATGGGGGCTTTGACAAGGCAGGCTCTGGTAGGCACGTAGCACTATTTCAAGGCTTTCATCTGGTTTATTCTCATCTTTCCCTCTTTCTTCATTTTCTATCTGGCGGCATTGGGCCGATGCTGTTGCCTGGGCTGGCGGCTGGACTGCCCGGTTCTGCAAACGAGACGCTGCTCGGCGTGCCGTTACTCATCACCAGTTGGGAAACTGCACAAACGGCACCTAGGTAAACCATGTTGGAAACATCGATCTCTGTGATCATGTAGCTTACTCATGTTCCAATCTGCATGCCTTTAGGCTGCAGGTCTTGGGGAATGTATTCTCACCGAATAGACATGTATCTAGTCTTGCGTCCATATTGTAAGACAATCGAGCCGCCTGCAAAGGGCTCAGCTCTATCACTTGTCACTTTGGAGCTCCCAACAACCAATCAAAGCCAGCCACTCGCCCAAAGTATATCGTCGACTGTTGCTCCTGTCGTGGGCGTCTCTCCTCTGAGAATGCCACGTTGGTGGTACCTACATATGCTGCGCACCCCGAGACTTTGTCCATGACGGGATCGTGCCTGCTATTCAGTCTACAAACAACTTCTCGCGGACACGGGATCATCTTGATGGCAATAGATACAACGGCGTCCCCAAAAGGGTCAGGGCTGCAGGGCAGAAATTGTCTGCCTGGGCTTTCTCTGTCCCGTTGGGATGCAAGTGCCACAGCTGCGATGGGAAGGCGGTACATGCTCTGGGACGGGTATACCCTACGTTCACGGACACGAGATAGTGGCAGTAGGTACTGTGCAATGCATTAGCGACTGATAGCAACCAAGGCAGTACAATGAGTTGGTGTCGGACGATGGTATGGTGTCAGAGAGAAGATTATTTATCTCGACATGCGCCCGGGGAACAGGCTTGATCTCCATCAGCAAGCTGACTTCAACCAAGCATGGCCCAGGCTTCCGGCTAAGGATGACGATACAAAAGGTTCTCATCATGTGAAAGGAGTTGGGGCAACTAGAATCAAGGGTGACTGACCTTACCGCTGGAATACACGTGCGAGCAAAGCCCTCCCGGCGTTCCCACAGTCCGCACCTGCGCCGACCTTGGGCAGGTCATATTTCTTTTTGCCTTGCCGCGACTTACTCAGTCATCATACGAGATCTTTCGCCTCTGCGCAGCCAGCCCGTTCCCGGTAGCATTGCCTGCCTCAAGGCCATCGTAATCGAGGCTGTCCATGCCAGCCTCCACAACATCCCAAGTTCTCTTGCGCAGGTCGGGTTTGACCGTCTTCTTGAACCACCCAGCATCGCCTTTCTGCGGCTGCTCGGAACCTGGGTGTGAAGTTTTGTTCTTGTTCTTCGACTTCTTCTTTCGTTTCTTTTTCTTGGAAGGTGGACCCGAAGCGCCTGGCTGTGGAGTGTCGGCTTCTATCTCGCCCTCTTCGCCTTCGGACAATTCAGCCTCGGGCACCTCTCCACTCTCACGGTCCGTCACCGGAGTGTTGAGGAGTTCTGCGAGATTCGAAGTTGCTTTCTCCGCACTCCTCTCTTGACTGCGACGCAATGCTTCGAGCTCGGAGTGACGGAAGATGGCGATTTGTTCATCGGTCAAGGTGCGCTTGACACCGTCAGGATAGTAGCCAAGGCCATCGTCCTCTTCCTCGTATTCCTCATAGTACCCTTCGTAGAATTCATCGTGCGCCTGTGAGGAAGACGGATTGAGGAAATCGGTCGTAAAGAGCTGGGTGGCCGAGCCTGAGAAATGCTCGGCATGGAACGCTTCTATTTCTGTCTGTTCCAGGTCAGTTCGTTGACAAGATGCTTGGTTGGACATGGAGATGCAGACCTGGGAGATCTCTGCAGCTTTGGCAGCTGCCGTAGAAGCCATGAATGAGTTGTGTTGTTGTGAAGGAAAGATGCTCGAGGCAGAACGCGACGGACGTGACTGACGTTTGAGCGCAGGTCATGCAAGGACCCCTGCAGGCATCAAAAAGTTATGGACGTGTACTGTGTTTGAAGCAAAATCGCACAGTCTACGCACAGTCCCAGGGTGGACGAATCAAGATGCTCTATACAAGAGATTCATCCATGGGGACATGAGAGCTGCACAATTCTTGCCATTTTGAACTGGAATTATAATCCAATATATGCATTTCATTATTCATCATAGCTCATAAGCATCGTAATCATCCCTTGTCCCAACGAAAGTTGTTCCGCCGTCCTAGCAAGCAGAGAAACTCCAAGTACATGCTCTGTTGTATCTATAGGTCCAAAGACAGTGGCCAGGCAGTCCAGCCGGAGATTGGAGCTGCGCGTATACTTATGATAGGGTATGAGCTGGCTCTACTATGCTGTGCTGAGGAGAGCCAGTGCGCTCTGGAACGCCTTGACGACCTCGGAAACTGCAGTACTTCACTTAGCGCAGGGTACCACACACACCTCAAGGCTCGAGACTTACGGTGTTCCTTCTTTTGCTTCAGCTTCTCTTCCGATAGGTGAACGTATCTGGTCCGAGTTTGCAGTCTGCATGGCTGTTAGCTGGGCTTCCGATAGCAAGCCTACCCATCTGTCTCACCTCTTGACCGCCCTCTCGTTGTCGTGGCTCGAGGCTGCAGAAGCCCAAACGTTGAAGTACTTTGTCCATGTGTCAGTATTGAAGAGAGGCTTTGACCGGCGAGAGATCCTCACCTTTACGAGCTGTTCGAACTCGTCCAAGAGCTCGCTCTCCTGCTGGTCCGCATCGGCAAGTGCCTTCTGGTAGCGGCTCTCAAAGTCTTCCCAGTCGAAAGGGGCAAGGCGGCCTGGCGTGCTAGGCGTCTGCTGTGCCGAAACCCCTTGGCTTCGCCGCTGCTGGGGTTCTGGTGTGTGCGTCTGATGTCTTCGCTGATCGATAGCGGCGGCTGTTCCCTCGTCGACTTCCATGTCCGGAACGTGAGTCCGCGTCTGTGACTGGGATTGTTTGATTTGGGTACCCGCAAGAGGCATGCTATCGCTCATCGAGTGGTCGTCGATGTCTTCGTCTCCGTGCGTTGGCACCTCATTAACGAACTCGTACCCCTTGATGTCCTCCTGGCTCTGGCTGGCCGACTCCCTGGTTGGCGAGCGCTGGGGCGTGGAAGACATGGCAGGCGGCTCTTTCTCGGACGAGGAGCTGCGGCGCCGTTTCTATGGAAGTATGGGCCCTGGAGTGGCCCCTCAAGACACACTGTGCACCTTCTGCTAAGCGTTTCGCCAATTGTGAGAAGTCAAAGGCATGGGTTGACGAGTGCGCCTCAGGCAATCATTCGTGTGTGACGGTGAGCCGAGTCGAGTCGGGGCTCAGGAACGGTTTTACAAGGTACCAACTCGACGGGTGTAATATATAGGTAGGTATCAATAGAACGAGCAGTTCGCAGACTGGTGTGCTACATCAGAGATGGGAAAACTCCCAGACAGATCCAGTTCTACAGAAAAAAGCACTTTGGCTTGGGCATAGCGCATACGTTGCCCTCGTCACTTTCCGAGCACGACCTAGACGCGTCGCTGCCCAAGAAGTTGAGCGGCAGGATTGCGCGCCCCAAGACCCCAGACGACCAGACTGCCAAACTGCCAGACGGCCACACTGCCAGGCCCCGAGTCCCGAGACACCCCTGCCGCGTGCAGGTGACACCTGCAGGGATTCGGCGGCGCGATAACGGCGATAAGGCGCCCAGCTCCATTGTAACTTCGTACCCACCCGACGTCACTTGAGCATCTGACGAGGCATTCCATCTCCAGGTCGCCAGCCTTCCTCAGCCCTCCTCACCCCAGACAGGACGTCGGACCACTCGAGCTCGGCGAACATGCAAACCGCTGGGCGATCCGACTTGTATAGTTCCCAACTCAAGGGCGGTTACCCTCGATAGGCAGCCCGCCGCAACCCCGAAAGCGACCGGCCGTCCGTGATCGCGCCCCATCTCGAGCACCATGGACCCCAGAACCGGCAACGCCATGTGCGACATATGCCAGCGCGGGCACCATCCGCAGAGGCTCCCGTTTCTGTGTGCGATGGACGCCCGGAATCTGCTGTACGAGAAGCGCATCGCCAACGCTCAGGTCCTCATCGAGATGGACGAGCTCGAACAGCGAGTCAATGCGCTCCTCCAGGACGGCCAGGCAGACGCAGCGACGACCTCCGCCGGCCGAGCATCGCATACATACACAGAAAACAGCCACTCGGAGGAACAAAAGGCAAAGTTGCGAACAGAGCAGATCATCTCAGCCGCCGAGAAGCTGCAGAAAGAGGTTGACGAGGCCAAGAAAGAGATCCAAGACCGCAAGGCAGCCATAGCCCGGCGCAAGACGGATCTTGCCTCTGCATCACAGGGAATAGCTGCGCGGAGAAGGAGGGAGCTGGAAGAGACCCAAAAGGCCATCTCGATGAGCAAATTTCGCTGGAACCAAGACCATGGGGCAATGGCGGCATACCGCGGTGCGTTGTGCGCCGAGGTTGCCAAGCTGTACAGGCTCCAACGCGTGAGGCGAGGCAATCCAGTTCGATTTGAATACAAGATAGGGGGACTGGAAATAGTCGACCTACATCATCTCAATAGTAAGTTGAATAGGAACAAGCGGACTGGAGAGGGTCCTAACCATCGCGAAGGCACACATCCCGAACACATCTCGGCATCTCTTGGTCATATCGCACATTTGCTATGGCTAGCATCACACTACCTGTCCATCAAGCTTCCTGCCGAGATCACACTTCCTCACAACGACTATCCCAAGCCGACCATATTTTCCCTAGCGTCGTCCTACCAACATGGACAGGTCAGCTTTCCAGGCGCGTCCCCATTACCGGTCGATCCCTTGGACCGTCAGTACGGCCATGTGCCTCACCCAAGGCCGCTATTCTTGGACAAACCACTCGCCTCGTTTTCGAAGGACGAATCAAATAACTACACTGCCTTCCTCGAAGGTGTGTGTCTTCTCGCCTACAACATCGTGTGGCTCTGCCGCACCCAGGGTGTCCCCGTCGGCAACAACGACAACAGCTTCGAGGACTTTACCTATATTGGACGAAATTTGTACAACCTCCTGATCGGCTCGTCTGTAAATCGCGGCCAGCCTCCCCAGGCAATGCTCGACGCGAATGGAAGTCCGGCCCGCAACGGGGCCTTAGGCGGCAATGGCGAGGGCAATGACCTCGCCAAGGCAACCCCCCAGATGGGCGCCTGGTCGCATGGCACGGCGCACACCTCGCTGAGCAGCACGGCCGGCAACGAGTTCACGCGCTCCTTCAAGCTGCCCAACCCGATAAAACTGGCTGACAAGCTGAAGTCGCGGTTGGCGAACGATGCCCCCGTGCCGGAGTGGGAGCTGATTGAGGGTGGTGACTTTGGTCCCAACGATCTCGACGACGGCGTCTTTGTCGGGGGGTCGCCCCAGTCCAAGGGGAGGGCCCCCAGGTACGGGTTGGAGAGCTACATGAGCGTCAACACGATCAGGAGCCACGCCTCGTCCGACACCAGGATCTCGGGCGCGACTGCAAATACGGCCGGGACGAGGGATAAGGAGAGGAGCTCGAATGGCTGGACCAAGATCAAGCCTAGATGATCTTTGGATACAGCTCAGCCAGGTTGGATGGAGGCATGGCAGTTGTATTGCAGCCGCATGACTCTCATTGGGTATATCATAATGTGGCATGCTGGACCACTACTTGGCTTAACGGCCCTCCTGCTGCTCGTATGGCCTCATGCGTAAAGCACTCTCCCGATTGCATCTGCAGAAAGACAGTGGCTCACTCACAAGCCCCAAGATATAATCATGCTCATGTAAGACTAGATCGAGCGGGCCTTGTGTTGCATCAATCGAAGAACGCAACCGGCCCCATTTGTGGACCATGCATGGAGTGGCCCTCTTCACCGTGTGATTTGTACTGCATGTCTCAGCCAAAGGATAGTCGGAAATTCCAAGGCTGTGTATAGCATTGCAGTGCTGTGATCACTATAACGCTTGCCGCCAGTCTGTAGGCCTTTCCCTGTATGAGGACCTGCACTTTCGAGAAGAGAAAAGGTCAAGTTTGGTGACATCAAGGCAAGAAATCTATGTATATAGTTGTCTTATGACTTGCCAGTGAGATCTGGCCGGCGGGATAGCCGCGCATGTAAGACACCGTTTTAACCCCAGTGACGACTGTCTGCATGAGATCTTTGATCACAATTGACAATACCAAAGTAAAGAAATTGTCATTATGTCATCTTTCGTGGTTTTTGTCGACTGATCTGCAAAGTCCTAGCTTATGGATTATCCAGACGCAAGTTACTCCATATAAGGCTGCGGCCTTCTCATCAGTCCCACTCTGCGCAATTCCCGTATACGATGTAAGACCTAGTTAGTGGCAGGACATGCACGGTGCTGGCGAAGTCTCGGAGGTCTGGGGCACGTCAGTCAAGTGACGGTTAAGTCAATCACAACAAGACTGCTGCGGAACCCGTGAATAGCTTCACAAATATACGGCATGAAGACGTCGAGAGCAACCACGGCTGGATTTCCATGGCTCAGACCCAGTACAATGCCATAGTAATACGTAGTCCAACCCCAAGACCCAACGGCTGCAGAGCGCGCATTTCGTTGCATGGTTGCAGGGCTGGCCCCTGCATGGCGGGCGGCAGGGACCTGGTCGGCGTCTGCGACGCGATCGACGGCAGCCAACACACTGCGAGTTCCATTGGCCCTGAGAAGGCGAGGTTGTCGACGCCGAGCAGACCTGAAACCACAGAAGCAGAGATCAGGCCAAACCGACCTCGAGCTGGATGGAACCGCGGCGCTGGTTTGGCGACAGGCATCGAGTCGTACGGTCTGCGTTGCACGAGCTCGACATTCGACAGACAGAGCCCGACCCCCAGGTGAGAGTGGGCTCTCCAGGCTCTCTCTCCCCTTTCGGTCTCCACACTACCATGGTAGACTGAGAAAAGCCAAAATGCTAAGTTTGGATGCACTGCCTCTGGTAGCTGACGACCGAGGCCGACGATTGGCCCGCGAGGCTCCCCCAGGGTTTTGCCAGACGGGCCAGGCAGGCCAGGGTCCTCGCCGTCTGCTGGAGGAAACTGGCCGCCAAGACGCTAAACAAGGGGGCAAGGCTCGCTGATCTCACCCTAAGGGGCCCCTAACTTGCTACAAAGCCCCCGAATCCCAGACCCGACCGGCCTCAGCTCGTTGAAACGAACGGTCTGGCGGGCATCCCTGGCGTCCATATGCTGGGCTAGTAGGTACTCCGTAGGGGCATAGGTCCTGTAGGTCCTGTAGGTCGTGTACGAAAGTGATTACCCAGGCTCCAGTTCCCATCGTCCAACTCTCACACTCTGCTCCTGCTTTCCTGTTACCTATTCGCCTCACACACCACACGAGCGGAAGAAAGCGAGTTCTTTCTTTGTCCTTCCCTCAATCTTCATCCCGAGTATCGTCGCCCCAGTAGCAACCGGCCGCGGCAGAGCCGACCAACCCAGCGTCGTCGATAATCACCGACCGGACGGACAGCGCCAGTCCAGCGATCTCCTACCAACCAGCGCCGGAACCAGAAATCGCCTGCGCGCGCGCCTCGGCGGCCACCAGCAAAGATGAGCGTGAGTGTTTCACCCCCGTCCCCGACTGTTTCAACAAAGCACCTATGTCATTCTCGCCTGCAATTTCGAGCTTTGGCTTGGGGCTTTGACTTCTGCTTTCTTGTCCAAACTCTAATCTTATGATTTTCTTTTTATCCTGTTACTCAATTGTATATCGTTGAACGCTGACAAGATGGCACAGTACGGGTATGTTACCCCTGACCCAGGACGGCAACCACCAAACTGCCGACGCAACCCAAGCGCTCACTTGCTTGCTTGCTTGATTGATTGATTGATCGACTGACATCCGATTGACTTATAGATACGGCGGGCGACCGAATCCCTTTGATGACCGAGGAGGCAACAACAACGGCGGTGGTTTTGGTGGCGGGTTACCCTCGGGCCCAAGAGCCGGCGGCGCTCGTAACAATGCATACGGCGGCGGTGGTGGTGGAGGAGGAGGAGGAGGAAACCAGTATGGTGCGAACCCTTTTAATGATCCCAGTGAATATGGATGTGCGTATCAAAGTGCCTGGATTGCGGCCCGTCCCGTCAGAAGCTTACAATTGGGACAGCAAACAACGTCGAGATGTCGTCGTTTTCGCAGAACGCCAACCCCAACGCCATTCTGAACGAGTGTGCCGACATTGGCCGCGGCATCGATACGATAGACCAGAACCTGAACCAGATGAGGATGCTGCAGGACCGCTCGCTCAACGACGCCGACAGCTCGGCCGGCAGCAACACCAACCGCCAGCTGGACGGCCTCAGCAGCGACACCATGTCGCACTACCGCACCCTCGTGGACCGCGTGCGCATGCTCAAGAGCAACCCCGAGAGCGGCACGCCCAAGAACAAGGCCCAGGTCGACCGCATCGACCGCCGCCTGAAGGACGCCATCCGGGAGTACCAGAGAGTCGAGGCCGACTTCCGCAAGAAGAACCAGGACCAGATGGCCCGGCAGTACAGGATAGTGAGGCCCGAGGCCGACGAGAACGAGGTGCGAGCCGCTGTCGACGACCCGAGTGGCGGCCAGATCTTCCAGCAGGCCCTGATGCAGAGCAACCGACGCGGCCAGGCCCAGTCGGTGCTGAGCGCCGTGCAGGACCGCCACGCGCAGCTGCAGAAGATCGAGCAGCAGCTCATCGAGCTGGCCCAGCTGTTCCAGGACATGGACACGCTCGTCGTCCAGCAGGAGGAGCTGGTCACGGACATCACGCAGAAGGCCGAGGAGACGGTCGACAACTTCGACAAGGGCAACGTCGAGATGAACACAGCCATCACCACGGCCCGGAAGACCCGCAAGAAGAAGTGGATGTGCCTGGGTATCTGCGGTAAGTACACGACCGGCACGCTGCACACGCCGAGACCGTTGCTAATTTCTCTGTGTCACAGTGGCCATCATCATCGTCATCGCCATCATTGTCGTGGTGTACATCTTCGTCACGGGCAAGAACAAGCCGGCCCAAAACGCCAAGCGCTTCATCGAGGACGCCCAGGGCCTGGTCACGCGCGCCGTCGGCAACACGGTGCAGATGGCCGAGAAGCGCGACATCAAGCTCTTCCGCGGCCAGACGGCTCGCCCGCACGCCCGCTCTTGGCTCGAGCACGCCGGAAAGCGCTGGGTCACCAAGAACGACCCGCCGTCGGACATGATGTCGTAAGATGTCATATAGCTATATTATATATACAGAAATCCCTCCGCGTCTCGCTTCGCGCTATACCATTGCAGCGTCATGCCGAACCGCGGAGTGTAGGCGACTGGGCATGGGGAGATTTGAGCCGTTCCTTGGACAGACCCTGATTGCGGACTCGACGTCGAACGCGAGAACCGGCAATAGGGAATGAGGGCTGGCTGACTGGAGAACACACCTCGTTTTCCTTGAGTCTTGGTGGTGGAGGAGGAAACATGTTGGCTACCCGACGCGTTGGGTGGAAAGCGTCTCTTGTGTATCACATCTCTCGTATGTCATTTTTTGGTGATGGATGCCCCCTTGTTTGGTTTTTGGCAGGAAGGAAGCTTCGAAGGAACCTCGTTGCATTTTCCGGCGTTCGTGAGTCTAGGTTGCCCGTTTGTCTATATACAAGTCTTTATTTATTTGCTCGAGCACCCATACACAATGGTTTATATTTCTGTCCTTGCTGCGCGTGTCTGCTATTGCTATTGAGCGGTGGGTATGTATTTGCGTGTCTGATTCGAGCCAGGACCGATAATTCAACAACACCATATCTCGTCCTAGTAGCCATTTGTGTGAGATTGTGTCATTACAATGTTATGGCTACTATTGACTTCTTCAAAGTCTTGAGCAAGTGGGGTTAGAAGTTATATGGATTAACGTTATTTTAAAAAGTATAGAGTTCGGACTACCTGAAAAGTACGCCCAATGCCACACTGTCCCAAATGCTTGATGAAGCGTCTATTCCTGATAGTACGTTCTGGACCCGCAGCCTGCTGCTGCATGATACCCAACACGAGCCTGGTCGCCTGGCTCTCGAGTCCCTCCGGACGATAACCTGTACTCCGTCCTGTAGCATCGAGTACGATTTCTGTCATCTTCCAATCTGTTGTTGATGCGCCCCAGCTTGCTTCTTCCCGAATGGTAATCAGCCTACCGCGGGTGCCGTATCTCGTCATCCCGCCTTCCCCTCGGACTTCAGTCTCATCCACTGCCCCATCAAACCCCAAACTCTCCCCCGGCCCCTTTCCCGCCTCAAGGCCGGGCAGGATCCGCAAACGGGTTGGAGTTCCCCGTGCGCTGCGCCGCGACCGGCGGCGGCGGCGGGCCGGGCGGCGGGGCGTAGTCGCCGGCCTGGGCGGGGTCGAGCTTGGAACCGCCCTGGGGCGGGGCGCCGGGCGGCGGCACGTCGTACATGGGCGGGCGGTTGGGGTCGTAGACGGGCGGGGGCATGGGCTGCATGCCGTAGTAGCCGCCCTGGGGCGGGCCCCCGGCCGCGTAGCTGGTGTACGTCGGGTTCTGCGGGTAGGCGTAGGCCGGGTCGACGCGGGCCAGCTGGGCGCGCGGCACCAGGCACCGGTGGTAGCGCAGCGGCGCCAGCCCCTTGCGCATGCGGCGCCGCGCGTGCAGGTAGCCGCCGATCAGGTACAGGAGGAACAGGGCGATCAGGCCGAAGAAGATGGACCACTTGATGATGACGCCCTCCTGGTGGGGTGGGGGGTGAGGTTAGCTGTGTGTCTTATGCATCGAGGCTTGATGTAATGTCGGCGGGGCAGAGTAAGGCAGGGCAGGTCAAGGCAAGGCAAGGTGATGTCAGGCACGTGGGTAGGTAGGGAGGTAGATAGGTAGGTAGATGAATAGCTAATTGCTGCGTGGTGTCTCTGGGTTGGGTTGAGATGGATGGATGGATGGATGAATCGTGGCAGACGTACCTTTGTCCACCAGAACGGCACCTCTCTGCCGTTCTCATTCACGAAGCCGTCCCCCGACAAGTCGCCGTCGTCCGCACGCGGCGTGAGCATCGAGTTCATCGTGGTGCCGATGCGGGCTTTCGCCATTGCGAAGGCCATGACTGATTCGGTAACTTTGGGATCTCCTCCTCTCGGCGTAGGAGAAAATGGATCTTGTTCCTGCTGTCTCTCTCGTGCCGTCTCGCTTGCTTGCTCGCGGGAAAGCCTGCTGTCTTGGTTGTTTGCCTCGAAGCCCGGGGTGGATTATATGATGTAGTCGTAATAGTCGTGGGAGCAGTACAAACCACCTGGGCAGGTGTCCGTGGATGGGAATATCGCCAAGCGTGAGAAGCGAAACGAACAGAGAGAAAACACCAAACTCAAAAGAGAGCGGAGGGGAGTTGATAGCCGGTCTTCTCCTCAGTGTGCCAGACCAACGAAATGCCAGATTCTGTTGCCAAACACACGCGCAGAGAGATAAACACTGGACAATGGAGAAGAGGTGACGGGGTTGCGAGAGGAGAGTTGAGCGGGAAGGGGAGTTTGAGAAACGCCAAGAGGATTTTCTACCACAATCTTTTTGTCGCCTGCGTCCTTGCTCGAGCTGGGAAGATCTGATCTGCCCTGCTCCCTCTTTGTCGTTGTCTTGCCGTGCAGTCCCAGTCCAAGGGGGGCAGGCGGCCAAGGCAGGGAAGTGTGAAGTGACGTTGGGCGGGTGTGGCGTTGCGGGTTTGGCTGAGTGTGTCTGCGGCAGACGTGTTACAAAGGCCGTGTTTCAAATAATACTCTGCTCGGCTCATCGGCTTCGAGGGGGGGCGCAGCGCTGGGGACGGACAGCCAGAGGACGTGGGTGGGGATGTGTTGACGTTGCACTGGGGGGGCCAGCCAAGTTGCGCGGACCCCGTTGTAACTCTATATCAATTACTCGCTATTGGCCTGGCACTTTTCTTTTCCATGGTAGCATACATAGTTGGTAGAGCGACGCGTGTACCCGTCCGACTTGCTTTGTGGTTGCCATGAACCATATGATAATCCTTTCGCCCTGCTAGCGGCCTTTGCGATATTCATGGGCCTACTACATACGTACACAGTCGCTGGTAAACACTGTGATAACAATGTGACTCGGGCGGCAGTGTCAACCAGAAACGGCCACTTCATGGTCGCAATCCCGAAGAAGCAACCCGAGCGGCTTCCGGATCGGGGTCGTCTGAAAGACTCTTGGGGGCGGCCTCCGTGGCGCCACTGGACTGCGTCTCTGTACGCATGGGGCGGAGCCCGGCCCAAAGACGACGATATGCCCCGGCCGGCTTCTCTGCTTTCCCGTGAGATGGCCGATTTCGAAAGTTGAGACGAAACCACCGGCGCCTTGTTGAGTGCCAATCAGATGCGTCGTCCGAAAGACGGGTAGGCAGGCGCGATTGCCCATGCGAAGTGAATCCTTCGATCCTTTCGAGGTCGTCTATAGTGGCGTATACCGCTTTGCTAGTCGTGTGCCAAGCAATCCACATACAGTCGCTCCCAAACTTACTCTGGAGCTATGCTAAACGTTGGCTCTGATTGGCTAGAAACCCTACGTTAACTGCCTTCATACTGCAGGCCATGTTGGAAACTCCAAGACGGAATGGCTCGCGCCAGCAATATCAACATGGTCGGCGCTGAGTAGACATTCATACAAATGGTGGTTCCTCAATCATAGAAACAATATACGAAGTGATGCGTCCAGTTGACTGCTTATCAGCATGCATCGAGGGCATGCACCTTCTTCTGCTTCAACCACTAGTGCCATGACCCGTCTATGTGACCAAGTTTCCTTGATAATGATACATCCTCCTAGCCTCATATCCTCCATGGTCGGGTCCTTTCCTATCTCGAACCTCACCCTTGTTAATCTGCTACCATTCTCAGATCTTCAGCTTCTCCTCGAGGTACTTTCTGGCAGCCTCAACGCCGTCATCAATCTTGTCGGCGTTGGTACCCTGGCCCTGTCGCGTGGGCTCCTTGCCACCCGACTTACCACCAACAACCTGGGACACGGCAGCAGACCAAGTCTCTGCGGTGACGCCCTTGGAAGACAGATCCTAGAGAAAGTGTTAGTCTGAATTTCGTCCTTTGGCTGTACATTACTATGGGGTTCAACTTACCGTGCCCACGTAGACGCCGTGGATGACGGCGCCCTCCTTCGGGCTTCCACCGAAGAGGTAGACAGACTTGGTCTTGTCCTTGGTCTGGTAGTGCTTGAGGACATCAGAAACAGCCTTGGCGTTGGCAGAGATGGGGAGGTGCCCGATGAAGTGGGTGGCCTCCTTGTTCTCGTCCTTGGCAAAGTGGCTGTTGACAGCGTCCAGAGCCGTCTTGCTCTCTGCCTTTTGGCGCTTCTTCTGCTCCTCAACCACGCTCTTGCTGACCTTGGCAAACCGTGTCCTCAGCTCCTCCTTGCTGACGGCAGACACGACTAGCCCGTTGAGTTCGGCCTGGGTCTGCTTGACCTTGTCCTCCTTCTCGGGGCCGAAGGGAAGGGCCTCGATCTCGTCGATCCGCTTGCCAAACTCAGCGGCCTCTCGTTGCACGGCGTGGGCGGCATCGCCGGTGTAAGCCACCAGGCGACGAGTACCCTTGGCGATGCCGCTCTCCTCGACAATGACCAAGTCCTTGATGATGCCTGTCTGGTCGACGTGCGTGCCACCACAGAACTCGACGCTGACCTTGCGCCACTCTGGGTTCTCGGGGTTCTCGAGGAGCATGTCCACGTCAATGCCGACGGACACGACGCGGACTGGGTTGGGGTAGGTCTCGCCAAAGACGGCGCGGACACCGTTGATCTTCTTGGCGGTGTCCAGCTCGACATCCTTGGAGTAGATCTTGCAATTTTGCCTGATGTATGCGTTCGACAAATCTTCAATCTTCTTGATCTCAGGGACGGTCACCAGGGACTTGTGCGAGAAGTCAAAGCGCAGCTTGTCCTGGTCCACCAGGGAGCCCTTCTGGTTAACCTCCTCACCCAAGACTTCCCTCAAGGAGTGGTTGAGGATATGGGTACCTGTGTGGTTATTCCGGATGGGCTGTCTGCGGAGCTCATCGTATTCGGAGATGACCTCGTCGCCAGCCTTGAGCTCGCCATACTCGAGGTATCCGTTGTGGACGATATAACCACCGTATTGCTGCACGTCGAGTACCTTGAACTCTGCCACACCATCAATGATTATCCGACCAGTGTCGGCAACTTGGCCACCCTGCTCGGCATAAAAGTTGGTTTGGTCAAGAAGTAGTCCCAGCGGAGTGTTGGCAGGGATATCTTTCGTGGACTTGGCAAACTCTGTGCCAGTAAAGATCAGCTGAACCTTGGCTTTGATGTCTCCCTTTCGGAACTTGGCCTCATCATCAGCGGTAGGAACCTGGAGCTTGTCCTTGAGCTCGGCAATCTGGTGCACGTTCAGCTTGGAGAAGGTCTGAATCGTATCCTTGACGGACTTGCTGGCCTCGCGGGCCTTTTCCCTGGCGACAGCAACCTCGGCCTCGTCAATGTCCAGACCGCGCTCCTCGGCCATGAGCTTCGTCAAGTCCTCGGGGAAACCAAAAGTGTCGTAGAGTCTCCACACATCTGCACCCGACAGCTTCTTCTTGTCGCTGGTGGCAGCCTGGGCAGCATACTTCTCGAACTGCTTCTCACCACGGTCCAGTGTCCGGGCAAAGGCCTCCTCTTCCTCGTCGAGAATCTCCTTGACATCCTGCTGCTTCTTGACAATCTCGGGGAACTGCTCACCCATCTGCTCCACCAGAGCAGGCAGGATCGAGGAGAAGAAGGAGCCAATCTCGGCGCCAAAGTATTTGCGAGCATACCGCACGCCTCGTCGCAGAACTCTCCGCACAACGTATCCTCTGCCATCGTTGTTTGGCACGGCACCATCCGAGATAGAAAAGGTCAGCAACCTGATGTGGTCGGCAACGACACGGTAGGCAGTGTCGATGCCGTCGGCGTCGTCCTTTCCATACTTGTCGGTGTAGTCCCGCGCGCCGGTGACCTTTTGAATCTGGGCGAATAGGGGCTCGAAAATGTCGGTGGCGTAGTTGGAGGTCTTGTCTTGGAGAGCAGACACCAAGCGCTCGAAACCCATTCCGGTATCGATGTGCTTGGCGGGCAGAGACTTGAGCGACTTGTCTTTTTGCCTGTCGTACTGCATGAAAACGTTGTTCCAGACCTCAACAACCAGAGGGTCGTCCTGGTTGACCAAGTGGGCGGCGTTGCGGCCGCCTACCTTGTCGTAGTGAATCTCACTGCAGGGACCGCAGGGGCCCTGGTCACCCATCTCCCAGAAGTTGTCCTTCATGTTGCCGGGCAGGATGTGGTCCTCGGGCACACCGACCGACTTCCACAGCTCCTTGGCCTCGAGGTCGGGCTCGAGGTTCATGTCGGGGTTGCCCTCGAAGTAGGTGACGTACAGCCGGGAGGGGTCCAGGCCGTAGACCTTTGTGAGGAGCTCCCACGACCACTCGATGGCCTCCTTCTTGAAGTAGTCGCCGAAGGACCAGTTGCCCAACATCTCGAAGAAGGTGTGGTGGTAGCTGTCCTTGCCGACATCGTCGAGGTCGTTGTGCTTTCCGCCGGCGCGGATGCACTTTTGCGAGTCGACGGCGCGCTTGAGCTTGGACAGGTCGTCGGCGCTCGACACGGTGCCCAGGAAGATGGGCTTGAACTGGTTCATGCCGGCATTGGTGAAGAGCAAGGTGGGGTCATTGTGAGGGACGACGGAGGAGGACGGGACTGGGAGCGGCGACACGTGTTAGCAGCAGGAAGAAATAAGTCGTCCATAGCCTCCTCGGTCTTCTCCTCGTGACACAGTGCAGTGCAGTGCATTGCTGCCGCGTGGGAGCGAGGGAGGGGCAGACGAAAACAGGCAAGAAAAAAAATATGCATGTGCTAATGCGTACCGATGGTGTGGCCCTTCTTCTCGAAGAAGTCAAAGAAGGTGTTGCGGACGCCAACACCAGTCCACTTGGCCGGCTCCATGGCTGCAGTGGTGGTGCTGAACGGTCTCGAGGGGGCGTGAAGAATGGGCGTGGCGGTCCTGGGTAGGGCCCTTTGTGTTGTCGTCCTGGTCGTCGTAGAGACAGCGGCAGGGCGGCGGGATGGAATTCTGGTCGTCGTGGTGGAGTAGTGGCAGCAAAATGCCAATGGCTTCAGGCGCAGACTGCTGCTAATAGTCGAGGAGGCGGCGGGCGCGGTGGCGGGGGTGGTGCTGGTGGGATGGGCGGTATGGAGGGGTAGCTGCTGCGCGGCGTCAGGGTGCGGGCGCGGGCGCAGGTGCTGGTGCTGGTCCTGCTGGTGCCAGGTGCTAGTGCTGGCCGCCGGAATGGGTCGTCGTCGTGGTGCTGCTGCTGCAGGAGTGGGCGTGGGCGTGGGCGTGGGTGTGGGCGATGGGGATGGCCCGGATTTACAGTAGAAACTTCTACAAGAGTGACTCAGGGCCCCTATAAACGACGGGTCCCATCGCTTCCGCTGCCGCAGCCGCAGCATCGGGACCTATCTCATTCGGTCGAGCCCAGCCCTCAGTCTCAATCTCAGTGCGACGGATTGCGCCCGGCCCCAAGAGATAAGAAACGCCTTGAGACGGTGAGCGCGCTCTCTGGTTGCAGACTCGCGACACGCCTCGAGCGATTGACGGTAAAGTGACTCGACGGGGCCTCCGGTTTTCGCTCTCGGTCCTGGACGACGGACCCCTGTGGTGCGGCTGTTGGAAACTGAGTCGAAGGCAGCCGAGGGAGCCTTTCTGAACCTCTCTGCACGACACGAGGCTTGACTTGAAACTAGCCACACCACACCACCACACTGCAGTACCATAGTGCACCACACCCACCATCTGGGCAACCGTCCATGATGGACTTTGCGCCTGGACCGAGCTTCCACCACTACCACCCCCCAGCCCAACATCACCTGCCACGCCCCACCGACACCCCCGTTGCCCTCGCCGGCGCCGCCTCCGCCGCTGCTGGCCGAGCACAAGCGAATCTCGCACCAGCTGCTCCAGCGCCCGCGCCGCCCGCCATTGGAGCTGGAGAGCGACCCGGACCGCCCTATCAGCAGCCCACTCCATCGTCGGCCTGCGATAACCAGCGCCATGCCCCAGCCATGCGCAAGATGCGCAAGAGAAAAGCCGATACGCAGGACAACGAGAGGCTGTCCAAGCGCTTGAGTCTCCTGAACCTGGGTATGTCGGCCCACGATTGCCGGATAGCTTTGGTCCCAAGTAGCTAACACCCCGTCCGCAGAACAGAATGGCCAGAAGCTCTACGTCCCGGTCGAGAGCCCCCAGCTCACGCCCGCGGCCGGGGCCTCTCTGAGGCAGATCCCCGAGAATGAGCACATGGACCTCGACAACTCGAAGCACAAGGTGTACATCTACGACCTGGACGCCGAGCTGTCCGACGGCGAGTCCTCCTCCGACGAGGGCAAGCTGGTCTTCCTGCCCGACATCGAGAAGCACCTCTTGCTGAACCGCATCCCGCCCTCGGTCCTGGCCAACAAGGACGGCGAGCTGGCCGGCATGCAGATGGTGCTGTACAACGAGCCCAAGTCGCTGACCGTGCCCGCCGAGCAGGACAGCGTGCGCAAGGCCATCGTCGAGGCCAGGGCGCGGCTGCGGCAGAAACAGAACGGCGACGGCGCCGGTCGGGACGCTCTGCCCTCGGGCATGGACATTGAGGAAACCCCCCCGCCACGGGTCCCGAACGGGCTCAACAACTTGGCCAACGACTCGGTGCCTCCAGCTGCCACCAACAACAGCATGGGCGTACTGGACGGCGGCTCGTCGACGGCGCAGCCCTGGCCTACAACCCCTTACGACAGCAGCGATGCGATGGAGATGGATATTGATTGATGCGGCAACCCCGTAGGAGCCGGGCGAGACTCCGTGATACCCAGGCGACATGCGGTCGCTGAGTTCTGCTATAATTATATGTACTATTAGAGCCAGCAAGGCTAACGGGCTTACTTGTCACTAGCGTTGGAGTTGGAAAGCCTCTTAGAGAGACACAGGACACATGCATAGGCGTTCTTGCTGTTGTGCTATTTCGAGGTTAATCAGGACAATTCTGTTTTATTCACTAGGATGCATGTCGCTCGTTTCCATTCCGTCGACTTGGGGAGCCAGGTTTGTCGTTTGGCTGACGGCTTACTCCGTACTCGAGGAAATACTGTAGTTGCCCTGCAAAAGAGGAACAATTCTTAACTCTTGACGTCTAGTGCTCTTGCTGACACCAGACCCGGCGCCATTGGTGAAAAGGACGGTGCCGCAGCCCATATCCTTGATATTGGTCTCGTGTGTGAGGTCGTATAAGTGACAGGTCATGTGCACATCTTGCTGCCGCTATAGAGCACTGCTTCAATACAGACTTTAGTTCCAACTCTATACATAACCTTGAATAATGCAACTGTATTTTTTACATTACCTACAACTCAACTATATAAGATCATCCTCTTAGACCTTTTCTTCTTGTCCTTTAAATCTCTCTTCTTTCTTATTGGCGATTGGCGTATTATCTGCGGTTACTGTAGCGTAGCACCTGAACCGTTGAGCTCGTCATCATCCTCGCCCCTCACGCCTTATCACGGGCTGCGGATCTTTTCTACCTGACCCGGCACGCATCCAACCTCCCAATTGGCCGCTCCAAGTCGCATTATCGATATCGACGCCGTTTACATGCCTCTGCATGCAGTAGTCCCTCCCCACAACCACGGTCCCCGATTGATAGAGACATGGATTGCAGTATGGTGCAATGACACCGAGGAGTCAGTCGAGCGGAGTAAATCAGACTCTCTTCATCGGATGCTGTTGACCCTATTCGGCCTCTGCTTCCGCGTCGTCAGGTATTTTGTGCTGTACCGTATATATACTATATCGCCGCAACGATGATCGTCTACGCCAGACACTCGCTTCTCACTCCCCCTTTTCGCTGGCAATTTTTCTGAAATACCAGCCGAATAAAGGCAATCAGAGCTTCTTCTCATCATGGCAGAGCCTCAAGCTGCCGCCGTTGTCGCCGAGGCGCCCCCGAGGCGGTCCTTCCGCTCCTTCATCTGGGACACCGACACCCACCTGAAGAGCCACGAAGAGCGCGTTCTTCTTCGCAAGCTGGACTGGAGCATCCTGACCATCGGGTGCCTCGGCTTCTTCATGAAATACCTCGACCAGGGAAACCTAGCAAACGCGTACGTGTCGGGCATGCAGGAGGACCTGTCCATGTACGGCAACGAGTACACGTACGCGACCGTCATGTACACGATCGCGTACGCGCTCATGCAGGTGCCCAGCACGCTGATCGTGCAGCGCGTGCGCCCCAGCGTCTGGCTGGCCGCCATGGAGGTGTGCTGGGGCGTCTTCACCTTCGCCCAGGCCGGCCTGCGCAGCGTCGGCCAGCTGTACGCCTTCCGCTTCCTGGTCGGCCTGTTCGAGTCCTCCTTCTTCCCCGTCCTGCTCTACCTCCTCGGCAGCTGGTACACCAAGACCGAGCTCGCCAAGCGCGTCGCCATCTTCCACATGACGGCGCCCCTGGGCGCCGCCTTTGGCGGCTACCTGCAGGCTGCTGTCTATGAGAACCTCGATGGGACGCATGGCCTGGCCGGCTGGAGGTGGCTGTATATCGTTTGCGGTGTAAGTGATTTTATCCCAAGGCCCATTGATACAAGTGTGCTTTGGCTAATATGGCCTGATCGTAGTGTATGACGGTGCCGGTTGGGTTGGCCACCTACTTCATCCTCCCCGACACGCCGTACACAACACGGTCCAAGTTCCTCACGGCTGCGGAATGCGAATTAGCACTTAAACGTGTGCAAGATGCTGGGAAAGCAGCGCCCAAGCCCGTAACACTACAGACTTTCAAGCGTGCGCTGACGAAGTGGAGGTGGTACGCTTTTGTATTGGGATATATCGTAAGTACTTACCCCTGGTAGAAGCAAGTAGAAGTCAAGAAGGTGGTTTACTAAAATGCTTGTCCAGCTGTATGGCGAATCCTGCCAAGCATCCGGCTACTTTGGCATCTGGCTCAAGGCCGAGAACTTCTCGGTGGTCGACCGGAACGTTATCCCAACCGGCACGAAACTCATCAGCGCATTTTTTGTGATATTGTGGGGTTTTTTGTCCGACTTCACCGGGAGCAGGTTTGCGTTTATCATAATTCCTCTGGTAAGTAATTTAATGAGCTCTGTAACACGATGCATAGAGGAGCCGGGCCTGACTGCGAACTTACAGCTCCTGGGCGCAATTCCCAATGGTATTCTGGCTGCTTGGCCAGCGAGTATTCCTCTGAAAGAAGCCGCCTTTCTACTATCCTCCATACACCTTATGACAGCAGTCTTGTGAGTGCCCATGAAGCCCATGAAACCCCCCTCATCCCCTGAGGCACAGAGTAAAGGAGGCTAAATAGCAATTCTCACAGCTACACGTGGGCCAACGAGATCTGCGCCGATGACAACGAAGAGCGTGCGCTGGTCGTCAGCAGCATGAACGGCATGCAGTACGCCGTCGATGCCTGGATGCCCATTGTCATCTTCCCACAGACCATGGCGCCCACCTTTCGGCGTGGGTTCCCTGCCACCTTTGGCTTCGTGCTGGCGGCTATACTAGCCGTACTTCTCATCCGGTTTCTTGTGTACCGTGAGGAAAAGCAGGAGTCCAAGGCTAGGTCTGGCGAGGACATCGAGTCCGCGGGCACGGTGACGTATAGTAATGGGGAGGATGGCGAGAAGGATATCAAGATGCGATGATGCATATTGCTGATCAAATCTTCCAATGACATGCTGTTGTTGAAGTGCAATGATTGGGCTGGTGGGAATAGTCTCCCGAAGGGTGCTCGGGTTCTGGTGTTTGAGAGGCAACAGGCTCAAGAGGATTCCTCGCATTAAGCTTGATTGCGCTGGTGTCAGCAGAAAGAGCAAATTGAAGAAGCTACAGATCTGATGGTACCCTCCTCGGTTGCCCCGGAGGGTCGAGAGATGCCTATGAGTACACCAAATGTGGAAATCCCGGAATCCCATTGGGCCAACGGGACCTGCCAGGCAACGAACAATCAAATGACCCTTAATAGTCCCCAATAGGTCAAAGGTTTTCAAGCACTCACGGGACTCCTCTGAGTGTGTACGTCCAGCGGGTGTTCCAGGGGGCCATGACGCAAAACTGGTAGCTCCTACCAATGTAGTCGAGCGGTAAAGGACCATATTCTTTTTTTGCTGTTGCATTGTCATTCTCGAGGCTTTTGAGGTTGCGCGTTCAATTCAGAGTGGTTGTATTATTTTTGTTCTTCATTTCTTTTTCTAGTCTTCACTTCGATGCTCAGCAGCCGCCATCCTTCCCAGCCCGCCCGGGCTTGCATTGCAACGTAGTCCCATCACTTCTTTTCAGATCTCTTGAAGTTCATTCCAAGTAACCCATTTCAGTTCCAGGCCATTGATTCAACCATATCTTTGCAATATCTCCAAAACTGCTATCTTATTCGGTTAGTCGGCCGGCCCCGGGCCCGCTCCCCGAGACCGGGTTACTATAACTTAAAAGTCTCCGCTATGGGACCGGTGGTCTCCGTGATGGAGTCGAGTAGCGTCCGCATTATCGGCGTGCCATGAAAACCTCACTGATTGCGGTACATCAAAGCCATCTACGTACCTACCATCTGCGACGACCAGAGGATACCCGCCAGTCGCAGCTTACGCACCCCGACTCACTCACACCCCATGGCCTCTCCCGGAGACGAGATCGACGTTCACAAGACGGCGGTGCGCACCCGCGTCTGGGCGGACCTCCTGCAGGTCGCGGTCCCGGACAGCCGGTTCCACCTGGACTTTGGCGAGTACATCACGGACTTCGCCGGGTCGTCGGCGGCGACGGACCGGCTGGTGGCGCTGCCGGCGTATCGCGAAGCCGCCGTACTCTTCATCACGCCCGACAACTGCCTCGAGGAGCTGCGGCGCCGCGCCCTCGAGGCCGGCAAGCGCGTGCTCGTCACCACGTACGGCATCCGCCGTGGCTTCTGGCTGCTGGATCCGGCGGCCATCCGGCGCGAGTGGGAGGGCCGCCTTGGCGCCCGGGGTTGGAGTTGGTACGCCGCCACGCTCGACGGCATGGAGCGCGTGGGCCGGCGGGTGAGCCTCCGGGATCTTGTGGATTTGGGTATTCGCATTCCCCTTCTAGTCACCGGCACCGGGGCCATCAACACACAAGGCATCCGCTTCGGCAAGGGCCATGGTTTCTTCGACCTCGAGTGGGCCATGCTCTACAGCATCGGCGTGATCCAGCAGAGCGCGGTCGCCGTGGCCGTTGTGCACGACTGCCAATTGCTGGAGGAGGAGCTGCGGCCCGATGTCTTCGATACCGTCTGTGACGTGGTCATCACGCCGACGCGGGTTGTGGAGGTAGAGGCCGCGCAGAAGCCGACTTGCGGGATCCTGTGGGATCGATTGCAACCGGGTATGCTGGAGGACATACCGCCTTTGCAGGAGCTGAAGGAAACGGGGGATTGAGAGGGACAGAATGTGTTCATGCTGATGAGGCACGGAAGAACTGGAATGAGATCCTGGACTTGCGTGGGAGAGCTCGAGATGCTCCTGGTTATTTCCACATCACCACCGTCAAAAGATATGGAGACTGGGATCTGTATGCGTAGGGAAGAGAAGACTGATTTGGTCTTCATATAATTGCAGATGAACGCCTAACATCCAATGAGCTAATGACCTGCTCACTATACAATACAGCCAAATACCAAACACCAACATGCTGAACGCCTTCGCGCCAACCTTTCTAGCGCCATGCCCGTAGGACATACCCTCTGCCTATACGTGTACGCTACCCGAGTCCGAGTACTATACTGCGGTTCATCAAAATGCAAAATCCATACCGAAAAAATCCCGCCTTCCCTTCCACACCAAGGAAATGGCAACTCAGCAGACCCCAACGGCGCCGGCCGTCCACCCAAGGCCGCCAACCCATACCTTCTTGCCGGCACAGATGAGACACTGCCTCTGCTGGCCAAGGTTGGTGATGGAGCAGTGCGTGCACACATGCTTGCCACACCCGGCGCACCCCGTGGCCTCCGTCGTATCGGCGCCCAGTCCGTCACCGTCCATGTCCACGTCCATGTCGTCGCTGCCGTCACCACCGCGCAGTCCCTGGCCGCAATCCTCGCAGTTCGACGGCGCGTAAAGCGAGGCGGTGTCGATGCGGGGTGGAGACACAACACCCCACGTCGAGTCAGCGGATTGTGTTGGGGCTGGGATGTTCCAGAAGGCGTGGAGCGACGCCTGTTGCTGCTGCTGGGGCTGGGGAGCCGATTGCTGGTCGTCTTGCTGGTACTGTGGTTGCGGCTGCGTCTGTGCCTGCGTCTTTCGCGCCGCTGAGAACAGCATGTCGATGGTCCGCTCTGTAGTCATAGCCGCGCATGAGCCTCTGCTTCCACCCCGACGGCGCTGGTGCTGGTGGTGGGCGCGCCACTCGTAGAACTTACGGTGCACTTCCTCGTCCGAGGGTCGGGAGTCGCGGATGCGCTTCATGGTGCGGCTGGGGAGGTGGGACGGCGTCGCCATTCCGGACCGGCACGACGGCGTGGGCGAGGTGAGGTCCATGCCGGCGTGCGATGCGTCGGGTCGTGGTGGTGAGCTGAACGCGGTGCCGCAGGACGAGAGGGAGAGCTCGGACTCGGAGCGCTTGCGCTTGAGGACCATCGTGGCGAATCTGTGAATGAAAGATAGAACAATTGAACGAAGAGGCCCTACAGATCTCCTATGCGCTCCAATGTGGTCCGAAGTGCAATTCGTTGATTTATGTATAGAGTTGTTGTGGGATAGCAAGACATTCAGACCGAGAGAGTGAGGGTGGATTCGCCAATTGAATGCGACCCGCGTAAAGTGCAAAGCTGACGCTGTTTTGAGTGGTCAATCCTGGGGGGCTGGGATGACGCGCTGGAAGCGCTGCAAGACGCCCACCCGAGCCCCGCCGGCCTCTGAGTTAGCGCGTCTTACGCGTTAAGAGGTTCCAGGTTCCCGTCTGCGTCCAGATTCTGCTAATGGCACATCCACAATCCGAGAGTCAACAACCGTTGAATTGATGACTGGCTTAAGGGGGGCCACAATCTTGATAAACCTTCCCGGCCCATTCATCAGCTTCCCAAGAAGAAACGCCCAGCCTTCCTCGAGCTTCGGGGTTGAAATCTATCTTGCCCACCTCAATAAGCTCTTCTCTTCCGATGTCGCGTGTATGCCAGACATGGTACTCGCCGTCTGGGCTGAAATGTTTCAAGATCAATCTCTGATCCGATGGGTCAAGCTTCCGTGATTTCAACGCATAGTAGTCGAGATTTGTGACCTCTCCATCCGCATGTGGCCGCCATAAATTCGACAAATGCACTTGCTCGAGTAAGGCGCAACTCCCTACGGCAACATCCAAGATATCACCCCAACAGCCGCTTGTAAGGAAGACGTTCTCCAAATGGAGACATCGCAAACGGGGGTGGCTAGATAAAATGTGTTTTAGGGTGTCCGCGCTCGCCGGAAAGCCACGTAACGTAAGTGCCTCTAGGTGTTGGTAGGATGTCGTTTGGAATAACAAATCGAGAAAGCCTTGGTAAGGACGTTGCCCCGGATTGCGCGTCGTAGTTTGTGTAGTGTTATAGAGATGGAGATCCAAGTTTTCAATCATTGGTAAAGACTGAAACATCTTGACGACGCCTTGAAGGTCTGCATTGTCATTAACCATGGTATTGTGAGGTTCGAGCTTTTTGCCTGCAGATATATCGAACGGCTCGTAGAAATCGGTGTCATCTTGTACTCCCATCGACCGTACTGGGGTGACGACAGTAGCCAGGCTCATGGCTATACTTTTCAGGCCGTGGCTCACTCTGTCAAACCCTTGCTCTTGGAGCTTTCTCAGGAGGTCACCAGCAACTTCGTTAGTTGGAATGCTGCACTGTGCCGATTCCTGGTAGATAGCCAAGCCTTGGAGACGGACTTGAGAGCGAGATATGGCAGACATGACGACGCGAAAAGCCTGTATAGCTTTTGCCCAGAGTTGCCGCCATGGTAGACTCGGGACTCGCTCAGGGGAACATCTGTGACCCGGTAGCTGGTCACACACCACCATCGCCTCAAGGGTCACTTTGGATAGGCTTCCAAAGCATCGTAGTACTGCGGTCAACTGTTCACACATGTTGGCTCCAGTGAAGGCATCCTGATCTGCCCGTTTTTTAGTCATCCACTCGTCTATCTCCTTTGCGGCGGGCGGGAACGGTCTGGCCCATGGCGTCGAATATTTATAACCCCTGTAGGATGACGTCGTTTCTATTCCAGCGCGATAATAATCAATGTCAGACCGCCGGTGATAGTAGAGACAGTTCAACTTTAAAGTTCGAACTCCACGACCTAGATCTAGGTTAGAAACAAGTCCAATGAGACGCTGAAAGCCTCCCGAATCAAGATCGATATTCTGGGTCTCGAAATAACGCAAAATCCCTGGCGTGAACTTTGCAGTTACGGACCTCGATACAAGGCGGAGAAAGCGCAGTGACTCAAGGTCCAAGTACCCTGAAATGACGAGTATGATTTCGGGTAAAAACCGTTCCAGAATACATGACACCGCCATACTGAGTGAAGATGGTGAGAACAAGGGCGGTCGATGGTGATACAAAAACAGTAATGAGTACCTGAGGTTCTGATATGATACGATGCGTGAAGTCGGCCAACAACCGAACCCAGCATGACATCTGTTGTAATTTGTAGTCGCAGGACTGTTGGTGCCGGGTCGGTGGCGCGTGCCAATGCGCCAATCAGGTTTGGCTTACAGAATCGCATCCCTTCGTCTGTCACTGCCTGCCTGTGCCACCCACGGCAACGAATCTTGCCGGGAGACCAAGCCGCCAAAAATAGCCATGTAGAACGATCTGCTGAGACTACAGCCTACATTCTTGAAGCCAACAAGAGTATCTTATGTCATGAGAGGCTGTGGAGACGATATTGTGAGGTAAGTGCTCCTTGTACATACCTCACCCACTACTGAGAGGAAAGTACGAGGTAATGAACATCCTGACAATTTCACCTCGGTAAGCCATGTTATGATGCAACATGTTATTGAAAACAACCAAATATAGAACCGAACATGTCTCCAACAATATCAAGACTGTTGAAGTCCAGCATCGAATTATATAAAGCGCCATGAGAGTTTACTTGTCTTTCTGGCTTTCGGTGATAAAAATTCATGCAATTCTCTTCCCCCACTCCCTTCCCAATTTCTCTTCAGATCGACTCTGTTTTATTAAGTTACTCCAGTTACACACGCCGAGATGAAGTTTCATAAGCCCAGCATCCTCGCTATATCTGGGGCTTATAATGTTCTTGCCCAGCGCAGTACGCCACTCCTAGAAGTACAGATTTCGATTGAGAAACTAGTTACTGACATCCCATTATGTACGGTAGTCGCCCCAACCCCCGAAGGAAACATTCCCAGAACAATCACCCAAGTTCGACATACAATCACAGTTCTAGAGCGAAGAGGTTGCCCAAATACAGATCCCAATGCTTTTGGTGGGGTGGCTGGCTGCATCACTCTCGTCAATCCCCCAGACCCAACCAACATTGGAGCAACAACCAAGGACGTAATAGCAACTCGCAACGTTCTACCTCCTGGTGCCGCTTTTAGTCTGGTAACTATTTCTAAAACAGGGGACGATAGTGACCCAAAAACCCCAGCAACTACAGAGGTCACTTGGCTATCTTCAGATATACCAATAACAACAACAGGGACTAATGGACAGGCTACAACCACCACAACCCCGGCTTGGGTTTGTCTAGGCAGTCTGTGCAACCCTGAGTGTACAATCCCGGTGCAAAAGTGTGATAGACAGGACGGAGTCGGCATCGGAGGGTTCCCTTGGCCAACAGTAAGTTCCATGTCTTGGTTTTCATGATATCTGTCCAATTTGATGGTAACCGGGTACCGGTACTTTACCACTTGGAACCAGCTAACTGGTTGTTAGACACCTGATCCATCCGCTTTAATCCCGCCTCCAAGTACAGCTGGTCTCCCATCAGCAACATCAAGTGCTGGTGGGATTGTTGGAGGTGGTACCACCGGGGGCGGCGACAGCGGCAGTGGGGGAGGAAGCGATGGCAACGGGAGTGGAAATACTCCTGGGGGAGGGATTGGAGGAGGAGGTGGCGATTCTGGAGATGGGAATGGTAATACTCCTGGAGGTAGTGGAGGAGATGGTGGCGGTGATTCCGGGGACGGAAATGGTAATAACCCAGGAGGCGGCGGCGGCGGAGGAGGAGGAGGAGGAGACAGCGGCAACGAGAATGACCCAACCAAGACGGATGACACGCCAAGCTCGACCTTGTCTTCAGCTGAATCTTCAACTTCGACCTCAGACGGCTGTACTCAGACGGTATCATGTACACAGAAATGTGTCATCTCAACATCTGCAGCAGCAACGCCTACAACCTCTTGCGAGACAGACCGGCAGAAGATTGAATGCACCACTCTGGATGTGACAGAATGTAGGCCAATAACGACATCTACGGCGACTACAACCACGCAGAGCACTGTTGCCGGTGGTATGTGTGATGCAGGCTCATGCGGCTGTTGGACACCGCCTTCTAACATCTTGCAACCAACGAACAGTCCTGGTGAGCGACTACCCAGTATCACTGACTTTCCTTCTACCGATGACATCCAGGCTCGCAAATCGAGAAGGGCCCCTGCACCACCTGATTCGAATTCTATTCTGCGGAACGAATTTGAAGACCCAGGACCACCTGGGTCCATTAATCGTCAAATTTGGTACGGAAACGCCTTACAGCTGATTCGTGACTACGGTGCCGGCAATTTGATAGACACTCGGGTTGGGGCGTTGATGTCATCGAAGATGTGGTCCGTCAAGGACCTGGCCCATCCTTTCATCACTGGTGGTGGTCCGTCCTGGGGCTGTACTACTGTGCTTGTTTTCTCAGACCGTGGCATCTGGCTCGGCCATTTCTGGGAGGGAAACCACATAAATATACAGGATGACGCTGCATTTGACTCCGTAGCGCTGGATTTTATACGAAATGGTCGTCGAGGGCAGCCATCCCTATCAGAGGCAAGGTCACAGTATTTTGGCAACGATCCAGACAACGGTGCTGCTGCTCGCTTCGTTCACGCATTGATTTTTACACCTAATGCTGTGAATCCACGATCTGATGAGGTGCCAACCTGGGACCGCACCAGTGCAAATCCCAACGATCCATGGTGGTTCAGCAGAATCAATCGTATCAAGGATACAATCAAGCAGATAGTGCCCGAAGTCGGCGAAAATGTCGAACCGGCTACTTATGCGTGGTACGGAAACACGGTCGTCGTCGATGACGCAAATAGTGCTGAGTTGGGAATTGCAGTGTGGGAGTACGTACCGGGGCATGTGCATCAGAATGACGCCGCGAATCAATGCGCCAATACGCGGGCTATAAGGGTTCATGTTCAAGGCCGACTTTACGGACCTTGGACCTGGCCATGGCCAGTTGCCGCGAACACCCAATCAAACAAGCGCGGTGAGGTAGGCATTTGCCCTTCCAATATCGGCCAGTTGCTTCAGAAGCAAGATCCCAACTCTAAATCCTCGGATTCTGAGTTCTACGATCCGGATCGGTTCCTCGAAGGAAGTAACGATGAGCAGCCGTCTCCTAGTTCGACCGTTGTGTCCACCAAAACAGCACCCGACAACTCGCCTACGTCTGTACCTTCAGAGCAGCCCTCTTCCACAACGCAAAGCCCTCCTAAGTGTAGTCATGTGGCGTTTGGCAGCGGTGGTGTGGTTGTTGGCTCAGGTTGCAGTGGCTATCCCCCTGATGCGACTGTAACTTACAGTGTCGCCCGACGCGCTAGAAGAGCTCTGCCCGCTACATTCGTAGCTTAGTGGGCGTGCATCGTTGTATAACATAGGAAGTCCAGCCTGAGCTTTGGCCGTATCGCCTTGGGTGAGGCTGGGCCGGAATTGAGCTAGGTCACGTTTTCGGTGAAGTGGTGTGGGATCGAGTCTAGGCGGAAATAAGTTTAAAAGGGGATGTTTTACAAACCAACCCGTTTAAGACAAGGCAGAAAACGGTATACACCTCCGCGTAATTTGGCAGTCCTCGTAATTGCGACCCGACGCTGCGGGCAGTATTGGTTGAGTCTTGCAGGTTCCGTTCGGGTATGAGAGTCTCACGTGAAGTAAGCGTGCCGCGAACGTCATCCGGGGGGTTTCATTCTCTCTTGTTCCTCCAAATTAGCTTCAGTCTCAAAGACAAGAGTAGATGATCAACCCGGCAACTTCCCGATCCATACTGCGCATTGGGAAACGAAAAGTGGTACCCTACAAACAGAAGTTGTGGACAACTGCCCCGCCCAATAAATGTCAGATATACTACGAGCTTGGCAATGCGGCACAGTTTGTCGGACACCGCCACTTTTCGGCCTCGCAGTCATCTTCCATCTCGCTTAATGGTATATGGTTGCTGCGTACCAGATTCACTATGCACCGCATCTCTCTATTTTCATATCTCCTACTTGGGAGTATTCTTACCGCCGCATCTTCCTCTTCGAAATGCAAATGCTTCCCCGGTGATGCTTGTTGGCCTTCACCGACAGAATGGGCGGCGTTCAATAGCACCGTGGGAGGACGACTGATCGAAACCATCCCTCTGGGCTCGCCATGCCATGACCCAAACTATGATGCAGAATTATGCGCCAGTTTGCAGGACCAATGGCTTGATTCTGGAATCCAGTAAGCATGAGACTTTCCTTAGGTGACTGTTATGCAACGTTAGGTCGACCTGCAGTGCGCGGGGCAGATGCGAACATTGAAGACTCTATATGATTTAAGCAGCGAGAAGCTGACTTCTCATCAGCATGACTTCCTCTTCTTCCGTTATGGCACCGTTCTTTGCAAACCAGAGTTGCGATCCGTTCCAACCGGCAGAACGCCCTTGCAGCCTCGGCAATTATGTGAGGTATACTGTGAATGCTACAGGGTCTGATGACGTTATAGCAGCCGTAAACTTTGCACAGGAAAGAAACTTGCGGTTCGTCATACGAGGTACCGGCCACGATTATCTCGGCAGATCAACAGGTGCAGGGGCTCTATCGATCTGGACGTATCACTTGAAAAGCACAGAACCACAGGACTGGAAGGATTCTTCTTACGAGGGAAAGGCCCTCAAGTTTGGGGCGGGAATCCAAGGCTTTGAGGCATTGAAAGCGGCTGCGGACCTTGGTCTAGTCGTAGTTGGTGGTGAATGCCCAACAGTCGGCCTCGCAGGAGGATACACCCAAGGCGGTGGACACTCGGCGCTCAGTACCAATTTCGGACTGGCCGCGGATAATACGCTCTCCTTCGAGGTCGTCACGGCTTCCGGAGAACTTGTCACTGCCTCTCGCAGTCAGAACACTGATCTGTACTGGGCTCTCAGTGGAGGCGGCCCAGGCAACTATGGCGTTGTCGTTTCAATGACTGTCAAAGCCCATCCCGACACTGTTGTCAGCGGTGTCAAGTTCTCTGTGGCTGTTGATGAGACTCAGACGCCGGATAAGGTATTTGAGGCTGTCGATGTCTGGCATGCAAGCATTGCGGAGATTGTTGACTCGGGGGTTATGGTCATATATTTCTTCGGCACAGGTTTCTTACAGTTCCCGGCCCTCACCGCATATGGCAAGACCCAGAGTGAGCTTAAAGAGATCCTGTCGTCCTTCCTCACGAAACTCGAGTCCTTGGGTCTGACCTACAGCGTCACATACACCGAGTTTCCCTCCTACTTTGACCATTATGATCATTACTGGGGTCCTCTGCCTCTTGGCAACATTCAAGTCGGCACGTCTCAGTACGGAGGCCGCTTGATTAAGCGGTCACAGTTTTCAGGCTTCGGAGAGACAGCGAGGGCGCTCGCTGCAGAAGGTGTTACCTTCATAGGTGTTGGAACGGATGTATCCAGGTTCGGGGCAGATAACAGCGTTCTACCGGCGTGGAGGGAGAGTATTGTTCAGGCGACACTGTCAGTGCCGTGGAACTTTACAGCCCCCTGGTCTGAGGGACTTGAGGTTCAAAAGAAGATCACCGAGGTTGCGCAGCCCATCATCGAGGCTGCAACGCCCGGAAGTGGCGCGTACATGAATGAAGCGGACTGGAGGCAACCGAACTTTCAAGAAGCGTTCTTTGGTAGCAACTACGAAAAGCTGCTGCAAGTTAAGAGGAAGTGGGACCCCAAGAGTTTGTTCTATGCAGTCGCTGCGGTCGGCAGCGAGGGTTATGTGGTTCAAGAAGATGGCAGGCTTTGCGAAACACGGTAAGGGGGATCCCTAAAACCTATCACACAATCGTCTGACGGATTTCTTTCTTTACAGGGATGAAGATACACCGGCACATGTTGAACTCTGATTGGCAAAACGGCACGAAGTACGACCGAAAAGATACTGACGGGGTCAGGAACGGCACGAACCGTGCGCGATCTGTGCTAGGGGATTTGTGTTCTATTTCCCATATATATACTTTCTGCTGCGTGTGGGTTTAAAAAGTGCAACGCTCTTTCTAACCCTATACTTGGCCCTTGCGTTCTGGTGATATACTACCCCTTTATATGTCCCAGGGAAAGGGAAATTCCTATTTTTAGTCGTGTCCTAATTAAACAAAGTACATTGCCTTAGTCGCCAGTGACGGAAAAACTGCTTTGGGTGTTGCAGCCGTTCTCGCTCGAGATAAAGCCATGCCATGTGTTCAATTCAAGAAGGATAACACTCTTATGATGGAACAGCTAAGTATCATCAAACCAAAGCAGCTACTTGGGACATGCTCGAAGGAGTTGAAATAATCTCTAAACCCCGAGGCTAGAGTGTCCAGGCGGTGTGCCCAATCCAACTATGTTGATAAGTCTTATATTCAGAAAGCGCCAAAATATTGGCGTCTAATATTCTCCATCTTGAGCTCATAAGGCATAGCTGGCAAGAAATGGTCTACCTCATCTGCCCAGAAAGCATTTTGCGGGTTTGCATACTTGGCGCAAGTATACTCCCAATACGGGGGAAACCATCCTGCCGTCTCCCAGTCAATGATGCCAACGAGTTCATCACCTCGAGCGAGGATATTTAAACTACTAAGGTCACCATGCGAAAAAACCAAAACATTGCTCGATTGTCGATAAAATCGAAAAAGCTCCGGCATCCCTTCAGGCAGGTTCTCGTATTCCAGATCCATGTTTGCGCCGTTTGCGAGTGCTTCATGAAAATCGCGAACCGATGTATATGGACCCCAATGAAGTTTGGAGGGTAGGCGACAGTCGCAGAAGGGGCCTCCGTTGACATTACCAACTCCGGTGCCGTCGGGAGGAGGGATGCCGCGGAGTTCGGCGACCATGGCTTGAAGTTGCTCCAAGATCCGGCGCTTCGATTTCTCAGGCCGGTTATTCCACCCACGCCCTATCATTTGCCCATCTATCTTGCTCATGACGATGTAGGTTTTGCCTTTGTGAGTAAAAGCGCAAATGACTTTTGGCACAGGGATTGAGGTTTGCTGTGCTATAAATTGCATGGTGTGGGCCTCAGCCATGTTGTCATACGGTTTGACCTTGATGCACAAGTTCGATGCCGACATAATACCGGGGGAAGGCTTCCACAATCGTCGAACATATTTCTGATCTCGCACCTTGACAAAAAAGACAACCAATGCTTGAACCAAAGGCCCGGCGCGTATAGACTCGGACCCTGATGGCATGGTATGCGGCTTGGTGATCATCGAGGCTAAGAGATCATTGAGGACAGGGTCACACAGTCTATATGCACCGATCCGCTAGACCGAACGCAGCCATGGAACGCGTGAACTTCATCGGTGTAACCAAACAATTGCATAAAGTAGGTTGGAGTGCGTCAGATTACGCAGTAACGCGCCCCGGAATTCGAAGCAATTCAAACAGGGTGGTTGGTCTGAGTGATGATGAGTGGATCTTCTCACGTGCACTGCGGGGTTTGCTCCTACTCAAAAGTACCACGATGCCGAATACCTACAAGGGGAGAACACAGACACACACCAGAAATAAAACACTATAGACATATGTGACCCAATCAACTACGTCGCTGCTAGTTCGCTGTAGATGACTCGGGACCTGACTGTTGGACAAGTTTGGGTGGAGAAGTACCGGTAATGGCTATACGTTTCTCAGGCTCAACGCGCTGTTACAGTCAGGGGGCTGCGCAGCCCCCAACCTGATATCTGAATCTCGCAATCCGACTGCTGGTTGGCGCCACGCGCGACTACGGCGAGGTCAAGATAGTCGCAACGTTCACGAGGCGACTTTGGGGTGCATGGGTCGTCCTCTAGAGTTTCGGCGTAAGGAATGCTGCTGGATTGAGACTCGGCGTCGCGGCGGCGCGAAAGTGCTTTGAAGAAGGATGACCAGGGGGGAAAATAATAATAAAAAGAGGAAAAAGAGAAAAAAGTGACGTGCTCATCCATACTTGGGCATTAAGATTTCGTCCTTGATTGGAAAACCTACATCTAGCACCGCATCTTAGGCCAGTCGCAATTCGCACCAATTGATCAGGACATCCTGCGCCACAGTACTACAGTGCTCATGATATTAGCCAAGGGGCAAGCTGAACACTGATCTCTACGGTCTAGAATCAGATTTCTCACAAGGCCGTGCTAATATGGCTTTTGATATACGATAAAGGGGGCCAGGTTGCATCAAAAAGGACTTCTGATTTGAAACATCAGAGAGGTCTAGGAGCAGAAGATGGCCGTCCCTGTATCGGATAATCCACCAAATCAAGCCATGTCGATTTATCACCTCAAGTCTTACCGTATGTACCGCCAGTTGTCGCATATTGAACTGATTACATACGAAGTGTTGATATCAGCTTACGGTACAATGTAAAGCTTGCATTACTAATCTCGAAAAACACGGAGTTCCGCGCGGCTTACAATTCAATAGTCCGAGAAGTCAAGACGCTATATAAGTACGGTATCGAGGGAAATTTCGGGCATTTTGGAGGCAGCAGCCTGCAAGATCTAGGTGGCAGAAATCACGTTATTCAGAAAAGAAATCATAAACGCTTGCTTTTTGATATTTCAGGACACTGGTTATTCTACCAGTCACACTTTCACAATGACACAGCCAGACTCTCGGCTCTTCCAGCCACTCAAAGTTGGGCGCTGCATTTTGGACAACCGTATAGCAATGGCTCCCTTGACTCGAGCCCGAGCTCAAGACAATCATGTCCATCAAACCTCGCTGGCGAAGGAATATTATGCCCAGCGCGCTTCAGTCCCCGGCACTCTGCTCATTACAGAAGGCACGCTGATTAGCCCACAGGCAAGTGGCTATGAGAACGTACCAGGGATCTGGAATGCCGAGCAAATCGCTTCCTGGAAAGAGATAGTGGATGCGGTCCACGAGAAGGGCTGCTTTATTTGGCTCCAGCTCTGGGCCCTTGGGCGTGTCGCCAGTGCGGAATGTAAGGCATCGGAAGGCACTGGGGGCGTCTTTGGTCCAAGCGCACTGCCTCTTGACAGCCCTTTTCTTGGCTTGACTTGGTATAAGGACAAAGATGAAAAGCCCGCTGTACCGCGCAGTCTCGAAGAAGGAGAAATCCAGCAATTGATCGATCAATACACTACTGCTGCGTTGAATGCGGTTGACGGTGCCGGCTTCGACGGCGTTGAGATACATGGAGCCAACGGTTTTCTTGTCGATCAGTTTATTCAGGAGAACAGCAACTGTCGTACAGACCGGTGGGGCGGATCAATCGAGAACCGCTCCAGGTTCGCAGTCGAAGTTTGCAGATCGGTTGCGAATGAAATCGGAGCAGACAGGGTCGGGATTCGCTTGTCCCCCTGGAGCGAGTTCAACGTGACAAGAATGGCTGACCCAATACCTCAATTCTCGCATTTGATCGAGACTCTGAAGGATCTCAATTTGGCATATCTCCACCTCATTGAGCCGCGAGTACATGCCAATACCGACAAGGAGCACGTAAACGAGGAGGAGTCGAACGAGCCTTTCATTGATATCTGGGGCAAGAAGTCTCCGGTTTTCCTCGCAGGCGGCTTTAATTCCGAAAACACTGGCGAATATGTGGATGTAAAGTACCGCGATAGAGACTTGGTGTGCGTCTTCGGTCGCTACTTCATCTCGACGCCAGATCTAGTCTATCGGCTACAGAACCAAATTCCGCTAGAGCCATATAATCGGGCGACACTCTACAAAGTCAAATCGCCAGACGGATACACTGATTATCCGTTCTCAAGTCAGTGGCAGCGTAGGGTTAGACATTGAACACCAGACGCAGGATGTGGTGTGCTGTAGTGGTAGTCGCTGCTTCGAAATGTAGATAGAAGGTGTTGGTCTCGAGAATAAGGCTGGGTAGTTGTGAAGTATCATCTTTTGACTCATTACTTGGTTTTGTGCATGGTCTTTTCATACTGCGTTTCAGTAGAGATTGGTGGCCAAATGAACGCTACAAGAGCTCAGATAACGTCTAATCTCGAGACTTACATGTATAAATTCAAATCACCAGCCATCTCGGAATCTTGATCAGGACTTCATGAAATTGCTTTGGACATTTGTTCTTGCATGGTGCCATACTTGCCCCACCAGACACTCGATTCCTATCCAGGGGCTGTCGAAAACCATGGGTGAGACGCGGCCCCACTTTTCACTCTTCACGGATATCCGTGAAATTTGTACGAGATTGTGGTCAACCGAGGATTTCCAATGCGATACATGGCCAGTATTATTAATCCGGAAGGTAAATGAATGAGGCTTTTCACAGGATCGAATTTATGCGGCCTATGTGTTGTCCCTTAAATTTCACACATTGCCGTTCATCCCATACTCTATGGACCTTTGTGTTGCAGTGTACAAGCGTAAGTGGGGTGGGCGGTTGAAGACCCTTGGCTGCCAATTGGTTCACAACCCCTGGCTGACTTTGAACGGCCTCCGTGTATACATCTGTAATGGGTCTGGCATTCCAAGTTCGATTACTAAAAGACAAAATTCTACTCTGAACCTTGAGTATAAATGTCAGCCCAAGATATCTCGAAACCAATTTGCTCTTGCCTCATCATCAACAAACCAGCAGTCCTTTCTTCACTGATTCACTAAACCAACAAAAACAACAACGACAACCCTCTATTCTCCTTTGATAAACAACAAACCTCAAGCACCTCACAGCTTATATCTTCAACATGACTGCTGACACCTTGTCTCTCGTCGGTAAAGTCGCGATTGTGACTGGGTCTGGCCGTGAGAATGGCATTGGCGCTGCCATTGCTAGAGCACTTGCCCGTAACGGCGCATCTGTCGCTATTCATTATGTTTCAGAAAACTCCAAGGATAGGGCTGAAAAAGTAACAGCCGATATCAGCAGAGAGTTCGGATCCAAAACTGTTGTCGTTCAAGGAGCTATCGAAGAGCAGGCGATGGCCGAGAAGATAGTCCGGCAGACACTCAAAGCTTTCAATGCTTCTGGCATTGATATTCTTGGTAAGCAGAGAAGTGGTCCTGTGATTTGTTTTCAAGGCTGAGCTAACTGGTTCGAAAGTCAACAATGCCGGTATTGGGCTAATCAACCCGCTGATGGAATCGACGCCCCAGCAGCTCAATCATGACTTTGGTGTGAACGTTTTCGGGTCCATTTACCTCACTCAAGCAGTGGTAGGAGTTGGGGCTATGCCAAGGGGAGGTCGCATCATCAATATTGGCACGATATCTTCCAAGCAAGGCCCGCAAGGTACCCCGGTCTACGCTGCAGCCAAAGCAGCGCAGGACAGTTTGACGGCGTCTTGGGCAGGTGAGGTGAGTTTTAAACTGAGACATTCACTTTTGTGTAGCCAGGCAATGTGACTGATGCCAATGGATAGCTCGGTCCTTCTCGTGGAATCACTGTCAATACAATCGCACCTGGTCCGGTGCCGACGGACTTGTCCCGGGTCTTTCTGGAGACACCTGAAGGCAACCCATCACCCATGCTGGATACCTTCTACTCCATGGCTCGTGCAGAAGCACGTCTTGGGACTCCCGAAGATATCGCTGACGCGGTGCTCTTGCTCACTTCGGAGAAGAGTCGCTGGATCACAGCACAATGGATTTCTGTAAGCGGAGGCATTACGGGAACGATGTAACATGGATTAATTCCTCCTATTCATCATGCTAAATAGACATAGACTTGGTTTCAGGGTCTTTTAACTAGAATGACCATGTTCGCTATCAGCATACAATCCTGTTAGGTTATTCGGAATTAGCCCAATATACTTTGCTTCCCGGGATGTTGTTATTGAATGCAGGAAATGCAAAGGTTTATTGCCTGTACCGTGATGAAAATCAAGAAATATTTGACAAGGCCAACTCCGGCCAGTAACCCGTCATATCAAACACCTTCTTCACTCGCCCCACATCACCTTCAAGGGCACCTAGAGCCTCAGCAGGGAACAACCAGAATCCGACAGCTGGTCTCACAGCTTGTGCAAGCTCGTCTGGCCCCTCGACTGGAACTTTTCCGGCCAGTTTCAGGGTCATATGATGGAACTTCTGTTGCGACCTAAGCCAGTTTTCCTCTTCTGCTCTCAGGAAACTTTCTGCTGGTTTGATGTCATAAACCTGCTGACTATAAGACGGAACTCTGTAGGCGAAGAGAACCCGTTCTCTGGGGGGTTGAGCTTGACGAATATCCCACTTGGTCAGCAGCTCCTGCCAGTCCACTCGCATCTGCCGTGGGTCTATGGTCCCCGTTAGAACATATTTCAAGTCGGATTCCACCGACCTTGGGTCATGTCTCAAAAGATCAAAAGACGGCGTAATCGCTTTTATGGGCATTGAATGGTTGAATTGAACTCCAACGCCATGGAAATCTTCCAGTGGTCCCATAATCGCACGCCCACAGTATGACTGGGCCACCCAGATAATTTCTTGTAGCTGCGACAGAGTTTTGACAAATGCCGCCTTAGCAGAAGGTTGCGAAATATTGACTAGCATATGTAGTCCGGCATTCATACCATTGACCGCTAGAGCTAGATTGAGTAGGCCAACGTTTTGTGGATCATAGGCTTTCAGATCATGAATGAAGTCGACAAACGTGAATTCCGCAGGCCCACGTGTCCTCAGCTGCATAAAGTCATATTCGGGATTGAAATAGAGAGGTTCCTTCGCGCGCTTGGCCGGTTTTCCCTGCAGCCCACGAGGTATCTCCCTGAACGCTTGGAGGTAACATGGAATGTGAACGCGGTAGAAGCTGAGCGCTGCTTTTCGAGACTCGCGATTCACACGCAGCAGCTTGCTGTTGAGATGGACGGCTTGCACGGTAGCGGTGTAGCTGCCGCCACTGATCAATTTGTTCAGCGCGTTCGTAGTCGAGTATGGAGGCGCTTTGCCAGGGTCGGTTGGAGGGTCGAGCCAAACTTCTAGCAAGCGATGCTTCTCTAACGAGCATATCCAGATGTGCAGTCGGAGCTCCGCTGGAAGCAGTGTAAATCGACTAAACATAGAATGTTCGAAACTATGACGAGATGGATTAATAATCTGCATATGATGCGGAGGAACCATCGTTCATGGTCTTCTCTGCCAGTCGAAAACAGAACTATTACTTTCCGGAAGCGCGTTCCAGAATACTTGATTAGTGTTGAGTATTACGCTTCTCCGTCGTCAAGTTCATGCGTGCGACGCATGGCTGCTTGCCTGTGGTGATGAAGACGGTCGACAGTCAGGATTTTAGCAAGTCTGTCGGCAGCTTGATGTAGCGTGGACAGCGCAATGTAAGAAACTGCTGTGAGGCTGCTGGGCGAGCGGCACAGCACTGCTTACCATGTACCCCGCATGTAAAAGAAGCCATGCCTTGATCTAAGTTAGCAGATACAAAACCCCATCGGACAACTTTTGAGTGTCAAATCACCAACAATAGACATTGGATGTTGAAGTCTTACGGCGGCGGCAGTAATTCTTCTAGATAATACTATAGAACATCGTCTTTGCTCTATAAGTGGGATATATATACGACAACGAAAGATACAAAGGCACAAGATGTATGCCGCGCACAACAAATCAATATCTAAGAGACTATGGGCATGTGATTTGGTAAGAGTCCCAGAAACCTAGTCGGCGAACATATTTGTTCACAGTCAACACTTTCAACTCAAATTGTCTGAACATCTTGACTATCCTGCCCGCGCCCAGACTATCGGGATTCGATAGCTCATTAATACTGCATGACACAATACTGGACACGACAATAGAATCAGCTCCGGAAAGCCAAATGATAAACTAAGCACATACATTCAATAGCAATATTTCTGAAGCTCACTTACCGAAACGTCCCCAAAGCAACTCGCATAGAGTAATCGATTGCCTAGTGCTGGCAATTACGATCCTGGTCGATCATCCTCGGATGAAGAAAAGACCCTTTCATCAAAGGCGTATTATTTGGAGGTTATGCACCGCACATTGGGGCAGTTTGGTGTCGTACTGGTTGTCAAGGCATTCATTATGATTTCTGGGGGTAAGCAAGTGCGCCGCTGTGGTCTTGATAAGCACTATGGGCCCGCCGGTTAACTAAAGTCTCCTCAAACCGCGGCCAACCCTAGATTGGACAAAAGGCCCGACCTTTTAGTTACGAGAGACCGCCGCACCTTACGGCCGCCGAGTGGTTGGGGGAAGGAGGGAGCGCGTATTGCAGATTCGACAGGGATGCCCGCAATCTGCACCTCTGTGCCTCCTACCACATACTTTTCTGTTTCTGTTCTACAAAGTACAATGCTGAGTGGTGACGATTACGAGCCAAGGATTTAACGACTGAAACCGTTTCTTCACGTCTGACCTACAGAGAACGGGCTCGCTCTTCCCATTGCTATCTTTACCTCCCCTTATCACTCCCACTTCCAGACCATGGACATCGCGACATCTTGCAGGTCGCCGACGGTTCCTTGGACCTCACAATTCCGTCGAGTTATCGCGGCGTCGACTCCACACTCTTCGCAAAGGGGTTGCTGTCGTCCCAAAGTGCTATCGTTGTTCTAAGTTATCTGCTTCAATTGGCACTGCTCTTGACTGAACGCACCGTCAGCACAGCTCTGCATGTCGACCAGGTTACATAGCGCGCTAGGCGACCAACCCAGGATTACGGCGCCGCTGATCCCCACGACCCACTATATCTCTTATCATTGCCTTCTAATTGCTGGGTTATAGCTGACAAGATGCACCCCTACGGCGAGGCTGCCTGGTAAACAAGGAAACAGTGGTTCACCGAAGGCCATAAATCAACAAGGGTGTTTTGGTTTATAAATGAAGGACTCTAGAATCGATGGCTTTGCTTCATCACCCGTAATCTAAGTACACAACTACACAATATGAAGCTGGCGAATTTGTCATCTCTAGCCCTGGCTGTTGGCGCCGTTTCCGGCCACGGAACCAAAGGCTCTGGATTCAATAGTAATCTCACCGTACGAACCTCCACAGGCACCTACACGGGCATTATTGATCCCGACTATCCAAACACTCTTCAATTCCGGTCTATCCCATTCGCGGAGCCGCCCGTTCTATCACGCCGTTGGCTACCGCCGCAGAAGCTCTCATCACCACCTACCGAGCATCACTATACGACGCGATTTCCGCCGTCATGTCCCCAGTTCGTGTCGGCAATTCCAATGTTTTATAATATCAATTTGACTAAAGGCAACACTATTTATAATGGTTATCAAAACGACTCATCCGGATTAGTAGGGGAGGCCACGTCCGAAGACTGCTTATACCTAGCGGTATGGACACCAACCGCCGCGGTGCCGCGTACGAACGTCAGCCTACCCGTGCTCTTCTTTATAACAGGGGGCGGTTTTATCATTGGTGGCGTTGATATCCCCTGGCAAATGCCCACCTCGTGGGTTGAGCGCTCACAGTCGCATATCGTCGTGACTATTAATTACCGTTTGAATATCTTCGGCTTCCCCAATGCACGCGGACTCGAACAACAGAATCTCGGGATCCTAGATCAACGCGCGGCACTCGAATGGGTTCGTGATAATATTGCGGCTTTTGGCGGCGATCCAAAGCGTATAACGCAAATGGGGCGGTCAGCCGGGGCTGTCAGTACGGATATCCATGCCTACGCCTTTCACGAGGATCCTATTGCCCAAGCCCATTATTTGCAATCGGGAACGGTTTTTGGCGCTGCAGTACCTCCTAAGGACCCGGAATTTTCTAATTTCACCTTCGTGGCACGTCATGTTGGGTGCGAAGCCCCCTCTGGTAGTGACGAGGATGAGGACGGCGCAGCAGAGCTCGATTGCATGCGCCGAGTACCATTCACGATGATCGAGAATTTTATTGGGCAATACGGCGATCGTCGCGAGACTCCTCTACTGTCCTTTAAAATGGTTCCTGACGATTCTATTGTATTTACTAATTATACAGCGCGGGCCGAGGCAGGCCTGATTGCACGTGTGCCGGTCATCATTTCGAATACAGCAAACGAGGCATCGGCGGGGACATGGCCGCCACAAAACCTAACCGAAGGCCCGTACCAGCCAACAATTACCGCTCTAGATCTTGCGGTGATGGTATGCCCAACATTCAACTCGACAGTATATCGGAACCGGCTGGGAATACCTGTCTTTCGCTGGCAGCACGCGGGAACGTTTCCTAATTTGAATGTTTATAAATGGCTAGGCGCGTATCATGCTAGTGATATACCTATAACGTTTGGGACGTATAGGCTTCTGGACGACATAGCAAATACCACCCGGTTCGAAATTGACGTTAGCGAGTCTATGCAGGACCACCTGCTCGCTTTCGTCAAAGACCCGCTGCATGGCCCGCAGGAGATAGGCTGGAATCCAATGGTTGTTAGTGATCCACATGGTGGGGACCTTATTCGCTTCGGCTCCAACGGGATTGTAAGTCAGCGTGTGGATGGTGTTGAGGTAGATGGAGCATGTCAGGGAATAGGAGAATATGACCCATTCCCGTAGATAGGACTGCATCCGAGGTTGAAACCATTGCCTCGAACTAATCTCATAATCACGTATCAAGCTTGCTTGAAACCAAAGGAAATTCATGATGATGGGGTGCTGACAGGCCCGCGAATGACGTATCTACCGCTTCGGTTGAATAGTTCCTAGGATTGTTATCAATTATGTCTAGAATTTGAAGCATGACCCAAACCATGGAAGGATTCCGGTGTGTTGGCCCTAGGGGTGTGTGGTGCGTACCAGCAGTCTAGACATGAATACGGACGTGGACCCAGCTAAAACACATAGCTTCGTGCTGGCAAATGTCAAGGTTGACAAGAATGGGGTAAAATCATAAGGTACCGAAGTCTCCCGCCCATTTGTGAGGGTGAGGAGAGAGGGGTTGTAGGCTTAAACCGTGTAGTAGCGCATGGTGGTGTATTAATACGAAGGCGGGATCTAGAACGGCACGCAATGTGTGTCGAGAATGCACCTTAACAGCTGGGAATTTATGGACATATGGTTTGGTCAAAGTCCCAGAAGCCTAGTCGTTGAATGTAGCTTTCCATAGCCCCACAATTTTCGACTCAAATTGTCTGGAGATCTTTATTGAAAGGAAGTTCGTAGGAAAGCACATCAAGAGTGATACCTGAGAAATCACGTGGTTGCACCGAGCGCTTACTTCTACTATGGTGCAAGCCGCCCCGGAGTTTTTAGTAAGCCGATCTGAGCAGACGGGACCCCGCTGATACGGAGTTCCGTGAAGGCTTCACCCGAACGCATGGCGCTGTTTCCCGGCGCTGTTTCCCTTCTCCAGCCGGAAATCGTCGAAGCAGAGGGACCCATCGGTCGAGCCACGGAATTCCTGAGACTACTGAATACATTCACACCATGCCACGTGGCGCAGGCACCCGAAGCCCTCAAGGTTCCGAGCCAAATTACCAGTGCTTGTTCTGCAACAAATCGTTTGGCAAAGGTAAACGCGCTACAACCAGGAACATAAGTATGCAGCCACCAACGGAGCTAATCAAAACTTAGAATCAACACGGAAGCGGCACTATTACTACTGCCGCTCTAAGCTCTCTAAGCCCGTTGTTCCCCGTAGAAAGTCCTGTCTTGCGTGCATCCGTGCGAAAACTCGTTGCAGCTTGGCCGAAAATGCTGGCCAGAAGGCCTGCTTGAGATGCACCGAGCGCGGCATTGGTTGTGAAGGCAACAGTGCCGCGCAGCAACATGTAGTAACGCGGTCGACAGACGGCGGCGGTAGATCAGTCCAAGCCCTTGGAGCTCTCGATCCGGTCGTGTGGGCAGATACGACCTCAACCATACTCGATGGCTCAGATGTATCTCTGGATATTGCACAAATCTCGAGCCTTGCACCGGTGTCTGACGAGATCGCCACGAATACTGCGCAAATTGAATTGCCTGATTGGACTTTCGATCCTGCTCTGCTCGAGCCCTTTGAAGTCAACCACCAACTCCCAGATCCCACAGCCACTTCGAATGCGCTGGACTACACTTCCCGATTATTTTCGTTCTCCACAAACCCTTCAATTTCAAGGGCTTTGCAAGCACCTAGCACCTCTTTTAGTCTTCGAACCGCGAATAACCTTACTCAACGATCTCTGGGATCTCTGATGTTACGCATACTCCGCCGCTATCCCTTCATGCTGTTGCGCAAAGAGACATTTCCACCGTTTGTGAACCCACTTCTGTACTCCGGGTTGGAGACAGCAGAGGGACTACCAGAACAGGTAAGCTGTGCCGTCTCGTATTTAGTTTCTTAAGGCGAGAAACGAGTGCGCGGGTCTATGAGAAGAACCTTCTGTGCCTCGTCAATGGGACCGAATCGTCATCGACATACATCGACAATAGTGCTCGTCGCGGTGGATTGATCAACCAACCAATCAACCAACCAAGTATGGGGACTAATTTGCAAACAGGCTTTGATCAATGCTGTGAGCCTTGTGCAGATGTTCAAGTCACGGACCGAATCCAACAAAAGGTTTATATGGAGGCTTATCAGGATTGAGCAAGAGAGAATCCTTAGTGAGGTGCGTATCCACCCCTCTGGCTAATAGCTATGTTTTGCAGTAACTTGAACAATTTCTAGCATCAAAGCTGGGATCGCTGGGAGCTTCTGGCTGCCTTCCAGGCACTTCTTGTTTATTGCTTGCTGCGCCTGCTGGATCCCGGGGTTGAGGACCCAGATCTCGACATGGCTCTTTTGAGATCGGTTAGTGTACGTTGAGTCCTGGACCCGCATGGATACCCTAACCCACTAGACTTGCATGGTTAACCTGATGTCAAGGTTGTCGCTAGCGCGCTCTCTTGGTCAGTTGGAGGCCCAGATGTTATTGAACTTCCCGACGATTCCACATTGGCATGGAAGGACTGGTCATTCAACGAGTCGAGACGACGGTAGGAATCGATCCATGTGCTACAAGTTCTACTGCTGACCGCCACTTCAGAACTGTTCTGATATTCCGTATTATAAACATAGTGGTCGACATCTCTCTCGCAGTTTCCTGTCGTCCGATGGATGGATTCGTTCTCCTTCCCCTGCCTGGTAACGAGACTCTTTGGGATGCTCAAGAAGTTGAGCTGTGGAGATCAGAGTTCAAGATGTACTTTGAAGAACGCACGATATATGGGGTTTCCGAGAGTGGGTGCTTAATCAGACTCCGACAGGACGCAGGCGGGATTCAATCGAGTACGGCAACTTGGGAAGAGTGGAGCGCTACTGTTGGAGACTTGGGAAATCTCGTCATGGTTGCCGGTTCCTTGATAGAAGCATTCAATGTTGCTCCTTAGAGGCTGACTCAACCTAACCGGTGATAGCGAGCATTTGTTCACTGGTCGCGAGAAAGATTATTATGTTGCAACAGTATGACATTTGTCATATGTGTATGTCTTGATTAAACTTGATAAAAAGCTTCATGAATAACGCTATTTTACAATGCAATGTTGGTATCAATTCTCCCCAGTAATGGCATCCATGCTAAATGCGTCTGACTTATAGTAGCATGGCACCGGCGATGGCACCGAAGGTGGCAACACCAACACCCCACATCCATGATGCATCTCCTCTGTGGACGAGGCCAGGTGCAGCATTTCCGGTGGTGGAGGAACCGGCGCTGGAAGCTGCCGAAGCTGCCGAGGCAGCCGAGGCGCTCACTTGCGAGGCAACGCTCTGGGCCGATGAGACAGCCGACGAGGCGGCGGCACCAGCTTCACCGGTAGCAGTGGACGCGACGCTCTTGGCGCTCTCGAGAGCAGCGCTGGCCGAGGACTTGGCCGCTTCGCCAGCAGTGGAGGCCCAGCTCTTGGCACTTTCGATGGCCGACGAGGCCTGGCCGGCTAGAGAGCTGGCGGCGCTGGACCCTTCACTGCCTAGCGAAGCTGCGATGGAGCTGCCCTGCTGAGCCCAAGAGCTGCCCTGCTGGATCAAAGAGCTGGCGCCGCCCTGAGCCGAGTCGATGAGGGAGTTGATGTCGTCTCTCTGGGCTACAGGTGCTGCTGTGATGACGGGCTCCCGAGGTGCGACGTGGGCAGCGGCGAGGCCAGCGACGAAGAGGGTAGATGCTGCGAAACGCATGATGATCGATGTGTGGGTTTAGAGGTTGAGGTTTTGGGTGATGGGTCACTGGATTAAGGTTGGAACTGGATTGTGTAATTTGGCGAGACCTGAACGGCGTGGGTCGGCGCCTTTATATATGATTCACTCCATCTCGAGTCGCCCTCAGGGGCTCCCGTGTAATGAGCTTGGTAATATGGAGCATCATATCATGTCGTACCCATAAAAAGACGTCAAGCGTCGTGGTTTGTGGCAGTGCGTCTCCCGATCTCAGGTCGGCTCGTGGCTGAACTGACTACGTAGGGACCAAACCAACGGGTCAATGCAGCTAGTTCGCCTGGCCCCCTAGCTCGCCTAACTGTTCCCGACAATGGTCCTGGCCATTAGCGACGCGTCAGCTGCTCCGGCAGGCTTGGCAGAAACTCAATGCGGCCGACGTTATGGGGTTCCCCGGCCATCGCTGGTCCTGCGCCTCGCGGATGAGATCACCAACAGCCCTCCAGAAGGCGAGATGCATACGCAGTTGCACGGCTGAGCCGCCATAGCCGGGCTGCCGGATGCCACCGCTTTGGTGCCAGCCGCCAAGGGGACGCTTACTGGACAGCAGAGGCCGCCGGGTGATTGGTCTGGAGGTCCAGTCCCTGACTGCCCGAGAGCCTGACCGCACAAGATCGCAATAATGACGGCAGAGGCCCTGGACTAGGGTGCTGTTCATCCCAATGTTGGACGGAGGGTCTCTCCCCTTGCAGACATGATGATGATGCCCCAGCCAAGCCCATGGGCCCCCAGGTTTAGGTCCGGCAAGTGTGCCGGGCGCTCTTGGGAAATCTTTGAGACGGGGGCCGCTAGCCTCAACTAGCAGCGCTGGATGCCAAAACAATTTACGTAAAGCAACGATGCGTGTGGATCTCTCATACAGCGCTGAAGGCCGCTTTCTTCAGTGCGGAATGGCCCCCAGATGCGTAGAAGTTGCTGGCAAAGGCTGGTTCTTTTGCTTGGCTACACCCAGTACTCGTTGTCACACTGTACCTAGGTAGCCGCGTCATGGCCAGCCACACTGCACTGGTCAATCTACAGTTGCTGCCCTCTAGGTACTACTGTAAAGTTGCCAAACAACACTCTCCGCGCCACACTTCTACACCTGTGCTTCTATTCTTAGCTGACCGGTCTGTTTTGTCTGTTGGTTGTGCTTCCTTGTGCGGCCCCATGAAGCCTAACTGAAACTGGCTGCAATCCTTCTAGGCATGCGCTGTCACCTTCTGCATGATACCCTGCAGTTGTCACAGCACCATGAATTCGGATTCGGAATCTATCTCGCGATAATGTGCTTCTGCATCAGGCCACCCTATCCGGTCGTACTCATAGTAACACCACTCCGGCTTTCTGTGTGCTCTGAAGGCTGACTGCTGCTGTTCGATCGAGAATTGCGTAGACCATGGGATGTACTTTGGCCATGTGGCTGGCTGGTGCTGACCAGACAGGAAACTTTGCCATGTCATAAAACTCTTCAGTGGAGGCTTTCTTTGTCGGTATCTGTAGATCAGATCGAAATCCTCGGTGGTTTCTCGGAAGGGGCAGTTGTCGTAGATGTGGGAGCCTCTGGTATTGCACTTGGGACACCCGTCTATCTCGCCGTAGTCATCGACGGGCCCAACACAGTCTCGTATCGTGTGTCCTGCACGCTGGCAATTCCCACATACCGTGTCCGGCAGAGGAAGAAACATTCTAGTGTCTAGAGTTATCCATGACTTTGGCCTTCCGCTGGATGGCGGATCCCGGTTTGGGAACGTTTGGCTACTCAGAAGCTGTAAGTCGGTTGCTCGCAGATCCCCAGACGTGGAAGTAGGAGGCGTCTGGGGTTCAAACGATATCAGCAACGACTGTCGGAGGCTCGGAAATGCCTTGTCCGCTAAGGGGAGAGAAGTTGAAGGGATAACTTTCGAGACAACGATTTCCAGAAAGTCACCTGTCCCTGCGGTCGTGAGGTTGTATAGTGACTGTTCTGTCATTGTAACTGGTGTTGAGCCATTCCGATGAAGCGAGATGCTCTTCTGGAGAAGCCTCGGCAGTACTTCCAACCTTTCCCACTGCTCGTTGTCCTTAGTTTGGTGTGTTACCAACGGAGCCATGTTCCTTGCTCGGAACCATCATATGGAAATCTGCCTTGGATATGCTACACTTCCCTGAGTCGTTGCCAATTTTGATGTGATGATACAAGTGTTGCAGAGAGCTCCATTAGCTTCACGCCTTGACAAAGAATGATATCGCCGGCGGCCCTAGATCAGCTGAAAACGGCATTGTACCAATACATGATGCAACAAAGACTTCACAGTCGCTACCTAAGAATTCCGATAATGGCTCCTATCAATTCACGACCGACACCTTAGGGATTCATTGTCACAAAGGAGATTTAAGGCCCCACAACTGCACCTATGCTAATTTGGCCTGTAACTGTGACATATCTTGGATCCTAGTGTTTGCCTGGTTAAGGCAAATAGTTGCCCCAGTGCTGGGTCGATTCTTGAATTACATAGTGGTCTTGTTTTCTTAAACCGGATTTTCGATATAGTCGTGAAGTTGGCAGACACAAGCAATTACGCAAACCCATCTCTTTGTAATCTTGTAATGTGTAATGAGAAGTTCTGGTTGTCCAATATACCAAGTACTATAAGAAAGGTGACTTTTCAGGTACTTATACTGGAGTAAAAGCCTTGCCACGCCTTCGAGTCCCAAACGCTTACGTGGGGGCCATTCAGCATCCTTATTCCAACCGCGTGCTCTTGTGGTTTAAGCACTTTCTCGACTTTCGGGACTAAAACAATGGTATTATCGTGTTTTGGCTGCCCTTCTAAGAGACACACTGGCTTCTGATTGCCATGAACACAATGGCATGTCATGACTCCTCGCCGGACACAACCGCAAGGCTTACTGTCATGGAAGATCGACAAGTAGCGTGGTATTCCCTCTCCACCAAGACAGTGCGTCTGAGCGGCAGCAAACCAGTTTTGGAAAGACCCAGCATTGCATACCATTGGATGTGCCATTGATTATGAAAACCGTCAGTTGATCTTACCATGGACTTCGAGCTTCGGTCGGCTTTGCATCGTCAATTTGGAGAAGAACCTGAAGCCAACCGTGAACGAAGAACATCCAAGTATTTTCGTATTATACTTCACGATTCTGTTGTATTCAATCTGATGAGACCCCGATTATTACTTTTCTTCGAATTATAGACATTAGGGTTATAGTTAGACTATGAAGGCGTTTGTTCCATTTCCCGCATCTTTCTCTGCCCTTCTCCTTTACCAATGACGGATTTCCATTCCAAGAAGCAACAAGAAATGCAGGCCAATCCACCGAGCGGGACGGCCACGGTCATGACAGTCTGCAGCGCTCTGGAATATTCTTGTATGAGCGCGGGCAACTGCTCTTTGGGCACCAGTGTGCGAAACGCAGTGGCACCTGCTGCAATAATTTGCCGGATATCGACGCCAGGAATCGGTTCTTCACCGACAAGAGCACTTAACCGGCTCTGGAAGACACTGTTACCGACAGAGATGAAGATTGCACCTCCCAATGACTGTGAAGCCACCACAGATGCAGTGCCAACAGCCACATCCTCCTTTGGCAACACCGTTTGTACTGCAGTGAAGCTCTGCTGTATGGATATCCCGAAGCCTGCAGACGAAAGGATTTCAAACCCAACCCACATGCCAGTGCTAGAATTAGGGTTGAGTAGCGTGAGAATGCCACATCCTACCGCGCCGATGGCGCTTCCTACTATGGCGACAGGAGCGAAGTATCCGACCTTGGATACGAAGATGCCTGAAAACAACGAAAACAGTGCGTTGGCCGCAAAGTATGGAATCATCAACACGCCAGATTGGATCGCTGAATCACCCCAGACAGCCTGAAACCAGATAGGTAAGAAGTATGTGTGTACCAAGAGCGCACCGTACGTAAAGAAGGCCATCAAGCACGAGGCACCGACAGTAGGCTGCGTGACGATCACTGGTGGAATGAGGGCACCATCTGCCTTCCACCACTGCCACACGACGAAGAGGAGCGCTGACCCTCCGCATCCGCAAAGAAGCCCAATGATCCTCGCGCTTCCCCAGTCTTCCGCCACTGTAGTCATTTCTAGTGCCAGGAACAGCATAATAGCCGAGCCCAGCAGAATGATGTTACCAATGATATCCAAGTCAGCGAATCGATCAATGAACGTTCGCTTATGGTGAGCATGTGGCGGAGGATGGAAGACTAGCAGCATGACGACAACGGTGATAGCACCAGCTGGCAAGTTCAACCAGAAACACCACCTCCATGTCTAGACTTCAGTTAGTTTACAGAACCTAAACGTGCATACAAGTCTCATACGTACCACAAGGTCGGTGAAAACGCCACCCATCAGAGGGCCTACTGTCGATCCAACGCCAAACATGAGCCCCACCACAGCTGTATATATCGGCCGGAGACTCAAGGGCACGGCAATGGCAACAATGACAAAGCTACCGGTAAGGATTCCAGCGCTGCCAAAGCCAGCAATAGACCGCCCAATGATCAGCGCGACTGAATTCGGTGCGACTCCACAAACCAGAGATCCCAACATAAACATGAACATGGACAGCATGTACGACCACTTGATGCTAAACAACGTGAAGATGCGCCCAAATATCGGCTGGAACGCGCAAACCGTGAGGAGGTACGAGGAGCCATACCAGCCGATGTCTGACGTTGAATGAAACTCGGCAGTGATGAACGGAATAGCCTGTTCGAGGGTTAGACCGGATTCATCGAGGGCATGGATATCACCTACTGTGGTAATACTCGTTTTGTCGATAGATATCAAAAAGACAACCAGACACAGTCCCATTATCAACAGCGCCAAAGACAGTCCGTGCACAAATCCTTCATCGTCATTATTCGCTGTGGAAGCCTCAGCTGCAGCCTCTACAGAATCTCCGTGGGGCTGCAGTCTCTGTAAATGGGGCTGTTCGCCCTCTTCTGATAGCTTCGGTTGCCATTCTCGCGTATATTTACTGAGTCGTGCTCCCTCTTTTCCAGGGTGTCGCTGCTCGGTAATCGGGGTGGGGAGGCGGTGTCGCTGACGTGTCGAGTGAGAAGGAAGTGAAGGGTTCGACGCAAGGTGGCTCAATGGTGGTTTATAGACTGAGAGTATGTCGGACAGTATACTGTAGTTATCGCTGTCGTCGTCCATTGATGGCTGCGAGCGAGGTGCTGCCGACTCCTTCGATCGGGAATATTTGAGGTTCTGCTTCGAGTGCTTCAGTGACGAGCGCCTGGGAGGAATACTTGGGCTAGCCATGTTTTCCTCTCTTAATCGCCTTGTTGAGTTCGCAAGTGAAGCGTGTGTGGAGTAGATGCCGGTAGTCCTGAATGGACCACCCAGGGTGGATGGCGGTGAGATGGCGGCGAGAACCCAGCACGGTGCTATGGCATGGCTTAGAAATATCAATATTCAATGTGTTTTCGTACCAGTTGCGTATCAGACAGATCTAGATGTCGATTTATTTGGCAATTCCAGGAGCCGTAGTTCTGCATAGCGACCGAGCGGGATGCATGTTTGTGAGGTCCTCACGCAGTATAACGAAAATCTACGGGGTTGGCGATACCAGCCACGTTAGGATGAATGTTCTAGGGATAAACAACAAACACTTCCATGGTTTGCTTTTGGTGTAGACCCACTGCAATATTTGCTTTTCGCTGTGCTAGTTGAGGCGACAGCTTCTATGCTACAGCGCGGGCTATACTAAGTTATGGGTACTAGACTTGCTGCTAGCGTGGGACACCACATCGTTTTTATCAACTTAATATAAAAAGTACACTACGAATAGTTTCATGAACTAGAAAGTCGTAACGCGAGTTTTTAAGAAGACAGTCGTCACTAACAAGATGCGTGCGCCCACCATTCTGCTTGCCTTACGGTCATTGTTCTCTCTCTACCCACTCTCCGAAGTAGCCTCAATCTCAGTCCTGTCATATCTCCTGACCTCGACGTTGGTGGCGACGACTCTTGTGTCAGTGTTGGCCTCCCGGTCTGCGACCTGGTCAATGTCGGGGGTCGGGGGTGCTTAGGGCTTTGATAAGGATGCGTCTACGATCCCATACCGCAAATAAACGGAAACCACATCCAGAGACTCTGGAAGCGATATCTTGATTAATCTCAGCCCCGAGATATCTCCTGATGTCGACTTTGGCGGCGACAATATTTACACTGGCATCGGCATTTCGGTTTCTGATCTGAATAACGTCGATAGTGTACATGATTCAACAGTTCCTGGGGTATAATGCAGGACAGACTTGTCTACGAACTTGCGTGCGGTGGAGACTGCGGTGTGGAAAGGTACGACGTAGTCGTAGTCTTCGATAGCCTTGATGGCAACGTTCTGGTTGGCCTTGTTGCTCTTGAGGGTCTCCTAGTTCCACTGCTGTGTGGGTTGGATGTTGTACTTGAAGACGAAGGTCTTCATAGGCGAGTCCAGTTTGTGTGTCGTCGCATCGCGTTTCGCGGGATCAGGATCCTTGATGCAGAACATCGGTGCGGTTGTGGCAGCGGTGTGCCCTCGTGTGAAAGTATTGATGATGATGGTGGTATGGATACAATGCGGTGTTGTGCGTTGCGAATTGATGATAGAACCCTGACTATGGCGAGCTGCGGAGAGTTCTCGATCCCTGTTCATGTGACAAGACAACGCCAACCAATCAAGAGACGCGTACTGGCAGCAGCAAATATCACAGTCCCGCCCAACTCAATGTTGCCGTTACCGGTTTCATACGTAGACTTGCCAAACGCAGACGACAATGGTATGCAATACAGCTACGCAGGGGTATAATGCAGGACTGCCGCATTCACTTTCGACATGTCGGATGCATGAATGAGAGGGTCATGTAGGAGAACTTTTCACCCACGGCTATGACAAACTTTGATGTGCCACTCAATGCTAGCCGCCTCACCTTGGGCTTTGCTTACAGCTTTAGATGACTGCTCACGAATTCCCGATATCGCAACTGAGGTATGAATCCCAATCTTAAATGCAGATTAGGAGGCTACCAAAGTCGTTTAACGATCATGGTATATTTCCGTATAAATAATAAGCGCGTTCGTCACTGCTACCACTGCCATGCATCTCGTGTACATGAATAGTATCTGCTGGTGGTTGTGGGCTTCTTATTTGATATGGCTTCGCTACGTAAAGATGTGAGGAAGGACTTGTTGGCCTAGGAACAGGCGGGAATAAAACCGTGTTAGGTCATGTAGGTAATAAGAAGCCAAAAGAAGATCATACCAACCGAAAACAAGATCTAGTTGCCCTCCTCCGGCTTCACATAGTTCAGTTTCAGCATCTTCGTGTTAAAAAATACGCTTGAGGCTAGAAACAAGAGACATGGGTTATAGTTTACGGTGATAATACTGCTAAGATGCCATACTAGGCGAATCAAGTTTTCATTGGAATAACATGGTCTAGAAGGTTCTTATTCAGCGGATTGCAGCTTCTGACGCCAGCATAAGTAGAGCCGAGAAATGTCTAATGATCAAGCCTGAGCGGCTGACGTCGTATTTTCCAGCTGCTGCAGGGATGTGCAGCCTCAACATTATGGTTCATTGCGAGGCGGCACTGCCATAGTGGGACAGCCGATGTCTTGGCCACATTAATGGAACCAGATCTGCCCCACCTTGCTCCAGTAAGCCGTGCCAGTTGCCAAGGCTGAGATAGCCTATAAGTCAATACTGTGAGCGTTGACCTGGTAGATTCAGCTCTATAACGCCATGCTAAAATTGCACAATGTTACCAAAGGCACAATTGATACGCTGACCGGCTATGCGGAACCTGAGCAGCTAACTCTTGCTCCGCCGAAGGCGCAACAATATATTCCCTCAAAGTAGAGATTCATACCATCTGCACGGCTTCTGAATTATGTATAAATAGTGCACTCCCGTCTCCAGAACGACACTTGGAAGCACCCATCAGTCACTCCGTTCTCAAACCGCAGACGCATTACTCCACACAACCCCTACTGTATCTACATCCGCTGAACGGCTTTCTTCAAGATGCACTACAAGCTCGCCTTCCTCTCGACCATCGCCATGGCTCTCACGGCTGAAGCCAAGGTCTGGGGTGTTATGACCGAAAACTTCGATGCGCAAGGCGCTCGCGCCGACTTTGCCTCGGATCACTCTGGCGACTGCGGTGAGTGATAGTCCTGCTGACCATGAACAACAAGGATAACCAGATCCTCGAGCGTCATATATCATTCTCGATACTAATACAAGGTCTGCCCGCAACAGTCTCCTTCACTCTTTCCAACGCCTTTTGGAACGACAAAGTAAGCTACGTCCAGGTCAAGACGGGAACCTGTACCTTCTACGTGTGAGTATTAGAATGTGACATCCTCCCGCCGATCAGTTTGTTGACTCTTTCCATCAGCGACGCCGGCTGCAGCGGTGCTTCCGCCGTTTTTCACGCAGGCGACTCCGTCAACTTGTCCTCAAATTTCAATGACAAGTTCAGCTCCTTCGTTTGTGTCGACTAGAGCGTGATATGACGAAGCCTGGTCGGGGTGGCGACGATGAGATAGACAGCAGGACGAACAACAATGTTGTTTCATTTACTACATTCTCCTCGATATCAAGTAGCAATACCTGATATTTTTACTTAAACATAATATATAGATCTTGTTTTAACATTCGTGTTAACATCTCTGCAATCAGTAATTCGCGAAGTCGTTAGTTGTTTAGTGCGGTTGGTAGTGTCTCCTTCAACGATTAACACAACCTCGCGCTTCGCCCGAATCCGGCATACGTGTGTCCATTTTCGGCTCCTAGAACTTCAACATTAGGGATCATATTATGTATATACTTCATCAAATGCAAAATGTGATCGCTATGAACATTTGCCGAAACCTCCCTGGCAACCACTGCCGCAATGCCCACTCGTAGTACCACAGTAGCCACTCGCACCACAGCACTGTCCATCAAAGGGGCCGCCCTTACAAGTATACCCTCCGTTGGACGGGCCACAAGATCCGTCTAACGAGGGGACGTCAGTCGTGAGGCAGGAGTCGGAGAACGGTGTTTGGCTGTAATCGTATTATCAGTACTAGTCTGAGAGACGAAATCATAAGTTGCACTTACCACCCCTGAGCGCAATGGTCCACCCCGGTGCCGCAGTATCCGCTGGACGAGCAGCACCCTCCCAACGTGGATCCGGCACAGGTCTGGGCGGCGCCGTTGTTCGCGACTCCGGCCCCGCACGCGCCGTCGGACGAGACGACGGGGGCGCCCGGGCACGTCCCGAACTCCGTCTGGCAGCCGGGGAGGGCGCAGTGACCGTCGCTGCTGCCGCACCAGCCATACGGCGAGCAACAGTCCCCGAAGCCCGAGCCGGTGCACGTGTAGCCGTTCGTGCCGGCGCAGCTCCCGTCAGGCGACACCGTCTTTCCGCTCCCTCCGGAGCTCGGGCTGCATGTGCCGAACGCCGTCTGGCATCCGGCGCTGCAGTGACCGCTGTCGTTGCCGCACCACCCGGATGAGGAGCAGCAGTCACCGAAGCCTGAGCCTGCGCACTTGTAGCCCTGTGCGCCACCGCAGGTGCCATCAGGCGAGACGTCGGTCGACGTGCAGTTGCCGAAGTTGGGCTGGCAGCCTACGACGCAATGGTCGGCCGAGGTGCCGCAGTAGCCGCTCGAGCTGTTTTAATCTTGTATCAGGACTTCTTCTTCTTCTTTTTCGAGAGAGGGACCTATTTCAGTAGTGGCAGTAATACGCACCTGCAGCAGTCTCCGTATGTTGAACCCTGGCAAAAGTAACCGGTCGTGCCACCACAAGTGCCATCTGGGTTAGAAGAGTAAACAATCAGCTTGTGGCCTTGAAATATAGTATGTGGGAAAAGGATGACGAACCTGGGCTGCTCTTGTCACTGGGTAAGGTGGTTGGTATCGAACTTGCCGCCGTAGTGGCACTTGTAGTAGTCTCGTTGAGTGTGATGGTCAGAGTTAGGGTCTCAGTGTAGACGGCCGACGTGTCGTCCCAGGTCGTGGGTACATATGGAGTGTAGGAACTGAAGAAGGGCGCGCCTGTGGTGGTGGGCTTTGGCAGGGTAATGAGTGTGGGCGCTCTCTTTCCTAGCACACGTGGGCTGGGTTCCTCCGGCTCCTGGATGGTTATGGTCGTTACTCTCCTCGTGGGGATCTCCTTGGTAATGGGATTGTGAGTATTCACCGCGTCCGACCAGACCATGGGCGTGTATGTGGAGAGGGAAGCTGGGCGAGTGGTCGAAGAGCCATTCGCGGCTATGGCTAGGCCACGTTTCTTACCTGAGCCCTTTGCAAGGTCAGGTTTGTTACCGTAGCCTTGATCCTCGCAGGAGAGTTTGGGTCCCTTGGCCGTGGAGATGGCGCGCTCGACGCAGCCGGCCTTGACGACGCCCGGTTCGAGGTAGAAGTACACGTAGGCATACATATCATCATTCCCGTCGTGCCAGTCCCAGTCCGTCACTTTTTGACAGCCACCTTCCTGCTTCTTGAGCTCCGCACCGTGGTCTTCGTCTGCCCAGCCTCCGCGGATATTGTAGATCATGACGCCCATGTCGTAACCCTCACCCCAGAATGCGCAATCTGCCTGGGGAGTGTGCGTAACCACTTGCGTAGTAGTGGTGGTAGGAGGCGGAGGCGGGTCTTTCTTTGTTGTAGTTGCTTCCGCGCTCGCGATCCAGTCGCTGTAGTAAGCCTCCATGGGGCCGTACATGTTGGGATCATCGTAGCCGTTTCCATCCCAGTAGTCGTAGTAGCCCGCGGGATCGGCCGTCGGGCCTGCGTCCGCGCTGGTCGTCAGGGTCCTCGTCACCGTCATGCCCGTGGCGTCGCAGGCAATCATGGTGTCGCAGTGGGTGCGAGATGTCGTTGACCAGCTCGTCGTGGGCTTCGTCTGCACCGCGGTGCTGCTCACCACGACAGTGCAGTCTTGCGCCGTCGTGAAGCTGGTGCAGCCCCTGGCCGTGGGTAGGCGGCCTGGTGGGCAGCTCTTCAGATTGCACGGCGTGTTGCACGAGGTGCCGCCACCAGGACAAGGAGCCAGCGTCGGGCAGTTAACTCGACAAGTTGGCTTGGGGCCCACGGTTGGCAGTGTGGGAAGCGTAGGAACCGGGATAGAAATGGATGGCTTGACGCTGAGAGTGACGTGGTTTCCACACCAGATCTGAGTGCAACCAGTGTCTGTATCACATCGCGACCCCTCGCAGTTCCCAGAACTGCACTTGTGGAAGAGGTTCGAGACGCATTGCCCTCCTCTGTTGCACTTGTATCCAGAACAGCCACCGCCCTGGTTGCAGTGATCACCCTTACACCCTCCACCCTCGACGCAGGAGTCTCCTGAACAACCGCCACCCTCGGTGCAGGACGGTCCTTCGCAGTGTCCGCCCCTCACACACTTGGGTCCTTTGCATTGTCCTCCTCTGGTACAAGCAAGTCCAACGCAGTCTCCGCCTCGGGTACAGTCATCGCCGATGCAGTCCGGTCCGGAATCGCATCCAGGTCCGCTGCAATCATCGACCCCCAGGGGCTCCGGATCTACTGGGTCTTCCTGGTCTTCGGGAATCTTCGGCGGGGCCACTGGTTTCGGCGTAACGAAGACTGGCAGGCTGTAGCTGACGGTCGGGTTCCAGTATAGGAAAATGAACCCCCCTGCATCGGTTGTGGTCGTGATGGTGGCACTCGGCAGTCCCACGATGTTGGTCGTCGGTGCTACCGCCCCTGAAGTCATGGTCCACCCAGGTGGCACCGGGATTCTCATCGGGTCTGGGTTGATGCTGGGGATGGGCATGTACGTAAGAACCGTGCCCTTAGATGTATCCGTCTGCGCGATGGTGAAGGGCTGGAAGTTGACCTCGGAGATGGCAAACTCAGTAGAGATGAAGCTGGTACTGAGCGACTGTCCAGACTGCAGGGTGATGGTGGTATATGCTGTAAGGGTGACCACGGTAGCCAACGGCGAAGGCGCAAATATGTTAGTAGCGCTGACCGGTGCTTCAATGACAGGATTAACCCAATTCCAGATGACGGGGTCAAACACATTGATAACAGACGACTCATTGTAGTCACCGGTAGGACCGAGCTTGTCGGCCGTCGTAAACTCCTGGAGGTCGACAGCCCAGTCGATGGTGCCTCCGAAATTCAAGTCCTTCCACGCCTCACGACGCCTTTCCTTGGTCGTGTCGGTCATGTACGCAACCCATTCGACGTCGTCGTAGATCAGGTAATCAGACCCTGTTTCTTCGTCGTACCAAGACTTAATGTTCTTGTTCTTGGCGATGATCTCGTTGATCTCTGCATTAGAAATGTAGCCACCTGTATTAGTGCATCGCCCAGGTTTCGCGTCGGATGAGCTGTTCGTGCCCGTGTAGAAGCATTGAGGTCCTGTGCAGCCAGCAGCAGCCATGTGAAAAGACCTCCCGTAACTCGATTCCCCCACCATAACCTTGGCTGCAGGAACACCGGCCTTGGTGACCATAGACAGTGCCAATCTCACTTCCGTCTCGTTGACATGGCTTCGGAGGCAGTTGCCATCCTCGCACCCCGACTGAGCCCAATCATTCCCAATATCCCATTGGCCTGTGGAGAGGTAATTAGCAATGTTTTTCCGGAAGTAGTTGGATGAGTGAGTGGGGCAAACTACCATGGAGGTCATAGGCCATGTAAACAATATAGTCAACGTATTGGTGCATATCCTTGATAGGGAAACTCTTGAGATACCAATAAGAGGCTGGCGCGGCAATGGAGATTGAGAGCTGTTCTGGTAGTGCTGCCCGGAGTGCTTTGAGCGTAGCTATATAGTTGGGGCCATCCGATGGAAGTCCTGGCGGGATGCCAGGGATATCGGGTGCCTTGGAAGAGAGAAGTTAATAACTTGTACCCAGAAGAATGGTGTTAAGCTGAATTTCACTTACCCCAGGGTATTCCCAATCAAAGTCGATCCCGTCGATGCCGGTTGTGTCAGCAAAGTTGACAAGATTGGACACGAACTTTGCACGGTTGGCGTCGGACATGGCGTCTCGGAGCACCTGGTACGTCCCAGGGTCCGTAGAGAAGCCCCAGCCCCCAAAAGACACAATTTTCTTTGTGTCCTTGAGGCCCATGAAACCCTTCCACTGCTGAGCTGAGTCGTTGATAAAAATGGAATAGTCGGGATTCACAGTACCGAAAGCCCAATGCATGTGCGTGTAGCCGAGCGTGTTCGACCACTCAGCGCGCATGTGCAGACACTTGCGGTCCCAGTTGAAAGCTTCATAGTATCCAATCCGCTTGTACTCGGAAGGCGGGGAGTCATTATTGATGATGTCGGTGCCGCAGTTAGAGATGCAGCCGTTGGTGCCCTTGGGCGAGGTGCCGGGGTTGCCAGAAGGGCCCAGCGCCTTCTTGCAGAAATCGCCGTCGATACCGCACTGGCCCCAAATGTTGCAGCACGCGTTGAGAGGGCATGGGTTTAGTTTGGCAAGGTCATCGGCACTCTGAACAGTCCCACTGAACGTCTTGCCGGGTACCTGAGGGCCACAGATGGCGTTCTTCAAAGGCGAAGGGGCAGGTGGGTAGCCCGAACTCAGACACATGTTCAGACCAACGACTAAGCCGCCATCACAGCCGGTCCATCCCCTGCAAGGAGAGTGATAGTCAGTAATGATTTCTAGATGGAGGAGCGTAATGGTTCACCTACCAAGTAATTTTGTCATTGAAATTGTCAATTTCTGCGTTGGTCAGACTGTATTGGAGACCGATATCGTAGCATGTGTCCTTGTCCTTTATGGTATAGGTATAGCACGTGCCGCTATCAGACTTATGAGGTTTCAAGTCCCCCGCCGAGCAGCAAACCTTTTGGCCAGGGCGAAGCGTGGAACATAGGTTGTCCACGTTGTATTTGAGGAGGTCATCAGACGAAATCCCACATCGCTGCACCAGATTAGCGCAGGTATCGCCGCTGACGACACTCGTGGTCTTGCAATAATCAGCTGCATTTATGGGTATTGCGATGCAAGTCAGCCACAGCCAGATCACGGCAGAAGCCCTGATGGATGGACGTGTCCACCCCATAGAAAAAAGAGTGTCAAATGGGTACAAGGATGAACAGAAGTGTATGTAGCACCACGCCAGACTGTGTGAAACGCCGTCAAGGCTGAGGGAAGCTCGATGAGACAAGAAGGCGAGTATGAAGAAGACGGTAAAGCTCATAGCTATTAGTATCCCAGACCGACGGACTCTGGCTTACAGACACCATGGGTGGATGCATTATGCTACACGTTGTAATTTGATGATGACAGGGAAGCCACTACCCATAGCTCGCATTATGCCGAGGTTACTTTCCGTTGAACATTATCGCATGGTCTAGATCTGTCTGTTTTGTGGATTTGCCGTTGAGGCCCTTGACAGGTTTGGGATAGGGAGGGGGCGATGTCGTGAAAGACTCAACCGGTACGAGTCAGCTGAAGAACTATTGATTGGGGTTTTCCCATCCTCCAAGGCTTCACGATGCTTACACGCAGAAAATTTGTATTATTAGCAAGTTGAACCATAGAAAACTGTCCACATTCCCCCACTTTGCGGCCTCATTGGACATGTTCCCCATCTTTTGCTTCCATAAGTTGAGTGATCGATGTAAGAATTCGTTTCATTAGCGCTCTGTAGGGTTATTTTAAACTTAAGTCTCGAAGCTCGAACATGGTTTTGTGCAGTCTAATTGGTGAGAAGAATGACTATCTCCGTAGGGCTGGTCCCATTTAGTCGGGAGTAGCTCCTCCTTCGGCAGGCAATTTCATTCTGCACCAACCCGGCCCGACACCGTTAGCCTAAAGGTCTTGGCCCACATGGTGTTGTCCAAAAGCGTAGTTTAACGTAAGACGCCAAGTGCCAAAACAGTTAAGCTTTTCGTCAAGAACTGTCAGGCCTTGCATTGACCCACTATCGGCCGCGTCCAGTCGAGGCAAACAGGGGTCCCTTTCAAATCATCAGCCGACTGAGGCTACTTTGACTTGTCTAGAGGTCCATATATAGTGCACGCAATTTGGATCATACCCGCCGAACTGGCTATTGACCAAAAGAACCTTGTACATAGTACGATTCTGACTAACTCCAGCTATATAGTCTTAAGAGATTTACATACTAGTGTCCAAATTGCGGTATGCTCCGAAGTCAGCTCACGATCCCGGTTCTATATATCCATCTAACCTTAAATTCAACCATGATTTCCGAGGTCGTGTGTACCGGCGATACTCAGAGGCTCATCTCGGTCGATCCACATCAGACCCTGTTCAATACTTGATTCTCTGAACCCCGAATCCGTTCAAGACACAGTCTAGACTCTAGCCCCAGAGGCAATTACGGGGACGAAACTGAGGGTGCAGTCGGCCTCTCCCAGTGTCAGTCTCTTGCATAATAGCCGCTCGGTGCTGGCGATTTCCCTGGTCCTGGACGTCACTCCCTCTTCCATCATCGACAGGCTCCCTCAGCATCACGCAGCAACGCGCAGCACCGGGATCATGGCGCAGCTTCTCCTTCGCTTGCTGCTGCTCTTTGCGGTTCTGGCCCACTGCATTCCTACTCGGCTTGAACTCGTTGACGAGTACACGACTTTCAACGGCTCTCTAGCCTCCCGTTCTCTTGTCAAGAGAGACGTCTACAACGACTGTGATGGCCCGCATGCAAACTTGTTGAAGAAATCCATCGAGGATTCTAATAATATTGTAAGAGAAGTGTCCCTAAGCCCTAATCATCGGAACCTGTTGGAGATACTAATTAATGCATGGCAGATGGCCAACATGGTAGCGCACTTGGATCTTGCCATTGGCCTTTACCAAGATGATGGCTCTGGGGAGCTGAGGGATGACAAGAGGAGAAGAGATCAACGCACCTTCGATGAGAATAACGCGATCTTATCCTACAACATGTTCATTGCAAAGTCGTACTTTGGCCCAGGACACGCCAGCAACAAGGATGGCTACAACAAGCTTTTGGGAACCAGAAGTGCGTTTTATTTCCCTAACGCTCTTACCTCGTCTTGTACAAGTGTTGATCCACTAAACTTCCCCCATAGGCCTTGCCAACTTCTTATCAGGCCAGCTTAAGCGCTACATAAATGGCTCACCTCTCTTTTCTGGGCCTGATAACCTCCCTTTAATCAGGCTGCACTGCAGCGACGCCGATGCGTACTCAGAGACAGACCAGGAGGGTAGGACCTATACTCAAGGTAAGCAGCGCGCCTTTTGACCCGTGCTCGCAAACCACGAACCTCTGCTAATCCGCCCCATTCGATAGCTAGTGGGAGAATTCAGCGTGAGTCCCACCTACTGAGAGAAAGCTGTCGGAAGGTTTGTAGCTAACCATTCACATGCGCATGCACAACAGCTGTAAAAGTCAACGGGAACGATATTTACTACGTTAACCAAAATGTCGGAGGCGCTACTTTTGGGACCGAAGAGTCGTACGTGTGGGTCCCGCGGCTCAAGGTTTGTGACGTTGGCGACGGCGCGACGACAAGGCTCGGCGGAGTCCCCGTCGACCCAGGAATCAGTGCCTATACGTACACCGACAGCGCTCCACTGAAGGAGGAGATCATGGTCTTCTGCCCAGCTTCATTGGGCAAGTGGGCCGCCACCGAGTCCGAAAGGTCCGCCAGCAAGGTCCACTACCGGGACCTGCACGTCGAGATGGGGGCACAGCCTACCGACGCACAGATCGAGCTCGCTAAGTCGCTTAAGCCAGGTGAAAATGATGCGGAGAATATCAGCTGGCTTTCAAGCTTCATGGCGCAGACCGTTATACACGAATCCACTCACAGTCGAGCTCTTTCTGGTTCCAGAGACGTCACTCTTAGTGAGTCCTCCTTCTCAATCAACGTGCCAAAAACTGTCCTGTCCGTGAGAGAAAAAAAAAAAAGGTTTCTTGTACATGGAGCAGATTCGCTGACACTTGGTCTTTCAAGAGGACGTCTACTGTAAGGAGAATGGTGTGACAACGCAGACTCATACAGACCCCGGATGCCTGCAGCGTATCGCGAAAGGCGACCCAGGCACCCTGGACGAAAATGGAAAGGCACAAGGCCACCTCGACGCGCAGCTGTTTTCCATGTATGCCATGGGTGAGTTATCCTCCCAGGCTGATATTTTAACGACTTTACTGACAGGTGTAACTCACTGCCAAAAGCGGTGTACGTCAATACCATCACATGGGCCAGCGGTCACAGGGCCAAGCCCAGAGCCGTAATTATGAAGTGAATTTTAAATCTTCTCGTCGTGTATCGGGACCTATAGTTTGGATATATAGAGGTGGTGTTCTCTTGCGTGGCCAGATAGAGACACTAACTGCTGACTCGCACCACCGCCCCAGTGTTTGTAGGTATCCATTCACTGGGCAGCGAATTGATGGTCCCGTATGAACTTCGTATCCTTGAAATAAAGCTTGCCGTGAAACGTGTCTGTGCTATCAGAGGCTGCCCTGGCAGTCTCCCATGGACTTGCAGATGTGCAACCCGTATGCTCGTTGGCCCCTGAGGAATGCACAGACTGTTTATAACCTTTGATAATTGAGCTTGAATGTTTCAAACAACCTGACGGATCCGGGGAAGGGGGAAAGGAGGGGCGGGGATTGATCGATAATGTTCAAGTGGATAGTGGACCTTCCAAATGCACTGCCGGATTTGCTGCGTATCCGGAAGTACCCATGCGCGGAACACAAGGAGAGGACATAGAGATACATACACAACCAGAAGCAACACACCCAGAATTTACACAATAATAGAAACTACTTGGCTACTAGTAAGTTTGTACATGACCCCCAACCCGACTGCTTGACGATAAACATCACCACACCATTTCTGACGCAGTGACGGCATGCTTAGCATTAACATTGTCCTTCGCTACATGTATTAGCTATATAAGCTAAGCGATATCGATTCTGAGAAGAGCTGGAAAAACTAACTACGCCGCCCGTCCACCCCAACCTGCCCCAACTCCCAATTATATCCAGGCTGAGGGTAGTCGGGTCTTGGATCTTTCGACATAGACACATCATGCTGGACATAGATTTTTCTCCAACCTTGCCTATGGTAACTAGATGCGGACGAAGACTGGTTGGTGGATTTTCGCGGTACGAATAATTTCTCGACTAAGGGCCTGTATGTGATCGCGCAGCATGCTACGATGCCCGTACAGATTTCCAGGCCAGAGAGCATCCCAGGCCAGACATGCGCCCCTGCGCACGTTAGTCAGCGGAGGTTCTCATAAAACATAGTTATTTGTCCATTCTATTTGAAACGTACAGCTTGGATCGTAGATAGACGTCTCTCGTCCATCAGCCTCAGTAGCATTTGTGGTGCCCATGGACGCCTCTCTCGCGTAGAACAAACGGGCGATGCTGACTACACAAGCTCTTGAGAAATGGCGTCTAGGTTAGTCTTTTGAAAGCGAAAAAGGTAGGGATGTTAGGAAGGAGAAAGTTTCTTACATGCAGCCAACAGCGAATGCACATGTTAACAAACCCTTCCGGCGCGTGGACATGTGCAAACCCCATAGGAGCGGCATCGGTGCTCCCAAGATAACGAAATCCAATACAATATTCAGTATTCCGATGACCAAAGTGACTAACCCATAATCGATGCATCTTCCGGGCAGTGATGTGTCCCAGCTCTTCTCAACGGGAAAGCAACTGAAGATACTAGCCCAAAATGCCGCCATTGTCCAGGCAAAGACCGCTAAGCCAATCCCTACGAGAACCTTTCGGAAGGTCTTCCCGTTGAATATGCGCTTGTAGAGAAAGAGAACTGTGACAAGAACTGTCAGAGGCCGATTTGGCGATAGTTAAGCGCCTGTGGCTTCTCGTAAAGGGTATCCGCTCTGGGGGGATCCGATGACCACTCACTCGAGTATTTGACACATAGCATTCCAAAGATATAGATGCTTGCCTGGCATAGGCTGAGCTGGACGGCCTGTGAGTCTTCTTTTTCGTTTTATTTCTTAGAACTTCAGGCGATTTCAGACTTACTATGGAGTATGCTCTCGGATTTGTTACAAGGATGACATGACGCCCCTCTCCGTACAGGACCTTGGACCAGAACACACCAGTATATGCAACATACAAGATCTACGGAGTTCATAACCGTACTTGTAAGCGTAGAGTTCCAGAATCCGACCGCAGAAATACTAGAGAGTTCAACACTTACGTATGCAAAGAAAAGACAATAATCGTCCGTTCCTAGGTTGGCCTTCCCTGAACGACGTGCAATGAATCGCAAAATGACAGATGCCGTGGCAGCAGTGAGGCAAACTGCATTCGAAATATGTGTCGATGGGACTTCCGTCTCATCAATATGGTCTTGTAGCCACTGTAGCTGCTCTGGTGTGTAATCGCCTGCCATGATGCGTTCTTGTCAAGCAACGGGCTTTTGCGTGCAAGGTTATTGGACGATGCCGAAGTGCGCTCAAGAAGTGTCCTTCCGCCGAAGAATGAACAAAAGAAGCAAACCAGCCGAAGAAGCTCCCCACAGTGTCATTTTTGACAATAGTCCTTTACCTGACGCCAGCTCACTCCATCTCCCTGCGTGTGGGCGGGAAGGATAACATGGATCGTCATGCAGGTTCCATGCCGCAGCCTTGGCGTAAGATGAAGGTGCAACCTCGGTCAGTTGATCAATTGACCGGTAACACTCGAAAATGGTTTACACCGCATGTATCGTACTTCCAGTGCCGCACGACTGCAGCGCACATTTAAGGCACTGAGGACAGAAAGGTAGGCTCTTGGCCCCCGTCTGGGAATAAGTGCATAAAGGAGCTGACATGGATGGATGCGCCACACGAGTTACATTTCGCAGCTTGGACAGTGGATAACAGCCTGCGTAAGATGCAACCTCGCTGACTGCCGCAACATTCGAAAAGGATTTGCGCTGCATATATCCTGCTCCCATGGGATCCCAGCGCCGCGCGACCGCAGGGAGGACAAAAGGCAGGCAGTCTCTTAGTGCCTTTGTCTGCGGGCATAAGCGCATGCAGGAGCTGATGTGTATGGGCAACCTCCCCCCAGCTTTGTGTAACTCTCAACTCAGTACCAAGCAAAACGCGATTGGGCAGCCTGGCAAAGTACAAATTAGGTTACGAACTTCTTGCATCCGATCAGGCTGCAAAAGAGCCCGGCGCTCAGCCTACAGGGGATGGACCCAGCCCACATGTTACCTGTAACTGCGCCGCAGCAGCATGCAGTTGGCGAGGTGCTATCCGTCCACAATGAAACCCTTTTCGCGTTACACCCAGAATCGTTCGGCTGAGCAGCGCTTTCTGTCGAAGGCCACGCAATTTGATACCATCTCCGACAAAGCGGTGCATTCTTTACTGTGATCAACCAACATATCTTCACTAAATACTGCCCCCATTGACTCACGTTGCCGGATCGCAACAACTCCGTCAATACCAAGCACTTTCCGCGCCCAAAATATGGCCATGACTTCTGTCCTCTCAAGAACGCAGCACGCGATAATAGCGGCTCCATTCATTGCCATCGCCGTCTGGTGTTTCCAGGCAATGGACCTGGAGAAGATAGCTGCAACCGCGAAGCCCTCCGCGGATGCTGGCGTCATTTCGTGGGATGGAGGTCAAGTAAAAATCATCGATTTCCACGGCGTGCCCTTCCTAGACCAGCTATGGCGCGGCGGCACTGCAACGTTTTCCCCTTCATCGTTTGGATACGATAGCATCGCCGCATGGCAGGTCTTCTCGTTTCTTATCGATCTAGGACCTATATACGCTATTTGGATTCTGGAATCGACCCGTGAGGTTAACTCCTGGTCGCCTGCGTATTTGTGAGTTGCGAAAAATTTTATGCCATGCGAAAATGCCACTAACTTTATGGCCTACGGCCTGTGAAGGCCAACCGTCTTTACCCTCGCGGCCCAGCTTCTTGGCATAGGACCTACGGCACCTATCTTCTACTTTCTTCTGATTGTGTTTGGTCCTTCAACGTCTGCTCTGCTAAGAAGCCCGTTACAAAGCCGAACTGTATGGCATTCTGGGAATCTGCTAGTTATTCCCCTCGTACTTCTCCTTCATACGGCCGAAATTTTCGCAATGTTCTTGGCCCAAAGCTACGATACGCGCCATTACTGGACTTGGGCCTGGCAGCTAACTCCTCTATGGATCGGCATCGGCAATGTTATCGCCAGTCGAGCTATCAGTCATCTGCGCGTAACGAAACAAGCGCCGGGCGTAATCAAAATAATGCTCGCTTCTTTGGGTCTTATATCGTCAGCCACATGGGTCTATACGCTTGCATCCTGTCCACACTCACCATACACTCTCTTTATGCCAGTCTCACGAGCACAGGATGGCCTTGTCTTACATAGCAGAAAAGCACTCCAGGCAGACGAGCTAGGAGTCTTCGCCAGCAGCTTCCTATGGTTGATATACTCATTTGGCGATCTTCACTTCGCCGGTCTACTCCGGAATTATTGGCTCGGCTACGCAGCATTGATGCCAATTCTGGTGCTGAGCGTTGGACCTGGTGCTGCATTTTCTCTGCTTTGGTATGCGAGAGAAAGAATAGTTAGTACCGGGGGGCGATGATGAAACTGTGTAGCACAATAATTATTCAGTGATAATGATACAAGTGAGCTTAGCGGAGAACCAGAAAGTCAGAGCTTTTCATTCACTAATTCTTTTTCTTGGGTGTAATTTCGCTGATTCCACGGGAAATTCTATACGATTACCTTAGCTTGTTGGTGCAGTGTTTGTGCAGTATTGGTGTAGAGTTGCAATAATGGTTGATCTGATTTAGTTGAGTGACTCGCCACCTTTTTTTTGGGGGGTGGGGGGGGGGGCCACAAGCCAAGCCTCGTACTCGACAGACCAGAACCCTTGTTTCCTCCTTGGCCCCTCCTCTGAAACTTAGAGAATAATTTCGCAATTTTAATTATATGCGGCGTACGATATAAGAGAGATCCTTGTGAATTGTTGGTCGTAACCTAGTAAGACAACTATCTTCCCAGCATGATTGACCCCTCATCGGTGGGCGGCCCTGGGTCAGGTTCGCAATGCTAGAGCAGCAGCAGCAGCAGCAACAACACCACAGCCACCACCCGAGTGGTAATAAAGTATCGTGTCCGTCTCACGGCGAACCCTTCCTAGAAGGCTCGTAGATCCTGTTCTATGTTGTTAGCATGCAGTGGGATCCGCTATGACCAGACAGGAGAATGCAGATCACGTGATGATACAGGGTTTCTAGATCGATCCTGACTCTCTACCAATACACCTCCAGACCTCATCGTTATATATTAATGGGACTAACTACGCCAAAATTGCATACATTTGCCTCATACGATTCTCTCTTTGTTATTGCAGGCCAAAATCGTGACAGGGCTGCTAATCAGGAATCAGGTTCAACCCATCTTGAAACTTCATCCGGCTGGCTACCATAATTTTGGGCTTGTTCACGTGATGATGGTCTTGGCTGCCCGGAGCTTTCCCTCAACTATAGTACCGTGGGGTATGGTGTTCTGGTTGGGCATGTAACGTCACTTGTTACGATGTAATTTATGGGGCGGTGGAGCAGCCCGCACCCGCTGGCAAGTCGTTGTGCGCCGCCACTTGCATCACTTATATTACCGTTGCTGACCACCGTCAGACTGACCGTGACGGACCCCAAACGGGGAGCCTATCCCGGTGTCTAAAAAGACGAAGAATCACAATAATCACAGTCTCTATAACCAACAAGGCTTAGTGAAATTATGCCAAGGAAACAAATGCAGTGGTCTTGCTACCCACCCAGTCTGTCATTCTGTGTCGCGATTTACTGGAACTGTAGTAGCCTCGTTGTTTAGCCTAAGTTTCTGCTAATTACATGCTTGAAATGCCATGATCTACTTTTTCCATATTTCAAGTGCACTCTTGGTGGAAGACCTTATCCTTTATGCCCCAGTAACATGTGAATAGCGACCATTTACCCATCCTGTAGTGTGCCTGACCTGTAACTATGGAAATTCCCACCTGCCAAATTCCATGCATCCGAAGCAGAAATGGATATGATTCCCCCTGAGTGCCATTTGTTAAAATTCTTTTCTGCTGACTGCTTAAGGCGTAAGAATATTCCACATAAGAGAAGATGGCGGTGGGTATAAGAGTCCGCCAATTTATCGGTGAGAAAGTGGCACAGCCCTGAATGTCAGGTGTACCTGCAGACCCAGGCAGATGCCGCCCGCTTCTTTCCAGCCGCTTTTCTTGGGGTTGGTTCTTTTGCGATCCATCCTGCAAATCTCAAAAGCTCTCCTGATCATGGACTAGGCAGCCTTAGCTTCCTGGCACCCTTCCTTCGACATCCTTCTGGGGCCTCCATACCGGTATCAACAAAAGAGTTAAGTACAAGTTCCTAGTTTTTCTTTACATTAAACACGATCCAGGAGCATGTTTCTTCACTCACCATCTTAGTACTTATCTCAGACGCCATACAATCAAAGCGATTCGAGCGGCTATCGTCGTATTTCCTCGGGCACTCTATGGCCTAGAAAGCGCGTTTAACACGTCTCCCTATAATCCAATCATTACCGGCCTCATATCATCCCTCCGGTTTATTTAGTCGTACCAAACCACCTCAGAACGTCTCAAAGTCACTTTTCACTCCGAGCAAATCATGTTTAGCCTTTTGGCCCTACCACAGAGGTGGCTACACTCCCCTTGCTACCATTTATACACCATATATCTCACATGTTCCAACAACATCTGGGACATAGTCATCCCAGGATGTCTATTCGGAGCAGTCAACTCACTGATAGCCCCTCGCCTATCCATGGGCACCGCCCTTTCCTTCACCGAGGTCATTCTGACAGCCCCCTGGATGGCGTTATGGTCTTGGAGCAACCTCTTCATGTTCTGCCTTCATAACCAGAGACAAGTTGTGAATATTGCAGAGGATGCTGTGAACAAACCGTGGCGTCCTATTCCCTCCGGACGAATCACGCCAGACCAAGCCGTCCGTTTACTCTGTTTTATGCACCCGTTCTGTTTGATTATCGGGCTATGGGTAGGGGGCTTCGTCCCTTATATGGTCTTGACTTTCTTCCATGTCTGGTACAACGAGTTCGGGGCCGTGAAAAGTGGCTTCTTAAAGAATATCTTCAATGGCATCGGGATTGGGTGTTTCTTTGCTGGGCCTCTCGAGGTCGCAACAAGACACTCCGTTCTGTCTGGGGATGCCGTTGGGGCGATTTGGGTTGGTATCCTAATGTCCACGTTCGCCACCTCTTCTCACCTACAGGATTTCCGTGACATGGAGGGCGATAAGCTCGCTGGACGCAAAACTATACCACTCGCTATTGGAGACATTCCGGCTCGAGTGACAGTTGTCTTGGGTGTTGTGCTCTGGACGGAGATCGCTTGTCGCTTTTGGGGATTAGGGTGGCTACAGAGGTTGCTCCCCCTAGCGGCTGAACTCACACTATTTGGGAACCTTTTTTGGGATCGGACGCAGGCAGGTGACTCTCGCTCTTGGAGACTGTGGTCTTTCTGGGCTTGGGCGCTTATAGCGCTGCCGCTTATGGCGGATTGAAGTGGTAAAGGTATGGATTCTCAATCCATATCGACGCGCTTTGCTGCCAATTTCTTGCCAATTTCTTTGCCTTGGAACTATTGTGGTGCATGTCAAGAGGTTGCAAAGCATTAACCATAATATTCCCACCAATCCAAATAAGCGAAGTCGTCATATTGGCAAGGAAGTGAAAAGGACGAGGCGTTTTCATCACTCTTGCAACGTTTTGCTCCTATGTTAACGAATGCAACTATGACGGGAGTTTGAAGTAAAATAATATTGAGTTGCCATTTAACCTGAAAAGTAGAAACGCAACGTCGCTCCGTTTTTATAGAAAATGAAAGTTGAATCATGACAGATCAACACAGATCAGCATGAAAGAAGACCTTGTCAGGATCTATATTTCAGTGATATCTCATCAGGACTATCGAGACTTAAAATGGAACATGAAAGTTATACCAGGAATAACTAACACGTCAACTTACCGGCCACATGCTTCATAACTGGAGATACCCGGGAAGCATAGAAGAGAAGTAAGACGACCTTCATAGCGTATATACCGTGCTTTACGGCTTTAATGTCGCCCTCTAGACCGTGAAAGATGACAGATGACGCGGGCACAAGCGTGACAGAGCCATCGTCTACACGGACAATCAGGCCACCATTGGAAAAACGTTCCAACCTCGAGGGTACCGAGAACTTACATAATTATTAATGCTATGGAATCTTGGGCTGCGCCCCGAACTCCCTCGGAAGTCATGCTTTCTACACATACTTTTCACCGCCACTCGACCGTACCACTTACTTATTGGAGGTCGAACGGTAGTTCCTGAACATCAAGATGATAGGCTTAAGGATGCTGAAAGGCAATATAATATAGTATTCCATACAATACTACGTGTAGTATTGATTAAGGATTTTGCTTATAAAACAACAAATTGAAGGCCGGTCCATTACTTAGTATGAGAAGACAAACCCTCCCTATCAGTGTTTCTCTTCGCCCACGCCGAAACCTGACTGTTCATATCCCACATAACAAATGCCATTATCAAGGGCGAGATCCAGGCCATCAACGTATCAACGAACCAGTTGTCCCTGGGTGAGTTACCCATGGTACCCCACCGCATTAGGCCGCCCACGAATGACGTCGAGATGAAGTAACGACCGTTCTCGAGGCCGTCAACGGATATTTGGGCGACCTCCTCCGGGCTCTGGGGCTTGTCGGCTCCCTCAATCTGCTGTGTGATTTTCGGCTTGGTCGCATTCTCGCGCTCGTAGCCGGCAGTGGTGATTGAGTTGGGCAGGATGAGGTGCACGTCGATAGGGACATCGGGGTACAGGCGGACCTCCATGACAAGGATGTCGGCGAGGGCGCGGAGGGCGAACTTGGATGGGGCGTAGGTGCCATAGCCGGCCAAGGAGAAAGTGGAGAGAACAGAGCCAGTGAAGATGATATGTTTAGCGGAGGCGGGCCGGACTTTCTCGGCTGAGGTTTTCTTCGCTCCTTGGCTGGGCTGAAGCCAGGCACGCATAATGGCATGGGACATCTCGGCCGTACCAAAGTAGTTGACATCCACTGGCGGAGCCATTTCGTGAGTACGTAGATGGCCAAAGGTAATACACCATTAATAAAAGGAATCACCACTTACTGTTGTTGTGGGCAGCTTTCATGGCCCCTTCGTCAGTCCACAGCATGGGAGTCGAGAGACCCGCCAGACACCACACAATCTCAGGCGGTTGCCCGTTATTCCAGGCGGTTGCATCCGTCACAACGCGCTCCGCATATCCGGACTCGGCGACGTCTGCTGAAATGGTGTGGAAGCGCTGTGTCTCGGGCAATTTCGCTGTGGTCTTGATACTGTTGATAGCTTCTTCGAGCTTTGGCTCATTCCTAGAGACAATGATTATATTCGCCCCTTTGCTCGCAAATATGCGTGCTACGCAGAGACCGGTGCCTTCAGAACCGCCGGTCATAAGGATTGTCTGGAAACCCAAAGGCATTTAGTCAGTCTCTGTTTGACCACATGCTTCCCCAGCCGGTGCCTCTTACCCTGCCCTCGACGGGCATGTGGTTGTGGCCGAACCAGCCCATTCTGTTCGGAACGAGAGTGAGATGGACGCATTAATCGTGGGATTGGTGTGGGAACTTGAGGCCGAGGGTTTTCAAACCGCGAATGCAACACAAGATATTACTTTTGCGGTTCCACGGTTCTTAGAAAATTCAGATGGGGTGACGGGTGATCACGCGTGAGGAGACGGCAGAGGGAGCAGATAACGACGGTCTGACTCAGTGACACCACTTGCCGCAATTAAAATGCACTTGCAGAAGTAAGGGGCACTGAAGTCGAGACCAATCGGAAGGCTGGACTGGTCGCTGAAGTTCATAAATTGCAAAATATACATATGAGTGCAATGAGACGAAGCTCAGAAACAGGCAATATCAGAAGCTGATGCCACATACATGCTACCTTCTTGGTTTAATACGCCGTCAACCACCTGCACAACCTGTGGGCGCTGGGCGTACTGTGCACATAGAAGGTGAGGCCACTTGGTGTGATTGCGGGCAGCACTGCTACCAACACCAGGATGTATTTCGCACAGTGGCCGCTGCGGCCCGTCCCCCACAAAAACTAAATGCCACTACAGAGGTGTCTGTGTTTTCTCTGCTCAATCTACACTGAATTATATATACGTTTTTCAAAAGATGATTACTATCTAGATGCTTATTTTTAATGATTAATAGCTTTTTTTAATGCTATATTCTACCTGTTAAGGTGGGGCTGCCTCGCTGGTTACCTGGTAGGTGAGGAGGGATCAAACCAACTGCAACCACCGATATGCATGTTAGCTGGGTTGAGGCGACCAGGAAGGCGAAGCTGGCAACTTCCAACAACCAGGGGCTATCTGCATGTCCATCCAACATGTCTGCTTATCTTAAAAGACGTGCTGCTGCCCCACGTGATCATTGGTGGTTGGTAAGGTTCCGGGTCCTTGTCCTTCGATCAACTCTACTTTACCGAATCCAAAGCCCCCAAGTGTGCGCTGCATGTTCTGAGCACAACTTCCTCGCCACTTTTTAGAAGTACCAACCCAAGATTAGTTTGAGTGCAACATCCCAGTACATCCCACCAGAGGCTCTTGCTACGCTGTTCCCCGAGCAGCAAGAGCAAGCGCTGGTATATCACCACTCGGAACAATCCAGGATCCGTGCACCTCCGGGAGTGTACACAATTTTTGCCTCCACTGCTTTAAGGCTGCGGCTCTATGCTAGACATATCATAAAGCATCCATCTGGAATGGATGATCTTTTCACTTGCGGTGGTAAGGACATCTAATCGTGTATACATATAAGGATTCAGCTCAAGTTAATATTTCTGCGATAGTTCTTTACCACCATTAGCGTTGGTTTAGTAGCCCATCTCACAAGTTTGGGCATGGGCCGGCACGAGGTCGTGATAGTTGTCGAGAATATAGAACTTTGTGCCGCGCACGTCAGTCCGCACAGTGGTCAAGGCAGCGGCGTAAGCTACGGTGCCCTGTTCCGGCAGCCTGGGTCGGTTGAGGTCAGAGCGAGCATCACATTTGATTATCTGGCCCAAAAAGTGGCCCGGGAATTGTTGTTCAAGCCGGAAGCCATTGACGCAAACCACCGGTCTCACGTATTTAGAGTTGATTCTTTGGTAGCCATGGAAATCAAGAACTGGGTTGGACCAAGGATATCGATGGCCGCTATCAATGAGTTGGTGACTAGAATGAGCCAATTTCAAATTAAAAAGAAAGGGAAAGAAGGGGCAACGCTGGTGTAGGTTAAGTTTGGTGGCATCTCAAGCACGATGTGATGGTTCCCAAAAGGTACATTTCTTACCATTACTTCACAGAAATTTAGATGCTATGCAAGCTTAGTAAACCTTTAGTATACTACTTCTTACACAATCTCAAAGTTTTGTTACAAAAGGCCATACTTTTGATAGAGTATGGAAAAGTGCGAATCTTGCGCCGGTTTATATTAGGTCTCTAGGTCATTATTACATTAATTTTGCAATTCATACATGAACATTGCCTTTGTTAACGCGCAGGACCGTGGCAAATCTTACTATCTATATTCATTCGCCGTGCTTAGCCTCTGACACCATTCGAGTAGAGTCAAGCGTCGAAGATGGATTGACTGGATGCTGAGCCGCCGGTTTCGGTCCGCCATGTTGTGACCAGTAATTACAAGCATCATGAAGAAAGACTCAATAATGCTTGGTGGTACATTGCAAAGAAGCTGACCTGTAGTAGACCATTCCATGGCAGTAGCTCCAATCAAGAGACCAACGATGCATACGATGCCAACAAGGACTACAGAGGGGTGTGAGGTTGTAGTGACTACCCATGTAGATATCCGTTGATTAAGCGTTAAATCCACATGGTGGTGGTGGCTCTGAATATGGATGTGGTTGAAAGTATTAAAGTCGTTGTGATGGACTTCTTCAAATGCGTCATTTACGTAGGATTGCAGACGTGATTGTACGTTGTCCAGAACGAAACCGTCATGCATCCCGATCAAGCCAGCGTAGGTGCCAATAAGCAGCCACCAGTTATCGTTAAATGACATGAGCGGCCCGATAGCGAGCCAAACCACGAGAACGGCCATTAACAGGACGATGCCAACCATCGTTCCGACGACGGAGGCGTAGTAGAATATAGCGCGCTGGACTCTACTGATCTCCGGAGGTGGGATTGTAACTTGTGGGTTCGGAGCCTCGTCGCCTGTCAGCGCTCGGAGATTCAGTTCCACTTCGGCGTCCACTCGACACAGAGAATCTAGGCAAATGGCTGTAAATACTCCGTGTCGTTCTCGTACGTTGGCGAGAAAAGCAAAGATGAGAAGCATTAGTGCAGAGGTAGATGAGTTGATGTATAGCTGCCATTCATCGCTCCAACCAGTGGACGGCCCAAACCCGATCCAGATGAAGATGCAGATCCAGAACAGGGAGATGGTAGCCATGTGACCGATTATATCGGAGAAAGTTGTCGAGATTCTGTCGAGCCACTTTTCGGCAGGAAGGTCGATTTTCGACATGGTAACTTCATGGATTGCCTGCATTTCGACAAAGCCGGGGGTCACATAGCGACCACTTCCCACGACTTCGCGGACCATGCGGGTGTGACTGATAGCGCGTGACTGGAGCGTCGCCGCCACCCTCATGCCCGATTTGTACTCGTTATGCTGCTGGCGCATAAGGAGCGAGTCATAGATGTAACACACAATGGCCTGAACGTTGGAGATGATGACAGCCCAGCTTACGGAGTTGCCGAAAGGAATGCCAAGGAACGCCCAGATGAGGAGCCCAAAGACGATCATGAGAAGAGTGAATTGAGATCCTGAAAAGCGTACGACAGCGTCCAGCCATCGATCCGAGAGCCCAGCTTCTTTTCTGAGAGCCGAGCCTGAGGGGTCTTGGCATAGGTCAGGAGGTCGGCGACTTGCAGATGGAAGCAACTCGATGGCCCCATGGCCATCCGCGTCAAGACGTTGATGTGAAGGAGTGAGTTGAACTGGAGCGGAATGTGTTACTTCTTCCATCGAACCAGGGGCTCGGATGAGTCTGGCCAGGCGACCTATCAGACTTTTGGGTCTGATGTTCTGTGCACAGTCGAAATCCATGTTTCAGCCGGGAAGGAAGTCTGGCATCTCAAGCACAAGTGTTGCAAGTTTGCAAACCAAGAACAGAGTTCGAAACAGTTGGCTCTTTTAAAGACTGGTTGAGGGTTCATCTTCTTAAACAGCGGTTTGGTGATCCTGAGTATGTTGGGTGAAAAAGTTTTGATTATTGTTACCTCTAAAGTGCTGCAGAGAAGTGCCTGAATATTATATCCCCATAGGTTGACTATGTAGACATCTTCAGTAGCTACGAGGCGAAGCTCAGTTATGCCGTGTTAACCGATTTCTGTTCCTAAGCTCGGCCCAGATTGACGGTTCTTCTACTACGTGCCAATGAAAATGTACGCCACAATGTTATACATTGTAAGCCGCTATCCGTAGCCTTTAAAATGCCTCACAAAATTCCAGGGTATGCATCGCTGGTCCTCTCCACAAAAAGTGCTAAAGGGATAGCTGCTAGCTAGCGCCGTCGCCAAAAAGCTTAGCCTGCACTACACACGCTGCGGCGCTGGCATTTCTACCCAGCCTGCGTCAGCCTGTAAAAATGCACCGCTTCCCATATACTGCACATTCTTTGGGCGTTGTATATGATGAGAATTATATAGGCACGCATCGGAATGAACACCAGAGACTAAACCAGTGTAATGTACTTTCTCCTTATTCTTTGCTTAAACGGGGGGAATATTCTGATTGATAAGATGTGCCCCCGTTGCATATCTAGCAATAGGAGCCATATCATTTGAGATCAAATGCCGCAACCTTGCCACGAATCACGACAAGAAATTGAAGCCTCTAGTTCCTGTCGACTAACGCAATAGCGGTTTTCAAGTCTAGAAACAAGCCTTTTAGCCGGTGAGAGATCACTCTTTGAGACGTTACACTCAACTACTGACCAGGGTGGGACGGTCTGGTGGCTGCACATTAACTCAAGTCGCAAGAGTGCTTTCGATAATGGTGCACTAACGTAGTTGTTGCGCCACGCGTTACCGCTTTCTTGCCGACTCCCGAGCGTGTCTCTCTCACGCCTCATGCCGACATTGCCGCTCTCCCTGGTTCCTTTCATGGGCTTTATTCACACAGGACTAGCCGGGCAGGAAAGCTAGACCGATTGCCGGTCGTGAGACGTTCTTATGTAACTGTGCCCTGGCAAGCAAGCAAAAATCCACGGCAGCACGCACCCATTGTAGCTCGAAGCCCTGGTGAAGTAGTTGTTCCTAGCGACCATTGCACCTTGCTTGCCTGAAACTTAGTACTTCTGAACGGTGGTTAGTCCCAGTTTGTCAATAGCCACATCAGGAGCTTGCTCGGTAGCTGCCGTCGAAAGCTACTGGCATCCGTTGTATGTTCCCTCTCTAAAGCCCCCGTCCTTCTCATGTTTACATGTTCTGCTGGAAGCAGATTGTTTCGCATCTATGTCTTACTAAGCTATGCATGAAGTTGTAGCTCCATGCTACCACGTTCCACCTCGACTGTCACTGTTGTCAAGGTGCTTGGTCGGATTCCTTTGCCCTCTACACCACGGGGCCTCTCCTCACTGATAGTGTTTGGGCCACCGTTCTATTCAGTGTACCTATGTTGCAGTCTCCGGTGACCATGCCCGATACTCCACCAACCATACTGGTTCCGTCCCAACCGCTCGTTTTGGTCCTGGGGAAGGTAAAAGTATCCAGCCTTGCATTCACCGAGTCTGACTCACCAGCCAAAACTGAGAGGTGCTTCGTACCCACGAAAGTAGCAATGCATCCAGCCAGCCACTGGATGCGATCACCGATCCTGCAAAACAAAAGCAGGTGACGGTTACATACGGCCCAAACATTGTCGCTACATGGCCCTGTGCTAATAGGGCGTTGTCAATGATATGCACAAGAAACCTTGCGGAGCGAACTTCCACGGCACGCCGCAACCACGCACTGTTAGCCTGCATTGGCTACACGCACCTGTGAATTGGTCGGGTCCGCATACCTAGTTGCCCAGGTCGGTGATGAGGTCAACAGGTATTATACCTCCAGCTACCTGAATGGCTAGATTTGAGTCAAGAAGCGGGCTGCTCTGATTTCAACTTTGTCGATTTTTTTCCCCTTCGATTTGACGACTGCAAGCTCCTTCTAACTTGGCAATAACTGCGCTCTGGGTCCTGTTGCCGACACAGCCAGTCTCGCGCATTACTCAGAATAAGGACCTCGCCAACTACGGCCCTGTCTCCACCGCTGCCTTTGCTTCTCCCCAAGGTGTTCGGTGGCTTTCTTGTAAGCTCAGCGGCTCAACGACGGCTGGATGTACAGGGTCATCCACGTATCCGAATGTTCATAGTCTCTGTCCGCATCCTCGGTTATTGAAGACTGTTTAGATATAGAGTTTTCCGTCCGGCCTGCTTCCGTTATCATGGTATACTATACCGTGGCACGATGGAGTTCAGTGCTTGGGTAGCTAGCAGTTGAACGAGATAGAGCAATGCAACTCGTAGTGGTTGCTGAATGACTTCGTCTCAAAGTTGACCTAGCTCAGAAAGATGGCCGGTCAACAGGAATGGGGCAGCGCAAAAGCCAAGCTGGAATACAGTCAATCACGGACTCCGCAGTGTTTTGCCATATTGCGATACTAGCACATGATTTATAACAGCTCAAAGGGTAGCTCAGTTCAGTGAACAGACGGATGGCCCATGCCCATGCCCACGTTTTCGATATTCAATAGAGATCCACAAAAGTTGAAACAAATAACCCAAGTAACAGTTCTCTGACTGGCGTGTTGCCGCCAAATCAACAGCATACGCATGAAACGGAAGTACTTTGAAATCAATAGAGGCCATCTCTCCAATCTGCCTGGAGATGTAGTCAGAAGGCAGGATGGGCAGTGGGGGCTGTCGAGCGGCAATACCCCGGTTGAACAAGGGGGAGCTTCCCGTTGGCGTGAACCAATGGCAGCCGCGCGGTGGCACGTGCACCTATCGCAAGCGGATTCCTTGTCGCGACTTGGGCGACCGTCCAGTGCAGAAGGTGAAGGTGAAAGTGAAAGTGAAGTCGAGTCGTCGAAAGTTATCGCCCGCGGCCCGCCAGCCTCACGACCCCCAACGTCGCCGTTTCTTTCTCTTCCGATCCCCCGTCGTCCCATCCGTTTGCGCAGGTTGCCCAGGGCGATTCACCTCTTCCGCTGCACCGGCTTGGTTTCATTCACTTGACAACCATCGAGTTAATCACTGTGCAAACGGCCTCCAGACCCCTCGGCCCAGAGCTCGCAAACTACATTACATTCACACTGCCACTCCCCGACCCGACCATCCATCCACCCATCCACCAACGAATCCCCAGCTCTCACCAGCCCGACTCGCCACGATGCCCATGGACGCCCGCGAGCTCGCCCAGCGCATCAAGACGCTGCAGACCTCGGTCACCAAGAACGACCCGCCCTCCGAGGTCATCGCGCAGCTCGAGGCCATCAAGCGGGATGCTGCGCCCACCGAGGAGATGCTGCGAGTGAGTTGCCCAACGGCGCATACATCGTCACGCCCAACTTTGCAGTAATATTCCCTCGTCTAATCTACAAATAACTAACCCCGCGTTTCCCCCCTCCCAGAGCACCAAGGCCGGCGTGATTGTTGCCCGACTCAACAAGAACACCAACAAGGATGTCGCCCGCCTGGCCGGCGAGATCGTCGCCAAATGGCGAAAGAACGTCGAGGCCGAGAAGAAGGCCCGCGACGCCAAGGGAAAGCCCTCGCCCTCCCCCGCCTCCCCCGCCCCGAAGCCTGCCGCCGGACCCAAGAAGAAGTTCGAGGGCGATGCCGAGAAGCGCACCTTCAGCACGGAGAAGGTCGACACCAAGCGCACCGGCATCCAGGAGCGCGACGGTTGCATCGGCCTGATCTACAACGGCCTCGCCTACCGATGCTACGAGCCGGCCGAGACGGTGCTCCAGCGCGCCATGGAGGTCGAGAACGCCGCCTACAAGTTCTACAACGGCACCACCAAGGAGTACAAGATGAAGATCCGATCGCTGTTCTCCAACCTCAAGGTCAAGACCAACCACGAGCTCGGCCAGGGCGTCATGTCCGGCGAGATCGCGCCCGACAAGTTCGTCCGCATGTCGTCACAGGAGCTCATGTCGGCCGAGCAGCGCCGACTGAACGCTGCCCTGGAGAAGGAGAACCTCAACAAGGCCCAGGTTCCCATCGCCGAGAAGAGCATCAGCGAGGAGCTGCAGTGCGGCAACTGCAAGGCCAAGAAGGTCAGCTACACGCAGGCGCAGACCCGCAGTGCCGATGAGCCCATGACGACCTTCTGCGAGTGCATGAACTGCGGCAAACGTTGGAAGGTAAGATTTCGTACCCGATTCGTGTGATTTGTGTAAAGTCTATGCTAACTATGTACAGTTCTCTTGATCGCCTTTTTCCTGATTCCCCCCGACTGGTCATCTTGCAACCAAAGATGAGCCGGCTTCCACACACAGGCTTGCTGAGGCAGGTCGTTCTTCTGAATGATTTATGAGGATTTGCAGGGTTAAGCGCGAGGGCGTTGGCTGCGAGGCGTCACTATTTTCACCGTGACAAGATGCGACTCGGAGCGGTCCATCTTTCTTGAGGATTGAGCAGAGCTAATCTTTGCTTTCCGTCCGACTTCGAGTGTTCCCGCGAACACGGTCCCAGATCCAGGAAGGAGCGGCTTGGATCGCTGTATCATAGACCAGGACCCCATGTGTATAGATTTGATGGGACAACCAAGATCACAACCAAAAGGTCGCCCGCGCTACGTGCATGCCCCTTAGGAGTGAGATGTCGTGATTGATTTTCGTCCCCCGACTACATGCCCAATCTCGTTGCAAGACTTTCTCTGCTGGCACCCGATTCTCGTTCTCCATTTCACTTTGATGCGTTCTGGACCGGCTTGATGCCCAGGGCCTCGAACAGGTCATCAGGCTTGGGCTCGTCCTCCAGTCCCATCTCGGCGATCCTCTTCCAGAACTTGCTCAGGTGCCTCGTGCCGGAGTCGCACAGCACGGTGACGACCTGGCTGCCCTCGGGCAGGCTCATGGCCGTGACGGCGGCGGCGACGCAGTTGACGGAGCTGCTGCTGCCGACAAAGATGCCGTCGTGCTCGACCAGCCAGCGCGCCATCCGGCAGGCCTGCTCGTCCGAAACCTTGACGGCGTTGCTGATGTAGTCGCGGCCCGCGTTGAAGTTGTGCGTGATGCGGTTGATGCCGATGCCCTCCACGATGGTGTCCACCTGCTGCCGCCGCCGCGTGCCCTCCTTCTCCGTCGCCGAGTACATGACCCCGTACTTGACCTTGTTGTACAGCCCGCTGCCCTGCGGGTCCGCCAGCACCACCCGCAGGTCCTCCAGCTTGGCCTCCTCCTTCAGGTACTTGGCCACGCCCGAGATGGTGCCGCCAGTCCCGGCCCCGGCCACGAAGGCGTCGACGCGCCCGCCCGTCTGGTAGAAGATCTCGGGCCCCGTGCTGCGGAAGTGCGCCAGCCAGTTGGCGCCGCTCTCGAACTGGTCGGCGAAGAAGCCGCGGCTGTCCGTGTCGGCGGCCTCGGTGTGGTCGCGGGCGCGGCGGCGCGCCAGGTTGACGAAGTGGTCCGGGCTGGTGATGGGGGCGACGCGCACGCGCTCGACCGTGGCGCCCAGGTGGTGCAGCAGGTCCGACTTCTCCATTGCCTGGTCGTCGGGCATGCAGATGTGGGCGCGGTAGCCCTTGGCGCGGGCCAGGGCGGCCAGCGAGATGCCGGTGCTGCCGACGGTGCCCTCGTAGATGGTGTCGCCGCGGCCCGGCACCAGCAGGCCCTCGGCCTCGGCCGTCTGGATCATGGACAGCGCCACGCGGTCCTTGGGGCTGTTGCCCGCCCCGTTCAGGAACTCGGCCTTGGCCAGGATCGTGCGCCCCGTCGCGTCCGACAGCGACTTGATCTCCACCAGCGGCGTGTTGCCGATGCAGCCCTCGATACCCACGACGGGGCCCGCGGCCGGCGGCAGCTGGGACCCCAGGTCGGACTCGCCGCCGACGGCCTCCTCGTGGTCCTCCAGCTGCACGGGGCCCCAGAAGAAGCTCGAGCGCCGCCGGGCCGTGTCCGCGTCCGAGACGGCGAGGCTGTTTCTGTGGGACCTCCGGCGCGTTATCGCGCGCTGTTTCTTTGCTTGCTGATACCGCCTTTCCAGGTCGGGGTAGAAGTCTTTGAAGCCCAGCGTCACCAACACGCCTGCGACAAAGGCGACGGCGACGGCGGCCGTGCCATAGGCTTTCGGATGAGAGCTCAGAGACATTGTCTAAGTGTGGTCTGAACTCATCCGGTCATGTCCCCTGATAACTCATGAAGCCATTCTCATAAGTCGTTAGATTTTCCGTGGTACATCGTAGGCCGGGTTGGCAATTGAGATGTCTCTTCTTATATTAATGATCTCGACATACGTTTAAGAGCTGGTACTCAAATAGTCGCAAGTCCAAAGCACGGCCCCTAAGTTAGTGCTGGACTTGCACGTCATTTTCCAGCCACCTGGTCGCAACTGTCCCCTGAGCCCAACCCACTGTAGCAGGGAGCTCGGGCCAGCGTCACCGCATCTACCCGCTAAACAGCAGACAAAAGTCCACACGACCACCGGCTTTAACAGATTCCATTCGGGGGAAGCTGTTTGACACAACCGTCCAGCTATGGACTCACCGATCGTGACGCAGCTGTTCCGGCAGCTCTTTCGGCACCCGGCATGCCGCTCGCGCCAGAACCTGGTCGCGTTGTCCTCGTGCATCCAGCATGGCCGCAGCAGGGTCCAGCAACAGAGGAGGAGCATGGCCTCGCGGCAGGGCGTCACCCGCGGTGGGAAGCAGGCCTCGAAGACGAGCGAGAGCAATTGGCAGCAGAGGACCGAGCTCTTCTCGTTCGATATGACCGAGGAGTACAAGGCGTATCCCACGGTCACAGCGAACGAGCTTCGGAGTCGCAGGGAACGGCCGAAGAAGGTCAAGATGTTGATGCGAGACTTCATTGAAGGTGCGTGTTGATAAAATACGTATCTGCGCGCTTGGTAGGACCAAAGGGCTGACTAGAAGTGCGTAGACAGCTTATACAACCCGCATTATGGCTACTTCTCGAAACAGGCCGTCATCTTCTCTCCCGGGGAGCCCTTCAACTTCAATGCGCTGCGCGACGAGCCGGCTTTCCAAGAGGAGAACAGTCGTCGATGGACCGAGTTCGAGGATAAACTCGACGCCAAGTTGCCCGAACCAAACGACACGCGGCAGCTGTGGCATACGCCGACAGAGCTGTTCCGACCTTACTACGGGCAATCGATAGCCCGCTATCTCATGGCCAACTACATCATGAAGACGTATCCGTATCACGACCTGATTGTGTACGAGATGGGCGCGGGCAGAGGAACATTGATGTTGAATATCCTCGACTATATCCGCGCCGAGGAGCCGTCCGTCTACGACCGGATAAAGTACAAGATTATAGAGATCAGTCCTGCGCTCGCAGAGATTCAGAACTCGCAACTTCTGACGTCTGCCGCCAGCCGCGGTCACGCCGACAAGGTCGAGATCATCAACCGGTCCATATTCGACTGGACCGAGCGGGAGCCATCGCAATGCTTCTTCATTGCGCTTGAGGTGTTTGACAACTTTGCCCACGACATCATCCGTTATGACCTGAAAACGGAGGAACCGTTGCAGGGCATGGTTCTCATTAACGAGAACAACGACTTTTACGAGTTCTACGAGCCCGTGCTGGATCCCGTTGCGGCACGGTATCTCCGCGTACGCCACGTAGCGACCAACGGCCGCTACGAGGTCCCGTACAGCAACAGCAAGGTTGTCCGGTGGGCCAAGGGCCAGCTGCCGTTTGCGCCCAACCTGAGCGATGCCGAGTACATCCCGACGCGGCTCATGCAGTTCTTCGACGTCCTGGAGAAGTACTTCCCGGCGCACCGGCTCGTGACGAGCGACTTCCACACGCTGTCGGACGCGGTCAAGGGCCTGAACAGCCCCGTGGTGCAGACGCGGTACCAGCGGCGCATGATCCCCGTGACGACGCCCCTGGTGCACCAGGGCTACTTCGACATCCTGTTCCCGACCAACTTCCGCACCATGGAGGCCATGTACGGCGCCATCACCGGCAAGCTGTCCAAGGTCATGACCCACGAGGAGTTTATGCAGCGCTGGGCCTTTGTCGAGGACACGACGGTCCAGAGCGGCGAGAACCCCCTGCTGAGCTGGTACAAGAACGCCAGCGTCATGATCACCACGAACTAGAGTCGTGAGAGGGATTATGTGTAGAAGAGAGTTGTGTAAATATCAAGGAGTGTACCATTACAACTATCAAATCAAAGACAGAAATGTCACCATTCAAACGACTGTTTTCCATACTGAGTGCACGTTGCTCTTCCTCTGCTTGCCATCCAACATGAGAGATTCATACGAAGAAAGTCAAACCGTAGAGAATGAATTCAGACCGCCTGTCCCCCTGATTTTGTCCCCAACGTAATCCTAGCCACAATTCTCCACAGAATGAGCGAGATGATTGGCTATTAAGCCATTGAATATCGCTGCCACATCGTCATGACAACCCAGGCAAGGATTGGAATGGCAAAGATTGGCCGGGATAGCAGTCTCAGCGCTCCTGTCGCGATACTCTCGACATTGGGTTGTAGCAGCTTCGCGATGGAGAGGAACCCGAAAGTCCATACGACAGCAATGTAGAGGCGTCGGTCACGGAGCGCCTGTGTGTCGATATTCACGGCGGGACTAGTTACCCAGTTGAGCAATACTTGGATTTTGCCTGTTTGGAGTGTCAGAGTATTCTTAAGAATACTACAGATAGTTTGATATCGTAGTCTTACCGTACAGCCTGTTGTAGACAGTTTGTGGTCTCTCGAGCTTTGCGGCAGGGGTGTCCATGCTGGGCACTTCCTCACCGCGGTTGCGGAGAGCGTCGCGAAGCATCTGGAGCATGCTTCGATCTACACCTGAAGACACAGAAAGCTCGCGGTGCTGGTAACACCCGTCCTCGAATTCATGGTAAACCCGCGGATGGTCACTTCGCACGTTGCATTCAGCTAGTTGGAGTGCTGAGATTCCACAAGGAGAGCGTTTAGTTATGTCGGCCCCGGCACGAATCAGTATCTTAACCACTGGTTTCATGCCAGCCCACAATGCTATCATCAAGGGCGAATAGCCTTTGATCGCCTCTCGTTCGTCGTCTGGTGCGTCTTGCGGTATGTAGTTTATGCCGTGTCGGAAGCTCTCTGATGACAAGAGTCGTCGTATCAATTTATGAGCATGAAGAGAGAGAGTGCCTCGGTCACAATCTCCCAAGAAAGAACAATAACCGTATTTGTACGTTGCAATGTCGTGGATGAGCAGTCGGAGGTCGCGTGGAAAACGGCAGTCCATGTTTTCGTAACGGGAGATACAACCTTCAATAGCTATCCAAAAATACGCTTGCATCTTATGGTGCTCTCCCATAGGTGATCTGATGGCCGCATAGCTGTGCTCGAAAATGGGGAGCAAGGGGCTTTCGATATGACCAGCACGGCCAAGGCCGTTTTGCGTATCTTCTTCAAAGCTGAACGCCACTTTGTCGAGAATTTTGGCCCTAAATGTAATGTCTCGTACCATTCGGTACGTTACATAATGATTCCAAAAGAGAACCTCCAGTTGCGGTTTTGTCAAAGCTCTGCCCTCATAGTGGCGCAGAACTAGGTCACAGACTTGATCATCTCCTCTCCGGACTGATGGATCCAGCATCAGCGATACATCAAACCCGCTTTGTATGAGGTATCGGACGAGGCTGAGATTTCCGTTCATTACAAAGTAATCCATCAGCCTCTTAAGCTGCCAGGTGTCATTCATGTCTTGCATCTCTCGCACGACACGCTCAAGAGTGAATTTCGATGCAATATCTCTTCTCTTCCCAAGTACCAGTGACAGGAGCTCGGGATTCATATAACCCATGCCGACAAGGAGCCAGTGGTCAAGATACCAGTCTTTCATGAGCGTGTCGAGTCCACCTAAATCGTATATTACTTCTACTATATCTTGAGCACAGTGTTTGTAGGGTAGAAGATGGCTGAGATGTGAAGATGGTACATATTTGTCGATACGGTACCTGAAGCCCAATTCAAAGGTTTGATCGTACCAGCCGGTAACAGGTTCGCCTAGATTATCTTGTAGTTCCTTGGGGACCGAATGTTGTAGGAAGTAATCGCTATGAGCATAGTCTGGGTGTATATCCAGAACGTGGCACCTATAGTCGATCGCCTGGTTCATTAAACTACCTGTCGTTAGCTGAGCATCCCATAATCCAAGGTTCTGGACTTACAACTGCGTCTTACCCACGTCCGATCGGCAACCTATGTCTAGAAGCCATTTGAACGTTCTGTAATACTCAGGGTAGAACCTTGAAAGCGCATGTGATTCAAATGCAATGTTCTTGGAAAATTTTGAAGTGACGCTCCGATTCTTTTGGGCTGGGAGGCATATTTCCAACTTCTTTTGCATCAAAGCAGAGCACTGATGTAAGCATCTTTGGCAGTTTGAGCATTTGGATTGAACTGGAAATTTCCTGCAAACTTTGTGGCTCATCACGAAACTACTACTTGGTCAATATCATAGGCCAAAGAAGCAAGGGAACGACCGTAGCCTACAATTCCAGGATTGGTACCACGAAACCATAACCGTCTTGAACGAAGTCACCAGGCGTAAAACGACGCTCATCGAGCAGAAGTCTCAATCTCGCAAGGTCAGGAGTTAGAGAATGCCAACCCCTGCCTTTTGTTTGCGGCCAATTAGGTTGCTTGCAAGAGCAGCCGGACCCACAACGGACAAACCCAAGGGCTCTGATCACCTCGACATCTTCACAAAGTCTGCCCATCCTGTTCTGGACGGTCGCTGAAAGCCCGTGTGGACCCGTCTTTACCAGGCATTTCCATTCCACGAAATTGTGAGAGAGAATGCGGGAAGGTTCAAATCTGACTCCATACGCAATGCTCCTTCTGTTCCAGGAATGACTGGTGGAGACGTATAGTCGACCAAATGGGGTTTTGTACGTCCGCGAAGCGTAAGAGAAGGTCAATACCCTTTCTCGACTGTCCTCGTGGGTGTCATCCCAGCCTCGCTTACCGCTTTCGACAGGTTCATGGGGACTTCGTCGCCTTCGACGGACAATATCTCGATTGCGATATTTGATCTCATTCGAGAGAGCCTGCATCGCAGGGATGACTTGATTCTCCAAACTTTCCTGTATGCCCAGCAAAGTCGAGTGATGTGATGTTTGTATCAGCTGCGTGTGCTGGCTGTGTGCATTCAGATTCCCCACAATGGTAGCCACATGCGCCTCCATAGATGAGTGCATTGACATGGCTTGTAAATGGTGTGCTTCAATTCTTCTAGCGGCGTCATTGAAAATTTCCACTGTCCGCATGTACATGGCTTGTGACTTTTGATCACGTGTTGTCAATGATTCAGAGACGTCCTCGATGGCACGCTGGGTAGACATGTGCATTGTTCTGTCTTCTGCCTGCCCATGAGTCAAGGAAGATACGATCGATTCGAGAGTATCGTCTACCTCCAGTCTGAAAGCAAGAGTGACATTAGTGAAGATATCTCAACCATGGTAAACCTTGTTACCTATCTGTAGACTCTTGACTCAAAGATTTGGAGCTGGGACATTTGGTACTGCAGCATGCTCTTGTACTTCTGGATATCTTTCTCGTTCAACTGCATCCGCGCTGCTGTCTCCAGTTTCTGCAGGCCACTGCCTCGTGTTCTTTGCTTTGCGACCTTCTCCAGAAGAGTCTTGAAACGGTTCACCTCATTCTCAGACTCTTGGATATAGCCGTCAAAGAAGACTCGCTCTTCGTTCGTTATTCGACTCATGGGTATCGCGGCATAGTCATCTTTGAGCTCTGGGCAAAGTCAGCCGTAGAGTTCATGTAACTCCTGTCCTTCCCATACGTACCTGTAAGGAATCTTTCATGCTGTCTTATTCGAGTCTGTGCTGTGGATAGATCAACTGGCCCTTCTTTGACAGCGGTGATCAAGTCATCTAGGCGCTTCAAAAACTTGATGGAACTGCCTGCCAGTCCCACCACAGCTCCGACGCAGCCAACCACTTCCATGTTTATTCGACACCAGATGTGATTTTGTCAAAGATTGTGATATTCTTTAGTTCCAAGGCAGGATGATATTGCGGAGAGAATTTGCCACTCTATGCTACAGCATCGCAAGGCTCTGGTCATCGGATATGGAAATACCTTTCGGATCGGGCTATTGGTCTACTCGTTGCATATTATGCAGCTCAGCCCCAGTCTTCGCACTACCGTCAGTCTTCCACTGCTGCGCCCTTCTCCCAGTGACTGCTAAACCACATCCCCATTGGTCTTCAGAGCCGAGCCAATTGTTCCAGTTTGTCGAACCTCAGCGTATTGACAAATCTTCGCTGGCCCATGTCTGCTGCTAGCAGAACACAACGTGACACAGCTCTTTTGACAGTGGCTCGCCCGTTATTCTCTCGTATCTCCAAATGGAGCCCAGCATATCATTGTGGTATACGCTCCACGCGTCTCTATTAAAGAAAGGAAGCACAGCAAGGGACGACAATGCCAGTAGCTCCGCCACAGATTCCTCGGCTTTTCTATGCACCTCTTCCCGTAGATTTCGAACCATCAATGCTCTACGCTCGTCATATAAGGTAACCGTGAGCATATGGGCTTTCCTCAGTAGATTGTCGTATGTTTCGGCTTCGCTGTATCTGTAAGCCCCGAAGTGACACACTGCGTTGCGCAATGGAACAACCTCCATGAGAAACTGGCGTATCATGGAATAATCCGAGGTCTCGATCTCAAGAGGCGCATCGGCATCATAAAGGAGATTCTCCAACTTCTTTCTCCCAAGCAATACTTCGTGGGGCCCTTGAGCAAAGTTTCGGCGGTGGAGAGAAGGCCAGGACTGCTTTGCCCTTTCGAACAAGGCTTCTTGTGACAGTTTTACGGCTTTGGATAGTACGTCGTAACCAAAGCCGCTTGGCAAAAAGATTTGCTTTGCTGATTTGCTCAACTCGATGGACCTGGAGAGAAACGTGCGCTCTGCGACTATGTTTCCACGGAATCTTAGTTCCTCGTACCTGGTTCGACTCCACGAAAGATCAATCAGTGGAGTATCCGAAGATCCACTGGTGGATTGTTGAGCCAGTGACCATTTTTCATCTGTGTCGCAGTCAAACTGGCCAATCTCGTTTGTGTCGAACTCTGCTTGATCCGGAGGAAATGGGCATTCAAACTCGTCCGTGAGTGGGTATTGATTTCCGGGGGGTTCCGATTCATTATTGCAACCAGTGATCTGATCTTGCGGTTCAGATGTATATTGACCGATGTGGTGATCTTGATCACTTATATTTTCCACTTGAACTGCACATCTACAATGAAATGAACAGAACTTCTTGCGATATGCCCTTGGACTTCTTCGGCTTCCGGTCCGAGATGGGCCTCGGGCTGCTGAGTGGGTGCCAATTAGTATTGTTTTCCAAATGCTCTAGGGACAGAATGTCTATGCAAACCTGTTATCTTGGAGATAAATGGTCTCAGCTTTGAGTTCTCATGCCTCAATACAGCGATCATCTGTTTGAGACACTTCGTTTTCTTTGGGGCTGATGAGACCATGTTGTCTTCCATAGTGGTTTGATTTGACGCCATTGAAATTGGCGTATAGTAAGTTGATCATGATTTGTTAAAGAAATAATAGCAACATGAGTTGGTGGGTTTTTCCTTCTTTATTTATAGATCTGAGAGTGGAAGACTTGGGCGGGGCATAACAATAGAAGAATCCAGCTACATTATGCGTTTACTTAGACCAAGTAACTTTGATGAACTGTTATTTCTCAATTGAATGAAGTTGCGAAGCATTGTCCTAGATTACAAGGTGAGCTATTGTAGTAGAACAATAGGTGCCACGAACCAACTATCAACCAACCTGTGCGATCAGATTATACGCTGTTCAAGCTACCATTCTAGTTCATTTATAAGCTAGTCCGATTCGGGAATCCAATATGCATTTCGGAGAAGATTGGTGCGCAACTTCAGGGGGCTTTGAACTTGAATGTGGGTGGAACAAGAATAGACAATAAGCCACCAGGCCGCGAATTTATTCACTGCGAAAGCATGGCAGCCATCATGGTCAAAGTAAACACATAGTGATGTAATCGACAATCATGTTTGTGTCTCCATCAGAGATGGCTCATTGCTCGAGATATGCCAATACTCTCCCAAGCACCAGGTGCTTGATTTGACGCCATGCCTGTGACAAGAGCTCAACGTTATAACGACCATACTATGTGAAGCGCGATCGGAGATTTGGGCGTTGCATCCTGACAGAGACCTTTTCACGCGGATGAATCAAAACACATTCTCATCATAAACAGACAATATATGTACAATTATCTCTATGATAGGGGGTATTTACCAAGAATCGAAGCAGCCCGGCTAACAGCCAGAACGGTGCAAAATAAGCCAAGCTAGGTCGGCATCAAAGTAACAATTATATACAGAAGAACGTTGAACCTCTCTCCATCTCTGCAAGAGTATGCGGGCCCCCTTTGCAGAGTCTCTCCCCTCCATCCCCATCTACGCCAGGCCGACTGACCCTTAGATCTTGCCGAATCCAGCGGTGCTCGAGACGCTCTTGGCCGCGGCGGCGGTGGAGGCGCTGGCGATGTTCTTGCCCTTGAAGTTGGACAGGAAGCCGGTGGTGGCGGAGCTGAAGGCGCCGGAGCTGCCGAAGGCGTTGGCCTGGCAGGCGCGGCCGAGGTAGGAGGAGCAGGCGGCGTTGGAGTTGGCGTCGGGGCTGGTGAAGAGCTGGCCGGCGATGGGGTCGAGCACGGGCGCCGGCACGTTCTGGAACACGTTGCCCTCGGCCAGGATCATGGCGCCCTTGTCGACCTCGAACGCGTGGCTCGAGCTGCTGTACCAGTAGTTGTTGACGGCGTGCAGCAGGGTGTTGCCGGCGACCTTGGGCCCGCGGCCCGAGGTGTGGTGCACGTAGTTGTTCTTGAAGGTGACCAGGTCGCCCGAGCCGGTGAAGTACAGCGCCCAGTAGTGGTTGCCGTCGCAGGTGGCCGAGTAGTTGCTGACTCCGTCGATCTCGCAGTTGGAGATGGTGACTCTGTTCGAGGCGCTGTTGCCGAGAACGATGTGCTGGCGGCCGATCTTGGAGGTCTGCGTTCGTGTTAGCATGACATGTCTCACTTGGTGTTTGAAGCTCGAGTTTTGCTCAAGAGGGTTATCGCATACCTTGACGTGGTCGATCCAAACCATGTCCGAACCGTCGAGAGTAATAGCATCACCACCCCAGACGTACTGAGGGTTCAGCTCGGTGATGTGGATGTTCTGGACTGTAGCACTAAGAGTTAGTGATCGATAACAAGAGCCTTGATTATAGCTTGCGTCTGTCGAGGGGTGTATAGCTCCGGAGACACTGGTGTCTCAGGCTCCAAAATTCCTGAAAAGGGGTAGCAAGTGACTCCGAGGTAATACATACTGATGATGTTCTTGGCACCGCTGACAATGCGCAGACCCTTGCCCCTGATGACGCCCTTGGAGCCGGAGCCGATCAGACTCTTGTTGGAGCCGACGGTGATGCCGAGCAGGCCGGCGTTGTCGTACTTGACCGAGACCTTGGGGGCCGAGGCCTGGTAGTTGTCGCACCACTTGTCCTTGTTGATGGCGACCTGGCAGGCCGAGCCGGTGCCCCAGGGCGCGCAGCCGCTGCCGCTGGTCGTGCCCTCGGTGCCGGTGAAGTCGAACGTCTTGGTCAGCACGATGACGCGCGCCTGGCTGTCGCCCAGGTACGAGACCAGCTCCGCCGTCGTCGACGGGTACACGGGCGTCGCCGAGCCACCGCCAGTCACGCCCTTGGCGAAGCCCTCAGCCGCGCCGGACACGCCTACGGCGGACACGGTGCTCGAGAGCGCCGCGGCTGCCGCCGCGATCGAAGCCAGAAACTTCATGGTGTTGATGTGCAAGCTGGCGTGTATGTATTTCCCGTTCTCAGAACGAGGGAATAGTGAACGAATGTAATGAGAGACTTATACTGGGAAGAAAAGGAAAAAAGAGTGAATGGCCAGTTGCGACTTGATCGTATCGAGTGAGTCCTTCCCATTCCGCTTCCACGAGACACACGCCGGGTTATGTACCTGCCCTCAACCGCCGGTATGGGCCGTCCACGGTGCTCTCAGCCAGCCCCCATCCATATAGTGGCAGCCATGCCAAGCTGCTCATCTCGACGCAGGAGGCCTTGGTATCCATTATGTAAGTGAAGTGTCGGGATAGCCTCATCACGACAAATACTACCACAGCCGGCAGAGGTTCGCTGGCGACAGGGGGCGAGATCGAAACACCACGGCAGACTTAACCGAAAAGGGCCCCAGTGTCGTTCCAGGAGACAGGACACCAAGCCCAAAACCGCTACGTGCCGAGATGCGTGGAGATCCCTTCTTTGTCTGTGCCAGCAGTCCGCAAGGGCACGTGTCTATCAGAAACGATCGCGGCTCCGCAGAGCTGGGGGTTCTAGAATGCGCCGCACGCTCAATGGCCTGGCGGCCATATCCAAGAGAACGGTCGCTAAATTTGTCCCCCACCGGGGCCGGGGTGGCCCTGGCAGAGGGCCACAAAGTTGCCGGCAGCGCTGCCGAGAGATTTCGCGCCAATGACTGTCAAATTTTGCGTCACATTCGCAGCAGTGAAGCAGGGGCAAATTGATCTGAGGATACGAATCAGCCTTGCACTCAATCTTGTATCAATATATTCAAACTCTATAGTAGACAAGTTGTGTCTCCAGACTTGTCGCCATCTCCAGTGAACTCACGCGGCTGTCCCTCGCTTAGCGAGTGTAAGTGGATATTCCCAATGAAGGAAGCTTATGTCGGGTCTCCGCTTTGAGATTGGAGGGGGTTTGTATGTTTGTCGGATGCCTGCAACCCTGAAAGAGACCCATTATCTCGCAAGGACTAACTTGTACACCAGTTGCATGTTGAGTACGATGCGTCGTTCCCGCAGCTCGGGTCTCGCGGCGTAGTCATTCCTGGTTGGTCCCTTCAGCTGGCATCTTGGTTGACACGCCTCAGTGGAAAAGAGCCTCACAGCTCCACTCTATAGACCCATGAGAGAGGCTCAATTTCCACTTCAGCGCCATCATAGCGACCCGGCGTGCGATGAGGCGCGCGCGACTCAACCACCAAATGCAACATGCCGAGGTCTAGAAAAGGAAAGAAATTTACTTTTCAACGGCCAAGGCGACAAATGACAAGAAAGTTCGGTAGTTAAACATCTAGACTATATACTAGTCTGATATGTCACTATTGACGTGCATTAGTGGCCGTTGCCTTTGTCTGTTTGAATAACAGGTCCTATAACTAGCCGTAAGTATCAATGAGTCAACTGCCCCTAGCAGCATGCTTGCCATGCCCCAAGTGAAATTTTAGTCATGAAACGCCATCCTCAGAACAGTTGTCTTCTCCGAAAATATTAAGTCATCATATACTAAGTTTGTGCATATCATCTCGTTATCGCCTGAGGATGCTCCAGTCTCACAAAGCTTCTCGCCACCTTCCCCATCTTCGTAGTCTAGAACCACTTCGTGTCTCTCGTGGAGCACTATTGGTATTAATCGCAGCATCAGGCTCCGGAATGCCGGTCTTCTCGGAGACAGGAGCTTCTCTAGCCTGCAATGTTGCCGCACCTGGTTGGCCATTTGGCATGTTCCAACTCAGCATTTGCGCAAGCGTGGTGAATGGAGGCCCATTCCCATACGGCACCATTCCCGGAGGCCATGAATAACTGCTGCCGCCTGCGGGGTTAGATGAAGTTGTCGACGGGCCGCCTTGTCCGGGTGCCACGCCGCCAACTCCGTTCGGGCCAGTGGTAGGTGTTGTTGGTGTTGTTCCTGGGCCTTGACTGCTAGGAGGTATGCCATTTGGAGTTCCTGAGCTGGTGGGGGTTTGAGTAGAACCTGAGCCATTGGGGTTGGATCCTTGGCTGGGTGCACCTGGACTGAGACCGCCAGATGGAGGGGGTAAGATGCCAGGGACTGGCGAACTTGGAGCACCCGGACTAAGGCCACCGGGGCCAATTGACGAACCACCACCACTATTGCCCGAGCTGGACGGACTTGAAGGACTACCGGTGGGGTTTGGACCAGTTCCGGCCCCTCCACTGGGACCAGTCGTCGGCGTTTGGCCCTGACCAGGTGCCGTGGGTGTAGCCACGCCAGGAAGGGAGAATGTCCCTTGGCCAGTGCCAGGTTGCGAAGGAGAGGTACCTCCTGGTGGTGAGGAATTGCTGCTTCCGGGTGGTATGCAGTTGATTCCGGGTGAGCCTGGTGTACATGTTGGTAGCTGTTGGCCACTTGGCGTGGAAGCCCCTCCACTTGTAGGCGATGAGGGTGTCTGCTGCCCAGGTGCAACACCACCAGCTCCGTTGGGTGATGTTGTAGATTGAACCTGGCTGGGAGTCGACGTAGAGGCACCACTATTGGGAGGAGAGGTTGAAGTACTCGGATTTGAGCCACCTGGGGCTGTCATGCTGGCAGCATTACCGCTTGAGGGAGTACTCAAGCCTTGGCCCGCTGGGCCATTTGGCGTCGACTGGCCTTGGCCGGAAGTTGTGAGTGAGCCACCGTTTGGATTGGATGTGGGTGTTGCTCCATTGCCCCCTGGAGTGCTTACGCCTGAACCACCTGGCCCGGTTGGTGTCGTGGGATTGCCACCACCCGAAGGAGAAGTGGGACTCTGACCAGACCCCGGCGCGGTGAGACTGGCTCCATTACCGCTTGATGGAGTGCTTGCCCCTGAACCGTTAGGTGTTGAGGGACCAATACCGCCTGGGCTGTTCGGGGTAGAGGGGTTGTTTCCTCCACCAGGGGATGTATTGGGATTGGAAATGCCAGGCGTGGTAGTTCCTTGGTTACCAGGAGAAGTTTGGGTTCCAGTGTTTGAACTCGTGGGAGTCTGCTGACTGGGAGCAACTCCGCCGCCACCATTTGGAGAGCTCGGCGATGTAATCGGGCCTGGAAGAGTCGGGTTGATGCTTCCCGTCGGACCTGAGTTAGTAGAACTACCTGCATTTCCACCAGGAGATGTAGGAGTAGATTGCCCAGGGGCAACACCCCCTCCGCCATTGGGAGACGTTGGAGACGTTGGAGACGTATTGGCACTACTACCACTAGAAGTATTTGGGGTGACCGAGCCTTGTCCGGCACCAGGAGCCGTCATACTTGCACCATTGCCTCCACTTGGGTTGGTCGGAGAAGAACATTGGGACTGCGGCACAACACCACTGGGAAGCTCTGCCTTGGCCTGTTGTGTTTGCTCTCCAAACTGGCTGAGCATCGATTTCATGTTAGCGCCTGGCGTAGGCCCGATCACAACATCCTCAGTGACGATCTTCTGCTCTACTCCACCATAATCAAGCTCTACTATTCTTGGAGCAGGTCGCGGGTTAGGGTTTGGTTGTTCGCCAACTGGGGCCCATCCTCGTGGTACACCATCCGGGGTGTAAGTGATCAGAGACCAGTCGCCACCACAAGCCTGCGAGTTGTCTCCATCGCATGGAGTCATGCAATCCGAATCACTCAGCTTCTGAGTTCCATTGAGATACTGTCCACAGAAGCACTTATTGCCAAACGTAGTGGCTGCCATAGTGTACCCATTCACAATGCAATGCCGTACGCATTTCACATTTTCGATAGGGCCAATGCTAGTCTCAGGGGTAAAGTCAAGAACTGGTTGACGGGGTTGATCCGCCCAACAACCGGAATAAGTCCATCCATTTGCCGGATCCAGAATCGTGGGCTGAGAATTCGCTGGTTGTGGCTTGGAAGTCGGTGGTTGTCCCGTCGGTCTGGAGGCGACGGGAGGAACCGCGCCGCCCCCTGTAGGCATAGGGGGGATGATAGAGACCGAAGAAACAGAAGTTGGCGGTCCACCGGTGTTAGGAGCTTGACCACTGGCCCCTGGTTTGGTACAAGTGCCTGCACTCTGTCTAGGGATGCAGAACCATCCGCCGCTGCAGTGAGCGCAAGGCCACCCAAAACAACCATTGGGGCCAGACTGTGCAGGAGTCTGTGGTGGAGGGCAAAACCAGCCATCTACACAGTCATCACACGTATATCCTGAGCCAGGGCACGGTCCGTTGCCAGGGGACTGGCTGCTGGGAGCTGAGCTTGGAGGGCAGGTTGGGCAAGAGGGTTGAGGTGCACAGGGTGGATATATTGTTGAAGTGACAGTCGTAGTCGAGCCAGCCCTGAAGTAAGTAGTTGTTAGAAATACGATAATATAGCATTGAAAGTATCTTACAAGTACACGGTTGTCGTCGAAATCATCGTACCAAAGACTGTCAAGGTAGCAGCTCCACTCGCTACCTCACGTCAGTCTGGGCCTAGGAGCAGAAATGATATGTCTAGACCTACCTCCTGTATTTACAGGAGCAGTTCCAGAACCGCCGCTTTGTAGGCCTATTAGGAAAATGTTAACATTGCCAGTTCTCAAGTCATTCGGCCAAGTCCTTCAGGCGGGAGAGAACGAGGCTTACCAGAAATATTAGGAGTTCCAGAAGGCAAACCGCCACTGTTACCACTAGTCGTGCTTGATCCAGCACGCGCAGTCTGCGATGCACCATTGCTGCCACCAGGAGCCGTGCTGCCAGTTGGTTGAGAGTTTCCTTGAGCATTGGATCCTGAAGGAGAAATTCCATTGGGAGAAGTCGAACCAGAATTGAAACCAGAACTTTGGCCTGCTGAATTCGAAGCCCCGTTTCCTGATTGAGTAGGGTTTGATGATGGTTGACCATTAGAGCCACCGCCAAAGGTCGCTGAAGGAGGACCTCCATTAGGAGCAGTTGAACCAGAATTGGACCCCGAGTTTTGTGCTGCTGAGTTCGACAGCACGGAATTTGAAACGCCATTCCCAGATGTAGCAGGGTTGGAGGATGCTTGTCCATTCGAATCTCCGCCGGGGGTTGCTGAAGTGAGAGTGGCTCCCTGGGAGACAGTATTGGACGGTTGTCCAGTCTGGCCCATACCAGGAGTGGTTGCCGATGGTACTGATATGGACTGAGCAGCGGAAGCTGAGGTTGATCCACCATTACCAGTTGGGTTTGCAGGACTGGTGATACTAGGTCCTTGTGTCACGCCAGCACCCGTAGGATTGAAAGAGCCCGTTGAAGCCATGTCACCACATACACCGGTGACGGTTTGCAGAAGGCCATCCACCAACTTGACAGCCTCGCAGAGATTATGGTCAATGAGAGACACGATCCCACCCACAGGGCCATTGCTGGCTTGCAATATGGAGTTTAGACCTCCCGTGACAAGCTTCTTCACATCGTCCAGAAGATCTGTGGGAAGCACATTCGCCACATTAGAGACCACGTTGTTGACCAGGCTGTCCACGTTTGATTCGAGGTTGTCCAACAGTGAGCCAGCATTCGCTAAAGCACCATCAGGACTGAGACCAGCGGATTCGACTTGATTTGCTATAGTTGCAACTTGGGCAGCAGCATTCTGTACTTCACTCAGGACCTGATCGGCTGCAGCAGTAGCCTGAGCGACAACATCGGAGATCAGAGTTCGAAGAGGAATATTTGTTGGTATGACGACGGTTGCTCCATGAAGAATGCCCGAGATCCCGGCAGCCATCCAGTCACCGGCGTCGTCTGCAAGTGTAGCCAGAGCCGAGGGATTCAGTACAATAGGGGCAACGTCGGGCAAGAGGGGAATACCGGCTCCTCCGTCAGCCGCAACGGTAGGTAGTATGGAAGCAATGTTCGGGATGTTAGGTACAATGGTCGAGAGCGGAGCTGCAGCAAGCGAGGTGATGGCACCGACTAGATTTGGACCGAGACTTCCCAAGATGCTAGGCAGCACTTTGCCAGGCATTATGCCCCCAGGGCCAAAGAGGCCGCGCTTCTCATGTCGAGCGATGAGGTCCTCCACAGAAGTTGCCTGCTCCGTCATAGTGGCAGTTGGCGTCAAGACATCGGCGTTGGTACGTTCATTGAGTTCGACAGCCACAGGTTCGGTGGGCGTAGACTTGAAGGCGATTACCAGAGGAACCAGGACGCAGATCAAGCCAAGGGTTCCCATGACGAGAAGCCTCTTCGGCCCCATGCAGGTGGATGTGCTGGGCATGGTTGTAGCGTTGCCTTCGAGGAGCACAGCTCTGCGAGGATACAGACACTAGAGACGAGAGATCTATAGTAAGATGATGAAGACGGCGATGATCTCCAAGGTGAAGAGCCAAGAACTTCAAAGATGGCCAAAACCGAAGTCCAAAACACCAAAATGAGTGAGTGTAATGGGAGCAAGCCAAAAGATCGCGATGAAGCTGAACCGAGGCCAGGTGATATATGGGTGAGTTAGAGAAAAACTCCCTAGGTCGGTCTCGGGGTGCTTGGCACGACTGAGGTTGCCATCTGTCTGTCCGTTGTACCTGCCTTCCAGGAGCTTCCCGAAACTCATCCAAGTGTTAACTTCAGAAGGAAGGCATGCCTGCGTTCAAGTCCAATGGGAACTACTACTGCTGCTGTTCGCAGCTGCCATTGGGACCTGCCTTACCGCCAATCGACCTCATCTGGGCATTATCAAGTATGTATCGTGTAAGATTCAGACGGGGGCGAAGGCATGATCGATGGAGTGCCGTGCGCGTCGGAGAGGTTGACTAGGACGCGATATACTGTGCCGTTACATTGCGCCGTTAAGCGGTGGAATATAGATCGTAAGCCACTCGAGGGTCGTTCGAAGGTATTGCTGGACAACACTGACATCGAGATTATACGGAGCTGTCGTTGATCAAGGTTCTGGCTGTGTCCTTTCAAGTTTCGAGCCTGCTATCGTTTCAGCATACGAGAAAATGGCGGTTCTTCTTTCTACAGGCTCTCTTTCTGATCCAAAATTTTCACATAGCACAAATCAGGTTGGCACAAGAAAAGATGAAGAGATCCAAACGTCATGGTTGAATTTTGCTAGCCTCATGTCCGAATCCTTAGATGGCCTGGCTCACCCTGGCCACCAATGCAGTGTAGAAAGCACATGTCAATTAGACGCCGAAAGCCCGAAAACATTTCCCATGCATCTAGTACTTCTTGCCCTCGCGGAGGGTGTCCGCGTACTCCTCCAGAGGACTTCTGATCAACTTGGTCTCCTTCCACAGGTTGGGGGTCAGGAAGCCGTAGCTGTTGGAGATGGCGGCGAAGGTAGCCTTGAGGGTGTTCTCGAGGGTCTTGGTCGAACCGGAAGAGGAGGTGTAGGCATCCTCAATACCGGCGAGCTGAAGGAGACGCTTGACGGCGGGCGAAGCGACGATCTGGGTACCACGGGGGGCAGGGATAAGCTGCGAGGAGAGAGGAGCGTTAGATCATTCCCACAGGACACACACAAGCTATCGCTGGGAAGGTACATACTCGGACAGTGACGGAACCGCACTTGCCGCTCTCCTTGACGGGCAGAGAGTGGGGGAGACCAAGGTTGGTACCCCAGTAACCACGACGGACGGGGATGACGCTCAGCTTGGCGATGATGATGGCGGCACGGATGGCAGTGGCGACTTCCTTGGAGGTCTTGATACCGAGACCGACGTGACCCTCGGAGTCACCAATGATGACGATGGCCTTGAATCGGGTACGCTGACCGGCACGGGTCTGCTTCTGGACGGGCTTGATCTGTAGGTAGGGGGCGGCGGGTCAGCACATTGCGCGTTTGTGAGGAATGAAAAAACGTTGCCCTGAACGGTGTTGCGCCCAGTTTTGGCCAGTCCTCCTCTTCCTCGTCCACCGTGGATTCCATGCCCGGCGCATCTTTTGACGCTCCGTCCACAGGCGCAACACGGCGGCAGAAATAAATAACAAACGTACCTTCATGACCTCATCCTTGAGCTTGGGCAGGAAGAAGTCGACGATCTGGTACTCCTTGATGGGCAGGGAGTGCAGGTAGATCTCCTCCATGCTCTTGATCTTGCCAGCCTTCACGAGACGGCCGAGCTTGGTGACGGGCTGCCACTCCTTCTCGCCGCTGTCCTTGCCGCCGCGGCGACCACGGCCACGGCCGCGACCACGTCGGTCACCACCACGATCACCTCGGGCACCGAAACCACCGCCACGGGCACCACCACGGTCAGCCATTTTGTTGATTGATTCCGGGGTCTTGGAGAGTCGGAATTCGTTAGTAAAAGTCGGGAGAGGACTGTTGGGCGCACACAGTTAGCAGTCGCTCAAAAAGACCGTCGTGGGCGTCGTGGGCGGGTTGTCTCTTACTCTCCGGGTGCTGTTCTCGTCGCTGGCTGATGAGAGGTTCCGAGGGTGGGATGGGGCTGAGCGAACTTTTGGGGGAAAATCGAAAAAATTCAATGTGTAGACTGTGCGAAGCCCTAAAGCTGAGAAAGGTGCGAAATGTGGGGCAGCTGTGGTCTGCCAGCGCTGGGGGGGCAGGGGCCTGAGAGGGACAGGATCTATGGCCCGTGCACAGCTGGGAAAGGCCCCAAACAACCAAAGCCGAGCCAATCTGGCCGGGTTCCAGTTTTTGGCTCATGGCACGCCCATTGGCAATTCGTGATTGGTCAATCAAGCAGAACAACCCGACTACACAAGCATATGCAATACTGCAAAGTTCCCCCGGTTAACTACCTTGTGTAGTGTAAGTCTTTCTGTTTTCATTGGCAAGGTGGGTACGTAGCAGCGAACCTGGCTTGCATCTATCGAGTGTATCTAACCGTGGAAGTAGACTGAACACCCTGGCATGACCACAGGCAGCATCGTGTATACACAGACTACCAGTCGGTCACCATGATGCGACGGATAGGCGAGTTCCACAGCAAGATTTCAACAAGCACAGCAAGAGTCAATCGGCATACATACATACATACATACGGGGCTGCATTGTCTCATCACGCATAAGTAATTCGCGTGAAATATCACTTTTATTTCGGAATGGGAGAGAGGCCTGATAATACTAAACGCCCGCAGTCAAGACAACGACGACGCTGGAAAGTCAAAAGACACCGTGCTGCCCTTATTAATCATTATGGAACGGCTGCTATGTATACAGCCCAGCCCAGCCACCGCTCCCGCCGATTGGAAACTTTGCTGGCTGCAACTGAGACGAGAGGACACACGCCGCACACGGGGGGAAAAAAGAGTTCAGAAAGCCGTATCCATGCTGAATGCAAAGCAAGAAAGACCCTGCGCGTAAAAAATGCTGCATAACCATGTACAACGAATACTGCAAATTCCAAGTAGAGAGGGTATCACATCATCGTTTCGGTCGTCTCCACGCCATTTGGCTTACTGCCACCGAACTCCCCTTTCATTGGTCGTCCTTGACAATGAGAGACTCGGTGGGCTTGACTCTCTGCGCCCACTCGCTGCAGCAAGGAAATTCAAGGTTAGCACCCGCATCTTGCAACTGCGCTGAAAAGTGAGAGTACTTACGTCCAACTACCATCGTATACCTTCCGCTTCTCGGGGCTCCCGTAGCCTGCCTCCTCCAGGGCGGTCTCGATGACAACCGCCGTGACGCCCGTACCACAGCTTGTGACGATGGGCCTCTCCGGGTCCACTCCCTTCTCTTGGAACAGCTTCTTCAGCTGGTCCTTGGGCAGGAAGGCCTTGGTCTTGGGGTCCAGGACGGCGTCGAAGGGGATGTTGATGGCACCTGGCATGTGACCCGACGACAGCCCTTCTCTCGGCTCGGGTGCGGTACCGGCAAACCTGCCAGCCCCTCTGGCGTCGAGAATCTGTACCCCCTCGGCGCCCTCCTTGTTGTAATCCGCCGCGACCTCCTTGACCTCCTCGAAGCTCGCAACCTTGGCGTCGAGATCGATCTCCTTGGGGATGGGGTACGGACTGCATTCCACGCTGTAGAGCTCTCCCGACTCGGTCGGCAGCCCTTCCTCCACCCACAGCTTGAAGTTGTTCAAGATGTGGACCTTGGAGTGTCCAAAGACCTTCAGTGTCCAGCCTACTCTCGGGGCACTGAAAATGCCCAGCTCCTTCGAATCGTAGACCACCACTGTGTCCTCTTTCCTGATGCCCAGCTCGCTCATGGCCGCAGCAAACTGCTTGGCAGTCGGCAGCATGTGCGGGTAGGGGCTGTGCTTGTCCTTGACCTTGTCGACGTCAAAGAAGCGCGCCTTGGGGATGCGCTGCTGGCGGAACACCTCAATGCCCTTGCGCTCGTCGTTGGGGAGGAACCATGATGCGCAGAGGGGGATGACTCGGGGCTCCGAGTTGATGGGCGAGGGCGGGCTCTTCTTGAGAGCTTCGGCGAGCTCCTTCGGGGTGACGAGGTAGGACGAGAGATTCCGCCGCGACTCCGTGATGCCGATCTGGAAAACCCTCGACTTCAGGCCGTGTCGCGGGAAGGCGGCCCTCGACGAGCGGAAGACTGCAACGGTCGCCATGGCTGCACGGATCTCGGAACAGCTGCACGGGTGATGGCTGGTGGATACCGGCGATGGTACCTAGGTAGGGTGCGTGGTGAGGAGTTGAGTAGCAGCTCCGGCGGTCGGGGGCCACTATTCAACAACGCAATTTTCGGGCGGATGACGTCGGCCGATGGTGCTCAAGGCTGGATGAGCGTTCCCACGACGTCTCGCCCGCGGTGGTCTGAGCGAGGTTTGGCAGAGGTGCGATGCGGTGACCTCGACTGTCCTGTGACGACAGTTTTGACGTCGGCAGCTTAGAGCTAGACACGGAGCTTGGAGCTGTCGGAACGGGAGGACTTTTTGGAAAAATAGAAAAGGGCTGGCTAGGGTGCGGGGAGCAGTTGGAGAAGATGGGAACGGGAGAGCGGATAGGGCCTCTTCCCAACAGAGAGCAAGGTGTGTACCGGTATGTGTGGTTTATGAGAATGTGCGATGAGTGCCAAAGAACGCAAAAGCCAAAAGCCAAAATGCTTAATCCTTCGCGACAGTCAGTCGCCAAGATAACACACAGCGTTTCCAAGGCAAGGCGGCCGATAAGCGGATTCCGACACCCCGGCCAGAGAGCGCGCAGTGACACTGATAAGTTCGTAGTGGAGTTTTGTGTGAGTGGTTGGCGAAGAGCTGCTCTGCGCTGCTCTACGCTGCTTAGGTAGGTGACTTCAACCTGGAATCCAATACGGCTGCGCGTTCATGTACTACAGGGTGTGCCAAAGGTACTGTAGGCCTTCCAGCTAGGCTCAATGCAAGGGTGCTGGGATGCTGCCGGGTCCCATTGCTCGACTTGGGCCTTGCAGCTTTAGCGCATTCGCTCCGTCATGGGCATTTTATTGGCTTAATGCAAACATGACCGCGTTTCAATGCATCAACACTTGTTGGCCCACTAGTCAAAGGCTGGCTGATGTGTGAATACGGGCTCAACGACGAGAGAGGGCAGAACATGTCGTTTTGAACACATGGTATACTTCTTCCACCCCATCATCTAGACTTCGTCAGAGTCCCTCGGTTCTCCGAAAGCACGTCCGCGTCATCAGGACAGACGGTAAACATGAAGGTCAAGATCAAGAACTGGAACGCGGTCGCAACCTGGCGCTGGGATCTTCCGGAAGACGACGTCTGCGGTATCTGCCAAGTCCAGTTCGACGGAACGTGCCCGACTTGCAAATACCCTGGGGACGACTGCAGCCTATGTGAGTCACGGCGTCCGAACCGCACCGTACCGCGCTCTTGCGGGCCGCCAGTCATGCTTACATGGAGTTCTAGTATCGGGGAAATGCGGTCACAACTTTCACATGGTCAGTGCCAGCCATGGGGGCATGAAGCGGGGGAAATTAGGAACGTGCTAACGTCGTGAAGCATTGTATCATGGAGTGGATCAAGCAGGACTCGTCCAAGGGGCAGTGTCCAATGTGTAGACAGAGTGAGTCAGAAGCTTTGCCATGCTGCCAGAGGTCGCCGTTGACGATGGTTTTCAGAATTCGAATGGGGTCCCGAGGTTGGCGTGCCTCAGCAACAGGAGGGGCAGCAGGAGGTGGCTGCGGGGGAATGAAATCAGTCCATCTCGTAAGGGACAACTAACATAAACCAGCGGCATTCATCGTGACACAGGCAGTCAAGAAGAGTCATGACAAGGCTTTTGGCTTGCGAGGGGAAACATCCCAGTTGAAGCAGCGTCAAACATCAAGCAGCTATAGCTCGGCCACAAACAGGATCCCAAGTGGTGGGTGGGTTTGTTGAAAGGCAGTGAACAATAGCATGGCCTGGGTACAGCAGAGCTGGTCTGATGCCATTTTCACACACACACACACACACACACATGTCGGCGCGTGGGATGGCCCAGGTCTATAAGACGCCCGTGGCAGGCAACATAACAGGAGAAGAGAGCAGTTGTATCAAGCCAGGTAGTTAGGCGGCCATGGTGCAATATTAAGCACTCGTACGAGACTATTATCAGCCCCACGACAGTCCGCTTGACTACCTATCTATCGGAGCCTCTGTTCTCATGGCATCTTGGGGACCTCATGTATTGGATGAAGCAACGGACCTTGAACCCGCGCCGAAACCCGAACCCCACGCAACGGCGTAACGTGCAACCTTGGAACCCAACCAAAGTGCCCCTCCACATTTCCCCACGTGCCGATTAGATAGAAGCTCCGGCTGATCGGGGGGGCGGTTATGTAAGTTATGTACCTCTCTTGCTCTTGGTAGACGGGCGACGGGGCGCGACCGGGGGGTCTGAAGCTCAACACCTCTACATGAGGTAACCTACTTCAGTAACCTAGCTGCAGCTTGCCGCTTTGGTTTGGACTTTTTTTGGGATTTGGGGGGTGGGTGATGGGACCTGCGTTTTCGTTGCCTTCCTTGCCCATGCATCTCATCCCATCGCTTCGCTCACTTGCTCCATCAGCCCGACCCTCTTCCCACTCTCCGGCCATCCAACCGCACCTCACGATGCGCAGCCCCAGCTCGACCACAGTCCGACCTCTGTTAGCCTCCTTCTCGCCCATACCTGGCCGCGCCCCCCGACATCTCCCGTCCGCCACAAGATGACGGACCCCCAACCCACCATCGCTGAACACATGCAGCCTCGCCCTGAGGACCTCGAGGCCGCCGCCGCTGCCGCCGCTGGCCCGGACCATCATCACGAGCAGCAACACCAGCGGACGCCCGCCTTCGCCCCCATCTACACCCTCGTGAACAACTCGTCGACGCGCACCACCCATCATCCCCGGGTCCTCTACATATTCAGCGACGACGATCCCGACCGGCTCACCGAGGCCCTTGCCCAGCAGCACGATGCCAACCTGGGCGAGTCGGCCTCAGGGCCGGCACCAGACCACCGCGCCATCCTTCTCGACCTGGCCCAAGACGCCGAAGGTGGATACAGCGTAGCCTGGTCGTCTAGCCTCTCCCCATCATGGGCTGTCCTCGACGCCCAAGTCAGCCGTATCTCCCCTCCCTCATCCTCATCCGATGGTGAAGGCAGCCAAGGCCAGGACAGTCCAAGCGCTTCCTCCAAGAAGAAGCCCGACCGGCTCATGCTCCGCATAGAAGGCGTCGAAGGGGGCTCCCTGGGATCCGAAGGCGAGCTAAAGCTCTCCGGAGATAAAAGCGGGCACAGCTCGGGGACGGGGACGGGCAGCGGGAGCGGGCAGAAAGACCGCGAGAGCGGACATGCCGAGGATTACGGCAACTTGGTCGACGAGTTCGACAAGAGGATGAACATGCTACGTAAGGTGGTCGATGCCGGCGAGGAACGGCTTAGCAGGCTTGCGAGCGAGGCCACCCAACCAGAAACCCACGCGCCGCATCAAGACGATATCAACGCCCCTCATCCGAAACCTCCCAGTCCTGAAAACCTGCGGAGGTATGCCGATGATGGATGACCGATCGTACTGCAGCTGTCGAAGTCCATTCACCTCCAGCGGCTACCAGTTGGCACCAGCTACACTGGGCCACTTTATAACCAGGTCATACCTCTCTATACCGGGCTCTTCGTCCATGAACAATCGTCCCACATGTTATTAAGGGCCGAAGCCATGTAACCGTTTTTCCAAGCGGTCCACGCGGAGGAGCAGATCTCTGTAAAAACACCAGCATACCTCCAGAAGGCAGCACGGTGTTTAAGGCTCACACTGTTACCCCAGGTCCGCTAAGATTTATTTTCACTCATAGGTGTTGCCGGGTGTTACGCTCTTCTCTTACAGTGTGCGGGCGTGTAAATCACTCAAGCAAAGCGGAGTGTCTATGTTTTGAATGGTACTGAAGGAAGATCGGAACAAATTTAGATCTATGTATTCATTGTAAGGAGCACGGAGCATGGCAACTGCGCTAGAAATATTCTATGCTGGGTTTGGGTACAAGAATACCACTCAATTATGACTTTTTTACTATTGCACCTCTAGGCTGTATCCCTTCTCCTGCATCTTCTTGTGACAGCGTGTCTGTAACATCCCATGCCTGGTCCTCGATTCTCGCTCTTGATCACGCTCTTGGGCCCCTATTTCAAACAACGTAGGGCTAGGGGTCTATATATTTTAATGAAGTCCGGGTCGAATAAAAGTAATTGAGGAACAGCAAGACGTACTTCCCGATTTCAAATAAATTGGTCCACCTCAGATCGGCATGACTGGACTTTCAATACCAGTTCAATTCAAGTCTGTCGAGTTCAGATGGAACTTACGAAACGGCCGCTCCACCCCCTGAGTTAAACTCGATATGGCCTCAGTATCTGCCAGTAACTGACCCATGCCTAGAACCTGTGACCGAGACAGCCCTGGGCCATATTCAGTCTCCCATTTTGGAGCTCGACTAGCACGAGGAAACGAAGTCTTGGATGTTGCTTACAGGCTTGCATCTGACCTGGCCTCGATTGAGAGCACTGCCATAGATGTGCCTTCCAAATCTGACGGGACGGATGTCGGAATCTTTCTCATCGCCTGGATGAGATGGTGATACAGATTGTGCAGAAATACTGCTCTTCTCGCAGATAATCGATCATCATCCAGTGGTTAGCTTTGCCATGGGCAACTTTCCGCAAGACAACCATCATCTGTACCCTGCCTGGGGTCATAGGACATCAGTGTCATCTCACGGGGCATTCGGAATCAATGAAAAAAGATACAGGCGGGATGAAATTGGACCAATTTGGTGTATATTTACACTTGATACTGGATTATCATCATAAATGTGTTCAAGATTGATGAGTATGTTCCGGTTTCTGTTCATTGTGCATTACAGAATCTAACCAGGCAGCTACCGGATTTGCAGTCGGGACTGCCGAATCGTGTTCTCCCTCATAATTTGGCCATCTTGATAAACATACTCACTGACCTTCACAAGTTGTGCTTATCGTGCAATCCATGAAGCTCTGGGTACGGGGAACGGAAGTCATCTACGTCAGGGACAACCACTCGGGGCACTGGGCAAAGCACATGATACAGCCGCTTGCAGTCAGTCAGTCCGCAGCTCCAGCGCCCTGCCCCTTTGTCTCGTCTTCGCGGTGGAAGTATAGACGACCAAGCATTCCGTCGCTACACGTGGCTCTGACCGCTCCTGCACTAAGGCGACGGACTTGACACCCGACGGAGAACCACGCATTCCGTCCAGGCCAGGGCAAAGGGAGACTGGGCCACGGAACGCAAGCATCTCGGTTGTTTCACAGATACGGGATAGTTCTCACCTACGCCTATCAAGCATGTCTGGAGGTTGCATTCCCCCTTGATTGCGCGATCTTGGATTAAACCTGATGAGACCTTTGCAATTTGGGGAAGCTGACTTGAAATGGGGTAGTGGTGGAGCAGCACCACGTCGAAAGCCATATGGCATCATCATTCACCAACAAGGGCGGCACCGAGTGAGCCCTTGCGCGGTTACTGAAAGAGGAGGCATCTTGATTTGGTTGCGTTCGCGTCAGTCAGACATCCACGACTTTTGCTGTCATGTGCGAGATACATGACGAGCTAGAACTGATCCGAAAGGCAAGCGTGGGCTTGGAGGGGTCGGAAGAGCAGAAGAGGCGACCAAAATGTTGGCAGGTCAACTTGGCAGAGCAGTCATCCAAGATTACATGGGTGACTACCAAACCACAGCACAAGGGTCCAGGGAGTCGGGCTCGCAGCAAGGCGGATCATGGCGTATCACTGAGGTAAAAGGTCACACACGAGGAAGATGGTAACTAAGGAGTTTGCAGAGAATTTTTACTCTTTTCATGCCTATTTACGGGTTGCGGCAGAGCGAGCATGATGACTTGACGCCTGCAACATACGGCAGGGTGGCATCACTGGTATTTCGACGATCCGCCAGCAAAGGCATCGTCCATCCTGGGTGCTGCCCCTATTACTTCGTTCCGCAGCAGCAATGTCCTCCACAAGAATTATTATTCTCCGATCGGAGTGTCGGTGGCGTATGTGAACGTGTCGTGGGTCGCGGTGTAAAAAGGACTTTCCGACACAGGCGCCGCGCCGCTTTCCAGGAGGGCCCTTCTCGAACCATGCGAGAGTATTTCCGGATAGCGGAACCGGCCTGTACCTTTGGCTTCATTGTTTTTCCCCTTTTGATATCTTTTTTTCAGTCCTCCACCCGAGAGATGAACAAATTGCCGCTTTTTCGTATCCTTCCAGATCTCCACTCGCCCGTTCTCAATGCTTTCCTTGCGATGTGTCGTCTATGTTGTGCAATCTGCGTGGCTGCCCTTCAATCTCTCGAGAGACCAAAGCATATGGGGGAATCAAAAGTCGCCGCAGGGGAATCAAATTTTTTTTGGTGGGTTTGAATTCGTCGTTTTTGTTTTTGGGACGCAACAGGCGCTTGATGGGTATGACCGTAGAAAAAGGAAATGATGGAAATCAAATCAAACAAGTCGCTAATGCCATGGAGATCCTAATCCGTCAATGTATGCAACAATCTTTTTGTCTTCCAATGATACACGTGTCCATGCAAAGACCTCGGAGTCGGGTGAGGTCGTTTGAGGCGGTCCAATGGGTGGGGGAAAGCCCAGAGATATAGGTCATCTTGACCATAAAATGTTTTTCTTCCAATGGAGTAACATTAGTGAGCCATCATGTGGCTACTGTACTCATTGTGAGAGTGTGTGGGGTAGAGCTGCATGTGTTGCTGTTGGGGAACATATGCGCTCGTCGGGGGAACCTGGGGTGTCGGCGTCACGGGACACCGGGGCGGGACGTATCTGTTCATCGGGTCCGTGACACCAAAGCAGACACCGTCGGGGGTGATCGGCGGCGTCATGTAGCCGTCGGCGACGCCAATGGTGGCGCCGTGTCCCTTCTGTGGGGTGCTGTAGATGTTACCGGACTTGGATGACAGGGCGGGTTCGGCAGGGGGCGAAGGTGGTCCTGCACGTCGAGACTGGATAGCAGCCTGCTGGGCTAGGAACTCCGTGAGGCTCGCGGATACTCTCGAGAGGTGCGGCGACGAGTATTTTCTTGAGAGGGTGGCTGAGGGTTGGTGCAGGTGCTGGGACAACGACAGCAGGGTGTCGCTCTCGACGGGATCCCACTCTCCATCGTTAATCTCGGGCCGACCCAGAATCGCCCTGGCCAGAGCCAGCGAGGATCGTGCCATGACCGACGGCTTGGTAGATACGAAATCGCGGTGGTACAAGGCGATCTCACACAGGTAAGCGGCCATGTGCTCGACCTGGCGGTCATCAGACTCCTCTGCGACGATCAGTTGGCTAAAAAAGTCGACGGTCGGGTGTCCAATAGACCACTCGAGAGTGTTCAGGACGTGCATCTCCATCTGAGTGAACATGCCGGAGTCGTACAGTCCGCAGCACATGTTGTTGAGCTCGTTGATCTGGGGAACACGGTCCTTCTTGTCACCATACTTGGCAGCGATGAGGAGGGCGGCACATCCGACGAGTTGGTAGTGCTGCTTATACACGACCCGCTTTGAGCAGTAGCGATCCAGTAGGTTGACGGTCAGGAACAGAGTCTCGGGCAACAACGCAAACGCGGCGTGTGCCTCGATGAGGAAGTCGATCAGGAAGGGTCTCATGAACCACTGGATTTCCCGCTGCATGTCGATTAAGTTCACGTCGGGCAAAGTCTCGTCCTATGGCATGTGTCAGTTCACCTAGCATCGTTTGTTTGAGGCACCAATGCATGAGACTGACCTCCATGTGTCTCATGTGTTGCATGATGTCCTCCAGGTACTCATCGCCAGCCAGGCGCGAGAGCTCATTGCCGATCATTTCTTGTCTGTTGCGTGCCAGCAGTTTGGCAGCTTCTCTGGGTTGAAGGCGGGAGTACTGAGGCTCATCGGTCTCGACGAAGTACGAGCAGGTAGAGTTTGAGAACGCCATGGTGGGTGAATGACGGGTTGTAATTGCGGTTGACGTCGTTGAGTTGAGGGTTTTCTGTAAGGTCCACGATGTGATGAAAGAGTGACGGGTCAGGTTCTCCAGGAATCTTCAGTGCGGAATGAGTGACAGTTGTGATCGTGGGTGCCGGTCGGAAGAATGAGTGAGCTTCTGATCCGTGCAAACCGCGAATATTAGGTATTAATGAGTGTGGTGAATTATATCTGGTCAGAAAAAGGAATGACAGTGGCCGAAGCGCAAAATGTGAGATGGTAAAACCTCGAGGTGAATACCGGCGGGCAGAACAGCCGTTAATAAGAGACGTCGACTAGAAGGCTCTGGTGAATTGTCAGTCTCAGGAGTCGCCAGATTGAGCAAATCAGACCAATAATGAGATCCAGATGCCCTAGGCCTCGATGCAGGCGAGGCATCTATCCCAACGAGCGATGCGGGGGAACCGAGTTCCGGACACGCAAGTGCAGCTGAGACGGGACACGCGAGGTGACGTCGAGGCCAGGAGTTGGTGGTTATCGGAGAAAATAAAAAAAAGAAGGTATCCCTTACCGCCACGGTTGAAGTCAGGAAATGAGCGATTCCTGGCCGTAGTGATGGGAACACCGAGTTAACGAGTCCCACGGGCGAGCGATGTTCGTTCGACGTATAGCGTGAGTGAGGAGGAAAATACCGGGAAGCGCAAGAGTCTACTCGGTATCTAACTGCACAATGGACAATGGAGACATTAGACTTTCGGCCTGGCCCGGTTTGCATCGTCGAGGCCACAAACATACCTCGACACTTGCACGCTAAAGCGGGTTGCAAGTTTTCACAGTGACTAGTTCATGTAGGTCGTATGTGATCCTCAGAACCAGATTCAGACCTGTGATAACGGGTCCAAAGCCGGTATTTCCTGGGGAGATCCACTTGATTACGATGGGCCAAAGTCAGATTCCTGGAACCGCTGGCACGAAGGATCGGATGGTCGAGATGCCTCGGGGCAATTCGACTGTGCGGTCCTGATCGAGGGGTTGAGGCGGCGGCCGTGGAATGAAGCTGAGGGGGAACCGGGAGGCTCTGACAGCGACGAGGGGGGTGGATCCGAAAGGGGGGGATGTGGTAATTGAAAGATTCCTCGTTTGGGTGCCGAGGAATTCCAACTCTAAATCACCGAGATGTCGGAAGAGATGTATTGTCTCAAGCCAAAATAAAGACAGCTAGTTATCCGGGGAGGGGAACCAACTACTCTTTATCTGCTCCTGCTCTTCATCTATCTCTCTCAGCCCTTCTATACCTGGGGAGATGCGGAGTTGTCGGGTGCCCAGAATAATTCTCTCTTCCTTCCCTCCTGCTGTTCAACAAGGAGGACTCGTAGGGAGAGGTCGGGGAAGGGAGGGAATGAATGGATCGGATGAGGAGGATAGAGGGAGGGAAGGAGAGGAGAGAAGGCTTCGAGTTGGAGGAGGGTGAAGGAGATGAAAAAGGATTGGAAGAGATTGGTTGCTGGCACTTTAAGACACCCGCACTAGCACCCACCAAGAACGCACACGCAGCAGGACGCCAGACCAGACCAGGGCCCGGGATGAGCCCAGCAAGGTACGAGCGACTCTGAGCCAGTGGTAGGCTGGCCGGCTACAGGGGATCGCGCGCTGGGGTACCTCCGCTCGCCAGCTGTGGAGTCCTTCTCTTCTGCTCACTCGCAGCTTGGTATTGGGAAATTCAGGCCCGTTTCTGATGAGCGGTGCAGGGATCGCACACGGGTACGGAGTACCCAAAGCCACAGTCCAGCGCGAGTGCGGGTAGCAGGTGAATTGATCCAAGGCCGAGTGAGGCAGCAGAACGCCGTGCACAGTGCGACGACGATGGGGCCAGTGGTCCTCGGATGGGGATGGATAGCTCTTTGCATAGATGTAGTATTAGGAATCGCGTATGAACGAAGCCTGCTGATGAATGCGTGCGTGGATTTCGCTACATATGATGCCTTGCTTTTGACAATTCCTCAGCGTCAAACCACCGACGGCGTCCCTCGCTGCCTTAGTTATACCTCTCGCCCTCTGCAGCGGCCGGGGGCATCATTCATCGAGCCCTCGTTTCGGTGTGCGTGCGCGAGGCCGAGATCTGCTTGCAGCTTCCGGCCGTCGACCACTCAAAACCTCGAGCCACCCGTTATTTGTTTGTTTGGCCAACGAACGCATGAATGGCCTCCTTCACCGCGGCCCCATTGTGTGTGTCCGCATGTCAGTCTCCGGCCTACGACACGCATTGTGGACTTCACGATTGTGTATGCACGTAATGCTGCGCTGGTGGAGAGGCTGGCCAGTCTACCCGGCCGGTCCTTTTGCTGCGTAGCAAGGTAGTTGACGACCCCCGTCCCCTCCTGAGCGGGTGGCAGCAAGCACTTGCGGCGGGGAGCACGGCTCTTGTCAGGGAACCAATTACCAAATTGTGCCATGAAGCCCGCGATAGAGTGCAGTAGTATGACGGTGGTTTTTCTTCTTCCTGGGTCAGAATCCACGGGCTGGCTCTGCAGACCTTTGCATCTCCCCCCACTCTCGCGGCTGTCGCGATGGCCCAGCGGCCAAGTGGCCCACGGAACGCGACAGAGGCCCGACAACAGCACTACGGTCTGAGCGAGAGATTGATGAGGATCACGACGCGTTCTGTTACCGGCTGGCGTGATCCTCACACGGGCACCTCGACTCCTGAACGGCTAGTACGATCGCCGAAGTGACGTTTGTTCAGGCGAGTTGTGCCCATGTGGGGGAGATCCAGCAGACTGGGTACAGCACCGATCACCAGCTAAGTCAATGACCAACATAGCACCCCCAGTGACCAGCGCACAGCACACTGGGCGCCGGGCACTGGGCAGCTCCAGTAGCGCAGTTACGTGCATCCATCTCGGCATCCATCCATTCATAGGCACAGTTTGTACATAGTTCGTACGCGCAGGCAGTTTATGCTAGGTGGCCCTGACATCTAGCATGAACTCTAATGACGAGCTGAGATCTGGCATCCGAACCACTGGCGTTTGTTCGACGCCATCGTGCAAAGCTTGGATCGCCAAATTGTAGATCCTGCCATGTCCTGCCATGTCCTGCCCGACTGTTCGTCGATATGCAATGGCTTGCAGAACCGAGATCCAAGTATGTCGGCTTCGACAAGCCAGCCAGTGCCAATTGACACTTTGACGTGAGGGCCACGGCATCCGCGCACAGCATACGACAGGCTACGGTAGCAGCGTACAGTGCCCATCTCCCCAGTTGCAGCAGGTGGCAGATCAGATACTCCGTCGAACTGTGATACGCCGTGGGATTGGGACTAATGCAGCGCCAGTCACGCTCATTCATCAATCATACAGCGTACAGCCCGGGGCCAAGCAATTATCATGTCTCGCTCGCGTGAGGTGCATATGCTGGGCTGAACGCTGCGAACATGGGCCAGGGGCCGTTCTAGCGTCGCTTCAGCCCTTGGAAATCTGCAGAAATATCAAGGCAAGTGGACGGTCCATTCGCGCCAGGAGTTCACGACCCAGGCCAATCAAGCCGCCCGGACGCGGTCAAACACGACATGTTGGAAATCAATCTATTGTCATGCGTGTAGTGTTTAATGGCAGCCCAGCCAGACGATTGCGTCCGGCCCCATTGGAGCCAATGCAGCTCACGTCGGCATTACCATTTCATTATCCAACGAGGCCGCGCGATTCCGCCCGCTCTAGGCCCGACCTGAGCGCCAGGCCGAGGGATGACCACAGAGATCTCCGTCTCGCACGCGAGCTGCGGGCTCACGATGGAAGATATTTCACCTCACCTCCTCTTCGGCGGGGTCGGATGACGGGTGGCATGGCTGGGAATGGGGTCTTCTGTCTCTCTCTCCTCTCAGGGTCCCTCTCAGCCAAGTCCCAGGGCCTTGCTCCGTCGAGACGACGCACAGTATGCAACAGGAGACGGCCGACCCTTGGGCCATTTACTTGGGCCGAAGCCGTGTTACCAATATGGTGGGCTAGACGGCCGCCGGCCCTTCCTGATTGGACTGGACATTGATTGCTTCAGCTTCGCTGGTGCTCCCGCTTGCCGTGGGACAACGCATCTACACCCATTCGTTCATCCTCAGCACTCCTCCCTTAAAACTCTATTCCTTATAGCCCATCTTGACGGCCAACATAAGGGGTTTCGGCTGTGTTCCCCCACATCAACAAGCACGCGATGCCCGCCGTCGTTCAATCAAGATGCTGCAAGGCCCAACCCACCACCACTGCCTCGGGGAGCACAGCATGTAGATAGCGTACACAGGGCGTCGCAGATCCCAGGCGCAGACCACACGCGTACCTGCCGAATTGGGTATCACCCTCGTTAAAGGTCCGTTTGCTCTATCGAATTGATCAGACTATAAGCTGTATAGCGTCAGTGACTATTTGGTCATTCAATATTTGACTGTAGTCGCTTGGAGTGAATGTGTCTCCCTATTCTGACTCCTTCTACTGCTTGAACCCTCATCCTTCCCCAGAGCGTGTTGCGTCTGGTCGTTTGAGCACGCGAGGCTCTCAATTGATCCTGTCTTGCTAGGATTAGGAAGACGTTTGAAAGGATCCATATCCACAACCTGGTTGACACTGTCTTGCCAAATTCAGGCGTTTCTCGGTCCCGCCCCCTATTCCATGGGATATCAGGCTGTTCCTTTAGGACCCTGAAGATGACGCCTGTAGCTCCCGTGTGCACGTTCGTTGAACTTAAGTTATACACTTTGGATAGCATAATATATTCAATCCATTTGCTTGGCGCAGCGTTGATCTTTCTCACACTGGGCACTGAGCTCTACTGTGTGATGTTCCCGTCACTTTTAGCCGCACAACTATTTGCTGGGTTTTTCCACAGCGGAATCATCTTAAGTCGAAAGGACCCTCACTGTGAAGAAAAAGTCAGATAACCCCACATGTGACGGTTGCCGTTCAACAGAAGATTTTGCAGAGTGGTTCCTTCATTGTCAATCTGGCAACGATCCCGATATTCAGG